TTAAAGAACTAAAGGAAAGATTATCGAAATCGAGTAGCAAAAAAAACAATTTTCGTTGAAATAATTTTTTCAAGTTGTCGGGGGGGGGGTATATGATTGGTTGTTGTAATGTTATGACTGTTTATCAAATTTAGGAATCGCGTTAATTTAGGAAAGAATCGTTTTCTTCCGGGACTGAAGGCTATACTTTGAATGAAGGAACTATAGCTAGTGGTCGGAATCACTGCAGAACTCTAATCGAAATGTTGTTTGTTTTAAGCTAAATTTGCCCTATATATTTTGTATGGCGTACGAGTTTCTCTCCAGCATCCTTAACTTCTAATGAGAATGTGAAATCCCACCTAGAGTAGCTCCGACCAAATTCATATATCAATAGAAGAAAAATTAAATTTTTGAAAATTCAAGTCATCACGATTAATTATACCGAAATTATAGCAACCTCTCAGAAACCCAGCAGTTATAGCTCTTGATTGTCACCAAAAATATGCGAGTAACGGGAGTAAAACAATAAAGTACTCAAAGACATTTTTAAACCAGGAAGTAAAAATTCATAGATGCATATTAAAAACATCGACGATGGCTTAGAAAATAGAGAGACCGGTCATAGATGAGAACTTCTTTCCGTTATCTGAATTTCATAAGAAATACCTCATAAATAAAATTCATTTATCATCGAAAAAACAGTTAATATATCACCCATTAAGAGGAAAAGAAAGGTTTCATTCTGGGGAGATCTGAACAAACTCCTTTCACCTGTGCAGTAGCTATTAGCATTTTTTGTTTTTATATAATGTCCCCGATTGGTTCATTTTTCATGTTAATTGCTCACTTTCTAAAACTTTGTTCTTGGCGACCAATGAAATTTCACAGTCTGAAAGGTTTTGCATGATGATCGCCGAGTGCGGATCACTGAGAAAGGCCGTGTTTAGCAATACCTGCAATATTAAAGCGAAAAGCAAGTTTTATGCGAGTTAATGTCATATCCACATTGAAAGATGGACAGAGCACAGCTGATGAAAACTGTTGAAAGCTTGAGAGACCAACTTCGTATCTCCCGAATGCCTGTGTCTATATGCAGTAACGAGTAAGTCCGTCGAGCGCCTGTCTTGACATGATTTAGATTTGTAAACTTGGAGGTTTATCACGAGCGACATCGCCGGAGAACTGTCTATCAGCACAAATCGGGCGTCGTTTCGCAGCCAAAAATTTGTTTTTTCCGCTTCTACAAAAGCCAACTGTAATATTTAAACCTATTGCTATGCTAAATCAGTAATAAGTTCTTTGAATATAAGCGATTGTAGGGCGCGTGATAAGGCTTCTGTAAGAAACAACACTCGTCTCTGATCTTCTTGTAAATCGAAAAAGGCTCGAACGTGCGCCGGAAACCCCAGTTTTAAAGATATCTTGATTCCAAGTTTTGAAGGATTTTAATCCCGTTTTTAAGAAAAGCAAATCCGCAATTTTAATAGTCGGAAGCCATACTTTTTTTAATATTGATTTGGATATTTTTTTGCTAAACTCGCCGCAAAATGAACTGAAACCATAAACAAAGCCGTTTACTAGGCAAAGTTGCATATATAAATGCGATTCAAGAGAAACACTAGACGCCGCGTTATTATTGCTTTGGGAACGTTTTCGGTCTAAATGCAAAATATAATTGAGAAAAAACGGAGGTTTTTTTAACCTAGAAATCATTGTCAGAACTGTATTTAGAATGGGCGAAATTGCAAATTCCCTTAATTGTGTCTAGCATGGAAGCATCTGCGCATGGTCTTAGATCTCCAGATTACTTTTGTCCTCGATGTTTGAAGCACGTTTAAGCAGTATTTTCCTCAGCTGCTGCGTTTAAGTAATTTTTTAATACATAGAATGTTCAAGAAAGCGATGAATAGTAAATTTTACGTTGTTAAATTTTTAATTTTTATTATTATCTAACTTAGGCTGAAAGACTACTGTACGCAAAATGGAACGAAAGACCCACTGATTCATCCACCCGAAAGAAGAGAAAATCCATTCGCCGAGAAGCAGAAATGTTCTATTCTTTGACGGTGAAGAAGCTCAAGCTACAGAAATGGAGATTTGGTGTTATTTCTTTGGTAAAATGAACATTTTGAGACAATTTGTTAGAACCCTGAGGCCATAAATTTCGCCTAAATGAGCGGATATTATTAGCTGCTCATGCATAATCAGTGGAGAATTCAATTCTACAGGTCGACAACGAAATTGTCGCGCAATAAAAGAAAATCCGCTGTAATCGAAACTGAAAATAATAAGGCTGTTGGCTATATACTCGATGTCGTCGCGTCGTAAAGAAGTATGCGACGAAAGTTGTTTTTCTGCTTTACACTTGGATAGGTTTTTTTCTTTTTTCAACACTGAGCTTTGAAGTTTCATCAAAAACCTAGTGCCCTAGTGATCACATTGTGAATTCATTATCTCTCCAGTTTAGGTCTTTCAAGGCCTACCACCATCTGGTGTTTTTCTTGAATGTAGCATACCACGTAGCGATGCATCCATTTACTTGAAAATTATCATGTTCATAAGCGTTTTAAAAGTTAAAACGTATTAAAAGAAATCATTTTGCAAATAGGCCATAAGTAAACTCATTCTCCTCTATGTCCGTAAAATTAAGACGGAGAATCGAGATGTTAAATTATTTATTCTTAGCAATTGTTTTAAGGTTTTCTATCGGACAAACCATACTATTATACAACAACAATTAAAACAAAGAATAAAATAAATAGCCGAAATTTAATACAAACGCGTGGCTGTCCAAATGATTCAAATTCAAATTTCACAATGAAACACTGGCAAATGTTTTGGAGGCTAAAATGAAAAACGTTGAAAAAATGTCAGCGAAACGCAGTCAAGAAAAGGTCAAAATTTCTTTTTTTTCATGCACAGCTAACAGCAACTCATCGTGAATATAACTTTGATTTTTGCTTTGCCTTGAAGCTGAATTAAATTATTTACAGTGGTTTGTTTTGTTGTCGACATTTTGAATAATTCAATATAACAATCTCCCTGTTTTGAAAGTGTATGCTCTTGAAAGTGAGTTTTTATTTTTTTGCCCAGTTTATAAACTCTAAGTTGTCGAACACTAGAAATACCCCTGTGTCGATTATCTTGACGGAAGCAACGAAAATACCTACATGCCGGTCGTCGCTTTTGGGCCTAGCAGAAATAAGCGTGCGATGTTACTATAGTAACAAAGTGAAAAACCACCACATACAATCAAAATACATTGCCTTTAGCTTCAGTTTGGTGTAAATACATAACAAACGTAAGTTAAAAATGTGAGGAAATGAAAAACTGACTAATCTCTTTTCTCTATTGTTCCCTGAAACCCGAAGATGATTTTCTGCCGAAAATAGGGCCGAAAAAGGAAACATTTACTGTCATCTTTTACAAAATGTCACCTCAGTAGCTACACTGCCCATACCTCAGGCCAAAAAAAAAAATGAATGCCTCCTTACTTCGGTTTCATGCCTTGTTTTTTAAGTTTTTGGATCAGCTTCGTGTGTTTCGTTAAAGTAAAGCTACTCTGGAGTTGTTTTATGACATTCAATGGTAAACTTTTCACGTTCAGACAAATACCTATTACGAACCTTCTGTCTCTAATTTTATTTAACTACGCGAAGCAACTTACCAGAACTCCACTATTGATTTAACTAAACGCAAATATAACAGATTAAGTGCATTGATCTAAGTATCGTGCAATGCTTATAGTATCATAGATCGTTTCGAAAATAAACACGACGGCAGACGAATAAATATCAGGCGTTATATACAGTTTTGCGACAACCGCCTCTGATCTCGTAAAGGTGAAGTTACACAGGACGATTTGCAACGACGATTTTTAGCGCAACATAGTGTTGCGATGTTGAAATAGTGTTGCAGCCCTTCGAAACAATGTTGCCAATTCGCAATCCTCCAAAGCCAGGGAAAAGCGCCCTTGAGACGAGGTTGGCTCTCGCGTGACTTCTCGCGACTCCCCGTTGGTACTTCTCGTAAAAGACCATCTCCCGTAAGCGACCTCGACCACATTGCGGGGTAACAGTTGTAGCGCAACGGATTGTAGAATTATGTGTACCCAAGCGAATACTAAATCATGGTATTTTGGGTGGTGGTTCGACTGTATTAATCATTTATCATACTACCGTAACGCTTGGCTGTTTTGATTCTGTTCTTTGGTGAATTAAGCCCCTCTCAAGAAAATCCACCTCACAATCGAGCTACCACCCTCTCAAACATGCTTGTAGCTTAACTTGCTCAACTGTAGCCAGTAACTAGAAAGAAACCAGCCTCAGGATTTCTCTATTATACTACCTTAACGTAATATCACCACTTCATTAAACGTGAAGGTCGCTCGAATGACAGGAAAATTTGCGTAGCTGGCGGGATTAGCGTGCAAGTGCTGTAGTTTTTTTGACGACGAAACCGCGTGAAGATTGGGAGTAGTCGGCGTCGCCACGACCGTCGCCACTCGCTTGACGTGTTTCAAGTCGACTCCGCCGCCCAAAAAGTACTGCGGGCACAACAATCCCGCCAGCTGCGCAGGCTACAGGGAAAATCGTCCACCAAAACCAAACTCCATGCCAACAGCGCTTGAGCAAGTTGGTCGAGTTCAGGCTGAAGACAAGGATAGAGAAAGGGAGTGAGCTCATTCGTTTGTCGTAACTTGGTCGCCCAACAACCTGAGAGACTGTTACGGTATTCGAATTGCCAAAGAAACTGTCAAGCAATTACAAATCCCGAAGGCAAGCTGTCAGGAGTCAGGAGAAGCTTCTGGGGGCTCCTTTCCAGTTTTCCTCGGTTCCCGCGCTCAAGCTACTTATAGCCGTAGCCCGGAGCCGCAGTCGTTTATAAACGAGTTTGTTTATATTTTTCTTTTCTTTTTCTTATTTTTCATTTTACGCTTCGCAGACTCATTAGTAAACTAATTAGCACTTTCAGAAAAGGAAGATTGTTTATAATATATTACTTTAATATTAATAATGCATTTGTAGAAATAATGAATAAAAGTCGATAAGTGAAATTATAGTATAAGAATTTTTCGGTTTAGAAATTGTACAGACATAGAGTTACCTACTTCTATGCAAATTTTAGATATTTGGAGAAAGGGGAAGCTAGCGCTAGAAACTTCAGTTTAGTTCACTCTCTCGAAAATGGGTCCATGTTTCGTTGTACCTAGTTTTGTGTCTGTGGGTGAAATCTTTTGGTGTTACCATTCAAAAAAAATTACGTTACGCAGATCTTTTCCCAAGAAACCGCTTGTCATTAGATTCAGTTCATTAAACGACTCGAAATTTGTAATTTTCCTTGAATATTGATCTTTAGAAGACAAGCCTTGCAATCTTCATCACTTTGGAGTAATGAAGGGAAAAGGGTGGCGATTTTTCGGCCATCTCGCAACATCACATTACACATTTTAGGGCTTAAAGTATCAGCCAGTCAAAGGACAATGTTCGGTGGGTAATGAACATCGACCTAGCGGTGAACTGATCGGTTTGCCTGTCATTTCCTCCGGTCATTTAGAGCGCTTGTAAAAGAAAGTTAGATATATACGTTTAACCTAAAACGCCTGTCCGCTGTTGCTATTTCTAGCCAGGAAAAGAGCTTCTTTAGAAACCAACCCTTTCATATAAGGAAAGAGTGTCACTTTGTAGAATTTTATAGCGTTGGTATTAATATAACGTTCATTTTCTCTTGACACTTGGAGCGATCCATTCAACCAAAAATTCCGGAAATTTCGGTCCAAAACTCAATGGATCGGTTCGGTCCAACCGGAAAAGTTTCGAAAAAACTGGTCCACCTTTTGAGGTGGACCACTTTTCCCACGCGGACCGGTATGAATTTTGGTTGAATGGATCGCGCCCAGCTGCGAGCAGAATCTTCTTTTTGTCTTCTTCTTGACCCAGTACGCAAAAAATGAATCGGGCTAACGAAAGGAACCCTCTGCTGGCAGGGTAAACTCAAGAAGGCAAAACAACAAAAATACAAACATAAAAAACGAAAAACTAATCACGTTGTACAGTTGATTAAAGTTCAGTTTTCTTCTTATTTTTTGACGAGTCATCTTTATCCTCATCCTCCTCTTCGTCTTCATCTTCGTCATCCTCATCATCTTCATCATCACTTCCGCCACCCATTGCCTGCTGCTGTGCAACCTGCATTTTGATTTGATCTGCTAATCGTTTCGCGGCACCGGGATCATTAATATCAATGTTCATCCTTTGAATTCCATCGTCGTCTTTCTTTGGTGTTGATTTTTCCGTTTTAACCTCTTGTTTCTGATCATTAAACCGGACATCCATCTCTTCTTTTTCTTTCTTACTTCTATCTACTCCTTCGCAAGCCTTCGTCAACTCGTAGCAGACTTCCTTTTCATAATCTGCTGACTTCGTGGTCAACAGCTGTTCCAGTTCTTCTTCGTATTTTTCTGTCAAAAAAAAAAAACAAAACGTAAAAATACGCCATTTCCGAGTTCCACCGGGCCTCTGTTTCAAAACGAGGATAAGTGCTCAGCCTCTGATATGGAAATCATTTTTCATTCTCATGCAAATAAAACTCATTTTCACAAGAAAGGTTGTGCACCTAGCCTCATTTTGAAAGTGAGGGTTTTTGGAACCCGGACGTGGCCTATTAAATTGAAAGCTGTATTAAGCGAACGTGTTTCAAGTGGCCCCTTCACAAATTCCTTTAATCAACTTACCTTCACAGTTACAGCTACCATAAAAACTCTATTACAAGCTGGACGAAGCTTATTTAATCTAAACATCTCGTATAACAGAGTGGTTATTAGCGACTGGGTTTATTACAAAGTTCAACCTTCAAAGAGACGGGGGGGATTTAGTAGAGAGGGGTGTAATAGAAAGAGAGACTTAATATATTTTATCATGGTTAATATTGTTTTAGGCTTAACACAAACTTTCACTTTGCCAAGTAAAATTTGCCCGGTGTGTAAATGCAGTTTTAGGAGAAAGAATGCCAGTGCACTGAGAATATTAAATCTACAAGTTTTGATTATAACATGTCATGGCCACCTGTAATTTCTGATTATTTTTCAATGAAAAAAGAAGCAAAATACACTTTGATACGGCTGTGCTAAGCTGTCAATAATGGCCGTGCACTATGGTCGACCACCAGCTTTTGACTGTGGACTATTTTCCTGTGGTATTTTATGAATTTAGAACAGGACAAAAGGAAAGGAACAGAAAACTAAAAAAAAAAATCACAGACACATTAATTTATTTAAAATCAAAGCCAGAAAACTCACCTATGAGAAATTTACAAGCTTTAATTGTTGTAGGTGGAGAATAGTGACACTTTGAAAAATATTTAGCTTGACAGATGTCCTCCATTGCTTCAACCACTTGCAATTCTCTTGGATCAGAACTCTTTTTGGCTAACAACTTGCCTATTTCTAAAAAGAGATGGGAAAAACACAGCAAAATTAGAAGGAATATCTGCTTTCTTTCTTACCCTCTTTCTACATGGAGAGAGCTGATCCCCAACCAGTTCCCTCTCCTTGAATTCTCTCTCTTCATGTGTAATGGTTGCAGTCATGAATTACCATGGCTGATAAGGGGGAGGGGAGGGGGGGGGGCAGGGTTTGAGGTGAGGGACAGGTTAGCCTTTGTTCTAGGTTTCTGGGTTCTCATGTATCCTGGACAATCAAAATAATAGCAAGTAGATGTATAGTAAAAAGAGCCTGGAACAGACCAAAGACAGAAAAGTAAGTGAAAACATTTCCAGTTTGCTTTTCACTCTGTCCTGCTAGTGGATCACTCTGTTTTGAAAGAACATTAATTCTCTTTGAAGGTCAAAGGCAGTTCTCCTTGCAACACATTTACAGTGTACACATTTCAATGTTGGTAATATTTTTTTGCTTTCAATGGAAACTCTTTCCCTCTCTCCCTATAACTCACTGTTCATTAGACTTACAAAAGGCTCTCTATTGACTGTTCTAAAAATAATTTTGGTCTGTCTTGTTTTATCATAGGGAGGGGGGCATACGGGTTTGTGGTGACGAGCTTTTGCTTGATTTTTGGTGCTGTTTTGCGGATATTTTTATTTTAAGTTGTGGTATTGGTGTTTTACAAAACCAAGCAGTTTGTGGTATTTAGAAATTTTTGGGTAATTTCAATGCGGTTTGCAGTTTCTTATGTTATTCTGTGTGGTGTTTATATTTAATTCTGTGCAGTTTCGCAGTATTGGTACCCATGTTATGCCCCCCCTCAATAGACTGCAAGCAGTCTCTCTTTTGCTCAAAAATCTGTGAGCGAGCCAACCTACTCTCCGTATCAGGGACCGCAGAGGGGGAGGGCTGGTAGGGCCGCGGCCCCACCACTTTTCTGCGCCCCCGCCCCTACTTTTTGCGCTAAAAAGAAAAATAATTAAAATAAAAAAAAAGACTTGAAACAAGTTTTTTTCCGTCTATACTCTGCTATATTCTCTGTATTTTCTTTAATTTCAAACGCCAGGCATTTTGTGGGGCTCCTGTGCTTTTCGTGGTAATTGTGCCCTGGGGCCGACTTGCCTCTTGATCAAACGCCATGCGTTGGGCACCCCTTCGCTTCGTTCAGTAGTGTGCTTTGTACTTCCAGCTCCGGCAGAGTTTTTTATCAGTTTTATCAGACGAAATGAAGAAACTTACTAGCTTTTTCAAGCCAAACGAAGGTGAGTAGTTGTTTTGAGTTGATAAAAGTTTTATATTTTGTGTTTCTCCTTTCGAATCAATGAAATATTCGATGGCAAGAAGAATTACATTACTCGAACAGTGAACGGGGATAGTTAGAAATTTTTCAGATCACTTCAGTGAAGTATTTTCTATACTAAAATTGTAATCGCCTCTTTTCTTGCACTGAATCTGAAAGACATGGCTGAGATCGAACATGAAACAGCAGCGATTCAGCAACTTGACAGTACTTAATTGTCATCAGAAAATAACAGAAAGCTTGGACGTGATTCAGATTGCAAACACATTTGCTGGACGGAATGAAATTGTATGAAGAATTTCGGTATCCTCACTAATGCCAACCTATAAAGAGCAACAAATACTGGATAAAGTATGCAAAGTCACGGGACAGAAACAAATCAAATGCTATGATTTTATTCCTTTTTTCGATTTTCAATATGAAAAAATTATTTTCAATTGTCAGCCCTCCCACTTTTCAACTTGCTCCGCGGTCCCTGCGTATTCAGGGTATATAATATTGATTTGGGATTTTCAACTACAAAATGGCAAAGGCCCTTTCCTCTTTAGAACTCTGGGTATAAATATCATGGATAAAGGCTTCAGCTAAAATTAAGACCTGTCATGTTAGTGGCCATTGTCAATAAAAGTCACCTGGTTTCATTACCTTGCATCACAGCACTGCAACTCTCACAGAAAATTGCTGGAAAGGAAGGCACATTAAGAATATTAAGCTTCTTTGTCAAATAAAATTGAGGTTTTGGGCAATCTAATGACAACAATAACAGCTCATTTTATTCAAAAGAAGCCAAGAAAAAGATATGATGTAAGTGCCATCAGAGATAACAAAAGAGATCAGGTATTCACACCTTCATGAATGTGACTGCAATTTTGTCTTACTTCAATTACAACTTGGGACACTACAGTCATGTTTTTAATATAATATTAAAAACATGACTGTGAATACCTGATCTCTTTTGTTGCATTGATAAGCTAGAGTTATGTAATAAAAATTCAAGATTTTATCTAATGCCTTAATAATGGAAAAAACGGTTACTCCATAAAATATAAAAGGTCCAGGTCTTTACCTGTGATCGATAGTACTGTGAGGATCTATTGACTTTCATACAAACCTTGGGACATATCTGGAGGTAACTTGACATTGGATCCTAATGCTGAGAGGCAAAGCACTAAGACCATTGAGATTCTTAATAATGCATCCATTTTAATCCAAAGAGAGAGAATGATCTTTCACTGAAGCAAGAAAAAAATTAAAATAACAACAATGGTATATATAATAGCAGTATTGATTAGTCTTGAAATAGTGTAGTTACTTGTAAGAGGTGTCAATCAACCTGCATGTACTTAACTGTAAGAACTAAAGCTAGACTTTGTAAGAACAAGTAAAGTAACATAAAAGAAGCAAGTTCTAGTTTTTAATTGTACAGTGTGCACTCTATCGACCTCTTTCTTTAATGTGTTAGTGATATCCTATCTAAATCCTTATAAACAACCTCACTATTTTAAACAAACACATAATAAAATTATATGACCAGGGGGATTTTAGATGCTTACTTCCTCCACTGAAGTATAAGAAAAATGTAACATTTCTGTTTTCATCATAACTAATCCCTCTCTGATTTTTTTACTTATAAAAATGAATCAACTTTCTAGTTCTTAGAATAAAAGAATTTATATGTCTCACTTACTCAAGAAAACATAATATACCAACTGAAAACTTTAATTTACTTTTCCAACAAAGAGTTTTTGTCAGTGATAAATAATTCAAAAGGTGTGGCTTTAGTGTCTGATTACAAAAAGAACCTTTTAACCTAAAAATCTCAAAGAAGAAAAAAAAATAATTGAAGATAATTTTTTCGACTTTAAGACAGGTTATTTTCAGTGCTGTATATTTTGGAATATCCACTGGGAAATCATGAAATAATTAATTAACCAACCAGTGAACAAATACATGGAGGGATACTCAGGATTGTACAACGAAATTCTATCAGAAATTACATAAGACACGTCCTACAGATTTTAATTGGACAATTCTAATTGTAGACCAGTAAATAGATCTGCAAGTTATGAATGAACATGATGTAAGCAAATCCATATATGTTAGCTACAAACTAAGCTAACGCAGATGTTTTGTTGGCCTTGAAATTTTTAAAATCCCAGAATGAAATATAATTAACGACTTGAAAGACTACTCAATACGGGGCCGATTATCTTAAGCAAATCATTGCTTGCTTCTGTCAGTGAAAGAAGCTTCCTAAAATAAAGAAGTAGAGCAAAATTATAACTTTCACTTACCTAGGGTCTAAGATTATACCCTGTCCGATGTTTGCACGAAAATGACAATCTGATCAATTACAAAGAATCATTGTCGGGGATCGATGAAAAGAACGATATTTGCCAGGCGCAAGTTTTTTGGTCGCGGTGTACTGGGATCTAGTTTATCATTTGACTATCCGGGGAATCCGGGGAACTCTCTGAAATATTCTTCCCTTGCTCTCGTCTCTCTGAAAATTTTCGTGAATTTCATCGTTCCTTTACGCGCTTGGTTATCGAGATGGCGACTACACAAGTCAAAGAAGGAGAATATACGACTACAATTTACGGAATGGTAAGCTTTTTAGTGTGATCTTACCTTGTTTAGATCTGATTCGGGGGTTTGATATTTTGTTGACATCGGTTGCTCGGGAACAACGTGAAATTTGTGAGAGTTAAAATTGGGTTCCCAGCTGCTCAGCTTAAAGTGTTTTACAGTTCATATGTTCTAATGACTTTCAAACGTCCATTACTTAGTTAATGTAGGTTTTTATCCAGTCATAATGCTGTATTTTGGCTCTCAGAGCCTGTGTGCTCTTAGTGTATGACCGTAGTTGAGCTTTGACATACAGTTATCCCTTCCCCCCTAACCGGGGGAAGAATGCTACATTGGGGCATTTCATTTTAAATCTGCATTTCCAATATGGTAGGCATTTTTTGTAAGGTATGAATGGTATTGATGGACCTTGTTGGCTCAAAATGTAGGGAGTTTGAATTGCCATGCATTACCTTGAGGTATGCATAGTGCCATCTTCCTGCTAAATTTTGAGTTCTCCTTATTGCTGGTTTGCACGTGACGTCACAGCAGCCATGTTGGTGGTGTGTTCGTGGTCAGAAAAAAACATTTCTCTCCTCTGGGAACTAAACCCTATTTTCTGTAAATTGTTCGAGAAAAAATTCTACCGTATTGACCACCAACACACCACCAACATGGCCGCCTTCTCACGTGGTTGCAAGCCAAGAATCTGGGTGCTGTCAAAATCTTTCATCAATCCATTTGTTAGAGATGAATGAATCTGACTTGGGAAAGATGGACTCTCTAGATCCTGACTTCCAGTGGCAGATCTAGAAGCTCACAAAAAAGGGCTTGTGAGAATCATGCCTTCTAAGTGAGGAGGGAGGATTGGTTGTTGGTAAACAATGTCTTGCCTCATTGTTAATTTTGTCAGTAGGGCTCTGAAACCTTCTTTACCTGTATTTTGTAAACCTTGTATACACTAGTCAGCAAAATATGTCCAACCCTAGTGCATCTTCAATTCCCATTCTAGATAGGGTAAATGTTTTTATAAAGCTATTCATAAAATTATTTTGCTGCACTATATTAATTTTGTAGATAAAGAATCAAAAGTTTCATGAAGCAATCCAAATCCTCTCCCAGGAGCTGGAGAATCACCCTAAGGCAAGTTAACGTAATATAAAGTGAGGGATGGTAATGTGGCCAAGTATTGGACTTTAACTTTATTTGAATCATAACTTATAGAAGTGTCAACAGAAAAGTACAGTTTGAATAGTTTTGTGTGGGTCAGCGTAGTGTGCAAAAAGTAAGGGAGAAGACTTCTCTGTTACCTACATTTTACATTGAACAACTGAAAGTTTTAACTCCAATATTTATAGTAGCTGAGTTTGTTTATAGTACCTTCTTCACAAAGAAATGATAGAACTCTATGAACCTTTTCACCAGGGTTCTCCCTCACCCATCCATGCGGAACGAGAGTGAGAGGGGGATGGCTAGGAGAGAACCCTGGGAACAAGAAATAACCAAAATAAAACTGATTTTCAATGACTTTTTTTTCTCTCAGTCGAGAGCAGCATTGTCCTTGTTAGGCTACTGTTACTTTCAAGTTCAAAGCTTTGATGCAGCTGCTGACTGGTAAGTACATGTATACATGTTATAGGCAAAATAACTCCAAAGTTTAAACCAGTATTCAGGGTATTAGGATTAGCTTTTTGGTAGGGCTCTAATCTTGGTATCTTAGTAGGGGAGGGCAAGGAGTGGGAACCTGGGAGAAGAGGGAGTGGGAGGGGTACAGGAGATGGAAGAGAAAAGTGCCTCCATCTCCCCCTCCCCAATGTAAGTTGAAAACTGGTTTAAACTGAGAAATACCTACAACATACACACTGCATAGCCCACCTGCAGTTCCACTTTAAAGCATATTTTAAGTTAGGCTTATGCCTCTTACTGGGACTCTAATATAATGATAAACTTGAGGTTTTAACCAGGAAATTCTAAGTGGTAGAGGACCTAATTCTCTATGTAATTCTGGGGGCTAGTCTTCCCCCGTGAAAAATTGAACTCTCTCGGGAAAAAGATTTCTTACTCGCTGTAGCAAAATCCCAAATCTTTATCAGCTCTTAAGTTAGCTGTTCTAAAACTGAGGTCTAACTTATTTTCCCTTATTTCTCCAAAAATTTGAGTTTACCTCTGTGTAAAAACCTGTGAAGTTTTTCATTGTTTTCTAGCTATTATTTTCCTTGGCTCTATTGTGTTGACCTCTCGGTGGCTTCTTTGTATTCATTGTTTTACTTCACTCATGAGTTTCACAGGTTTTTACACATAGGATGGGCCAAAAATTTGGCCTTCGATGGCGTGGCTAAAACCTAGCTTAATACATGCATGTTGAAAGTCAAAATTAAATTCAAGTTAAAATTTTTCAACCTAGGTCCATCCTCAATTTCCTTTGTCTGTCATTATCTCACAATTATAGTTATGGCCAGCTCACACAGATTCATCCTGAAGTAGATGAGTACAAGTTAGCTTATGCTCAGGTTTGTGAGACAAGGAAGGTTTTTGTGGTTAATTTTTTTTTGCTCATGATGGTGAGGTTTTATACACCTGCACAGACACACCCATACACACACACAAAAACTTTTGTGGTAATATTGTATGGTTGAGAAAGATAAGTCAATGCACTTAAGTAAAAAGATTTAACTCAATTTTGAGTTGTAAAATAATTTATTTCCTGGATATCAGATATTAAAAGTCAAGTTCTGAGAGATCTCGCCTGTGCAAGTTCTTGAGGGCTCTTTTTTTATCAATTTACTACTTGTCTAAAAATTATTTTAATGTCAGTGTTTTTATCGTAAACCTTGCTTACCTTGGATTGTACTGGCGTACTATCAGACCTGGTCTTTTTTGTGTGGACTTAAGAGCATTTTTCAACTCACCAAGAGGTGTTATTTTCCTATAAAACTGTACTACTTGCCTTGTTAAGAAGTTCTACTTTAAGACAAAATTCCTTTTACTATTAACAGTACTGTTGTAATGCAATGTCATTTTATTTTCTTTACAGTCCTTGTATAAAGCCTTCATGTATCCGGAAGCCATGAAAGCAACATTTCAGATTGAAAATCCTACCTACCATTCCAAGGTGAGGCCTGCACTACACCTTGGAAGTATAATCTCATTTCTACTTGTGTATTAGTGTGATATGTAATTCATTGTGTTGTGTAATTCCAGAAAACAACCCTTCCCCCCCACAGAAGGGATGGGAAATTCCATGTGGGACTGGGGTCTCAAAGACTGAAAAAAAAAATAAAAGAAAATAAAAGAAAACAATGTATGAAGGAAAATTGGAATTTCCACAGGGGAGGTGGGTTCACAGAGCAAACCCCTTATATGGGCGGAGCTACACACTTTATCTTGGTTTAGAGGTAGAGGACCCACAAGCAAGAGGAGGTGCTTACTGACTTTCAAGTTTTTAAAGGACACTTCTTGGAGTTCTTTGAACTTCTATTTTGTTCAGTTGGGTTACGTTTTAGATTAACTTGTCTAGCATATTTCATAAACATGAAAATGGTATTCACCAGGTGCTGAAACTTCAAGCTGCTATAAAATATGGAGAGGAAGATTTACAAGGAGCTAAGGTGAGTGTTGCTATGACTAGTACATGTACATACAGTCTTGTTTTTCATTGTCATTGTAAGTGGTCCCTTACATCACAAGAGTTCAAAGCCAGGGTTTAATTTATATTATAACAAAGTTCAGATATATTGCACACTCTGACTGGTTGATAAAGTGACAGTGCTTTTTGAGAGTATAAAATATGCTGATGACACTCTTCTTCGCTTTGGAAATAAAGGTTGTTTTGAAAATTAGAAAGTAATATGTGGGGAATGTAACAGATTCTCTATCATAAAATCCATAAAGAAGCCTTGACTGTGTTCTGTTCTGTTGTAAAGCACACAGGAAGCAGCGAGAGCACGAAATAAGTGGGAAGAAACACCAGACATGGTCAAGTGTTTCCCCCTACACCTTTTTCGTGCTCTAGCTGCTTCCTGCATGCTTTACAACAGAACAGAGCACAGTCAACGCTTCTTTATTTATAAACTGTATATTAATTTGCTCTATTATTTTTATTGCCGCTGATGAAAAAAAGAAAAAAAATCAGACCAAAAATTTTTTAAATGGTCTTTCAAAACATAATTGATATTCTACGTGTCACAATGGTCAAATTAAATTTCAGGTTAATTTTGATTTAACCTAGGTTGATTCTCAATTTCCTTTGTTTCCTAGCCCTACAAGACAAAGGAAATTGAGAATCAACCTAGGTTAAATCAAAATTAACATGAAATTTTATTTGACCCTAGACATATAAATGGTTTCTTGTTCTTACGTGTCATTATACAAAGAAAGAAGGAATGTAAAATTTGTTTTTTAGCATTAAAAGCCGTTTGCATAAGTAGCTGTCTCTTCTATCATGTTAAGGAACATAAGCAAATCAAACAAGAAGTTAGCACACATGAAGTTTATAGACATAACTGTGATGCTGGTGCATCAATTTACTTTGTGACAGTACATTCTCTGTGTTGTAAATTTAGAGCATGGTAGAACAATGTCCTGCTGATGATGCAGACACAGAAATCAATCTGGGCTGTCTTCTGTACAAGGTAAGAAAAAACACTATCAGCTGTGAAAAAGATATGTGATAATTAGTGAAATCTAGACACTGTTGCCACAAACTGTAATAGTGCATCAAGACTTTAACATCCTGGAGCATGTCCCCTTGTAGATGTTAGCAAAATGAGCCACCTCGTAGGCTTAAAAAATATTTTTCATTGCAAATACAATTATGTTACAAGTGGCTAATAATATTCAAAGTAATCTTGTTTTCATCATGCTGAATTTATTGTTTGTCCCCTGGTTAATGCACCAACCATTTTATATTCAATTTATATTTTAAAAAAAATCAGTCAGGGCTGTGCCCTAGCAGAGCCCGATGGCCCTTGACGCCCAACTTTTGCTTTTGGGAAACTAGCAACTCTTTATTTTTCATTCAAATCACATGTTGGGCACCCTAGATTTTCAGGTTCAGAGCACTGGGCTCCCTTCAAGTTTCTTTAAAGTAGCGCTGTGTCAGTCTCATTTTTCCAACCAGTTCTCATAAGTTGTGTCCATACAATCATGGATGATGGATTTATTTGCCTTTAATGTCTGTCTTTCATTGTGTCCTGTCGCTGTTGTATGGTTGTCAGTTACATGTACAGGTGTAGGCCTTAAAGAGTAAATACTGTTTAAAATATTGATAAAAAGTCACATCAAAATTTGTTTTTAATTAGGAGGGTAGATATGCTGAGGCTTGTCAAAAATTCCAGACAGCTATGAACATTCTTGGATATCAACCAGGTAACCATGTTTTAAAACTTGTCAGAGAGTATAGTAACTGTGCAGCCTGTAGATGTCTCTTTTGCAAATATTACCAAGACTTATTTACCTTCCTATCCTCTAGTTTCCATTTACAATGGAACGTCTATTCAGGGGACACCCTCGAGACTGAGGCGATATCCCAGTGTTGGTGTTCAAGTGTCCCTTGAATAGAGGTTGTGCTGGGGTTTGTTAATAATTGACCAACAAAGACAACATAAAAAAATCGTCTTCAGCTTATATCTGCGACATTATAATATGTTGAATTCACACAAGTGCAGTACATCAATTTAAGTCGAATATTTCAGTTTGTGAAAGTTCCAGAAGTTTACACTTAAAATATCAATTCTTTTTGTGGTCAGTCACTTTTTGATTGCTAAGGTGTCCCCTGAATGGAGGCTAAACACGGGTTTTGGGACCCCAAAAAAGTGTCCCTTTCCCCGAATAGAGGTGTCCCTTCAAAAGAGGTAATAAATACATAAATTATGTGGGCATTTTTTCGGGACCTGATCAGAGACCTTGTCTCTTGAATAGAGGTATCCCAAAGGAAAGGTTCCACTGTATATTATCTCTAATTTTCTTCTTCACACCCTCTAAGGCGTGTAATTTTTCTTAACATGTGATTTGCACTCGTGTCTTGGATTTATCATCCATTATTTTTTTCAGATCTATCATACAACATAGCATTGTGTTTCTACAGCCTAAAACAGTATGCACCTGCCCTAAAACACATTGCTGACATTATTGAAAGAGGAATCAGAGAGCATCCAGGTTAGTAAATATTAAATTTATAATTAGAATCATGATAGTAATTGAAGGGTTTCCTGCAAAAAGGGGGTAATTTGCCTAGTATCAATATTCTCTTAGAGTTACTTTGTAACATACATGTAACTTAAATGCGGTTCAATTAAAGCTGGTTATCAGTGGCCTACCACTGCCTATATGGGCCTCTTACCTCTCTGTCTATAAGGAATTTGAACTTACAAGTTGCTCCAAACAAACTGCCAATGTTGAAACACTTGTTCTGAATAACGCTGTTGCAAAGTGGCATGCAAAAGAACAGCCAATGTTTCACTGTAAAAAATGACGCACTATTTCTTATTATTCTAGAACTCAGTGTTGGGATGACGACAGAAGGTATTGAAGTCAGAAGTGTTGGAAACACCAAGGTTAGTTGTACCTTTGGCTGGCTAAGAAATGAAAAGATCGATATTAATTTTATATAGTTCTTGTCTTGACCTGTCTCAAGTTTACTGACTTAATTCCTAACCAGTGTGGCAGACTGGTTATATTTCTAAACACTTGTCAATTCTTAAACTAGTACCAGTTTATTGTGATGATAATAAGTTCAGTTTATAGATGGAGGCTTTATTTCTATTTTTCATTTCAGTTGCTGTCTTATTATTTACATCATTGTTTAAGAGTCAAAATTAATTCACCCTCTGTTACATTTAAATATATTTTTATTTGGTTCAAATTATTGATTTTCTTCCTTTTATAGGTTTTACACGAAACAGCTTTAATTGAAGCTTTTAACCTAAAGGCAGGGATTGAATACCAGCTCAAAAACTGTAAGCTGTTGTCAGTTGTGGTTGAATGCATGCTTGATTGATTTGCAAACTTTTGAAGCGGTGTTTATACATATTGCTTTGTTCCGGTATGTCATTTTTTATAGACTGAACTAAGTATTAGTCTTGTCTTATTTTTTATGAAATTTCATCAGTACTTAACTGAATGTGCTTTTGAATTTTAGTTGATTCAGCACAAGAAGCACTGACGGATATGCCTCCAAGAACTGAAGAGGTAGCTTAACCCTAATTAGTTTAATTTTCTACTCACTGTATGTTTACTAAAATAGTCACACCTTAAAGCACTGTACATGGATTTCTTTGAGCACTGGTTGTATATTGTTTTAAATCAACATAATAATTATATTTAACACCAATCTGTACTTTGCAAGTTTTGAGAAAGATGTGAATGTCTGCAAACAACAATACACAACCTAAAAATATGTATACTTTAACTAACAAATGATTTTAACTTGATGAAAAACTACAGGAACTTGACCCAGTCACTTTACACAACCAAGCTCTTATGAACATGGAGGCTAATCCAACACAGGTGCAGTATATATCTGATTAGAAGTCTCTCTTCTGCACTGTCATTTAATTCTTCCTTCCTGGCTTCAGTTTTCCCATGGTAATATTATTTTTTAACTAAGAATGTCTTTTTTCGCTTTGAAGGGATTTGAAAAGCTTCAGTTCTTGTTACAACAAAATCCATTCCCACGAGGTAAAAACAAAAACTGTATTATTTACTGTTATTGTTTATTCTCATCCAATCAGTCACATGCATAGACTAAGGCAAGTCATTGTAACTGTTTCCAGATGTCATAGTGAAAGCATAATACAAGTGTTAGAACCATAATTTTATTGTTATGGACTATAGAATGTTCTAGCTGGACACTGATAGGCAAAATAATTTGCAGTTTTATGTATAAAAATATTCCAATAAATAATGTAGCTGTAGTTTTGGCGCTTCTTAATCCAGCCATGTCAGCATTATGGAATGATGCTTTATATTTTATGCATGCAAAGAAGAGTCTAGTATGCAGTAGCTGTCTTCACTGTCAGTAATCAAGACAGACCTTGGGTTATTCCTTTTATAAAATGTCCCACTTCTAGTTCTGTTTTATTTAATTTGAATCTATCACACCTTTTGTTTTGTAGAAACATTTGGAAATCTCCTGCTGCTATATGTTAAATACCAGGTACTGTAAGATGCAAGTAACAAAATAACCCACAATGAAACAAATTAGATAATCACCACCTTTAGCATCAGAATTTAGAAATAAAGTGAAAATGTGAAATATGTCACATACATAAATGTCATGATCGAATTGATGTGTTCTTTTAAATAGCTAGATATTAGCAGTGATTAACTAAGACATATGTACCTCTGGCTAAGTTTTTGTTCAGAATTGCACTGAGAGGCTGCAACAAAAGTGTTTTCCAGTAGTCAGGGGTCAGTAGATTTCTCTGTCAAACTAGTGTATTTACATGTCACAATATTACTCCTCTTCGTTTTTTAGTATTTTGACCTGGCTGCAGATGTGTTGGCTGAGAATGCTCACCTGACTTATAAATTCCTCACACCAGTAAGTGATTTGAACCAACATTGCAAAATGTAACAGTTTTAATTTATAGCAAATGTTCTTTTAGCTGCTCCAGCTAACATACAGGAACTCCTTAGACATGTTTAGCAACAGTGACTGGGAGAAGACAAACAAGCTGGCTTTTAACAAACATAGCTACAGCAGTAAACTCTAACAGTTGGAGTTTTGTCAACCTGTCAACTTGTTTTAAGTTACAGGGAAGGGATTTTTATCAAAGGTTTTCCACAAAGGGACCCACGAAGACATTCAAAATATTTCTGACATTATCAGTTCCAGTGCATTTCCTTCTAATATTTGAGATTTCTTGCAAAGTACAATCACTCACATGAACTCCTCTTTTTTGTCTACCCAAACCAGGGTTTGAAAAAAGGAAACTTGAATTCCAGCTTGTCCTTCTCCTTACAAAGGACAGCTATCACATTTTGCTCGCCTGACCTGTATATGGAGCTTGTGAATATGTCCATAGTAGATTTTGCAAGAATCTATAAAATGTAAATGTTGCCTGGGGCTATTACTTGCTTGCCTTAGTTAACAGACCCTTTTTTTTCTTTGGAGATTGTTGAGTGCGTATATGAAAATAAAAACCGCGGCAGATTTAGTCACTCAGTGCTTGCTCTAGCATGCTTGCTTTGCTGGTGGGCTGTCAAATTGTCAAAAAAAAAAGGAAAAGAAAAACGCCTGTGGAAATGCTTCATGTAAGTTAATGCGTTGGCTACAAGTTGACTTTTCTGGGCTTTTGCCAACATTAAAGGAACACAAACCTGTTCGTAGGGAAGAGTTATAAACCACTTTCTTTGACTATGTTGTGATTTAATTTTATCTTTGGTTTAAATGTTATTTTCCTTTGTTTTAAACTCATTATCATACAATGTACATTACCATACCTTAAAACAAAGGGATATAAAATTTAGGCTAAGTAAAATTGAACCACAACAACAACACCAACCAAGCAGGCTTGTCTGCTTGCTTTATTTATTAGTGAATCTGATCAAGTATTTCTGATTCTTTTTTTTGTACAGTACATGTATGATTTTCTGGATGCCATGATAACACAGCAAACATCACCAGAGGAGGTTTGTATCAGAAGACTGCCGTAATCTACAGTTTATTGACAGCTAAATGTATTGATTTATCTTTATTGATGGACTACAGTATGTATGACCACTAATTGTGAACCCCTTGACCACCAACTTTTGTCAATTCAGTCCAGTGTCTGGTTAATAGTTAAATTTTTAACAATAGAAATAAGCTGAATACATTTTACTTTAGTAATCCAGTACTTACTATTGTCAATTCAGGTGTCCATTGAATAGGGGTTTGAATTAGGAAAAGCCAAATACAATTTACTTTTAATTTCAGTAACCCAGGTGTCTGTTTAATAGGAGTTTCTTATAAAGGAAAATATAAGACGTTAATTTCAGTACCCAGCTTAGTGTTCACTTAAAACAGGTTTCACTGTACATAAGAAACTTGCAAACATAATAACTAAACTGTAAGCAATAATGTTAATTTGGATTATTTATGTGAATCTTCGTTTCGTGATTGGTTATAACACAGATGTTCTTAGTTTGACCCATAAAAGAAGGTTTATCCACAATTTTTAGAAAAGTCATTGATTTGCAAATAATTTATTTGATTATGATTTCATAGGCTTATCGAAAGTTAGATGACATGGCCACAAAACAGACAGAAACCTTAAGGAAACTAACAAAACAGGTTAGTGGTCTGTTTGGTTTAGTATTTTAAAGATCAATCCACAGGAATTTTTGTATATGTTACAGGTCAAATTTGATTTCAGGTTAATTTTGATTTAACCTCATCCTCGGAGACCCAGGGGCAGAGCGACCGTCTGGAACTTGTCTGGTAAGACATTGTCCCCAGGGGCTCTTCTCGCCGTTCTTTACTGCCCCTGGGTCTCCGAGGATGATTTAACCTAGGTTGATTCTCAATTTCACTTGTTTGGAAAGCCTTTTTACTATGAGGGTAGAAGAAGAGGATATTAAGAGTATTATAATGTTTGTTTTTCTAAGGAATAGAAAAAATTGTGGTTTATTTCTCTCTGTTTTAGTGAATCAAACTTAATGTCCATTAAGCTACTAAGCAAACACATAACATCATGTTTTTCAGGGTTTTTATTTTAAATTGATGCATTCAAAAGAGCCATAAATGTCGATTGTACAAAACCTTAATTTACAACCGCACCAGTTATTTCATACATGCAGTTTGCAACACAAACAGAGGATGGTAGACTATGTGCAGGACAAGCATAAATAAGTTGTTGATAGCATCAGCCATTATTTAACGAACATTTTTAAATTATTCCTTTTTTAATAAAATGTACTGTGCTTTAAGGTTCAAGAAGCAAGACAGAATCATGATGATGACACTGTTAAGAAAGCTGTGAATGAATACGATGAAGCTTTGGAAAGGTACCAACAACATTGCTTGGCTTATTGAGGCGCTGCTCTCTTCCTTCTTTTTCCTCCTGTTCTGCTGCTCTCCTCCCTTTTCTCTCACTCATTTTTCTTTACCAATTACTCTTACTTTTCTCTCTCCCTTTCTTCCTTTTCTTGTTGGTCCTGTGTCTTTTCGTTGTCCTTCCCTCTTAGCCCTTCCCCTCTATTACCTCATGCCTTCTCCTCCATCTACTCTTACTTTTCTCTCTCCCTTTCTTCCTTTTCTTGTTGGTCGTGTTTCTTCTCCTTTTTCTTTCCCTCTTAGCTCTTACCCAAGACTACCCTACGCCCTCTCCACCTCTTTCCCTCCCCCCACCTACTTTTAGTTCTTCTCCTCATCCAAGCCCTACTGCTTCCTCCTTATTTCCATTCTCCCCTCATCCCCCTCTTTTCTCTTTTCAACCTTTCATTTTCCTCTACCTTCTCCTTTTGCTCTTCGCGTTCTTCCTGTTCTTTGTACCGCTCAAAGTTACTGCCCTCCTCCAGGACCTCCCATCCCCTTCTTGATTGAAAAAGAAGTATTTCTCGGAATTTTCAAGGTTATCAGTCAAGAGTTAGGACAAACGATTTTATGATATTTTTGTTGCAGGTACATCCCTGTGTTGATGTCTCAAGCGAAAATATACTGGGATCTTGATAATTATGCACAGGTTGAAAAGGTAAATGATAAAAGTGCTCTTTTTGGAAATTGTAGTTGATCTCTTGTTTTTGTTTTTTCTAAAAAAAAAATCAGGAAACCTCAGGTTTTTACCCTACCGATAAGACCTTTTACATGTATCTCTTCAGTCACTACTGACATCATCTCCAAGCTTATAAATAATCGCACAATAACGCAGGCAAGTTTTTTTGTAAACTCAAACATCCTTGTGTTTTTTTGCAGATATTTAGAAAGTCTGTCGAGTTTTGCAATGAACATGAAATTTGGAAGCTAAACGTGGCTCACGTATTATTCATGCAAGTAAGTAAAGCCGCTTATGCTGCAAACAATGAACTGTACAAACTTAACGAAACAGACAGCGTACTAAGTTTTCTTCATTTTTCTCAATAGGAAAATAAATACAAAGAAGCTGTTGGTTTTTATGAGCCAATCGTAAAAAAGCATTATGACAATGTAAGTATGTATGTAGTTCTTCTTAAAGTGTAACTAACCTCCAAAAATGTTCATCGTAAACGAAATCTCTTAATACCTGTGCGAAAAAATTATAGTAATTAAAAAAAAAAAAACCCGCGTTCCTCAGCTGTTTGAAGTGAGGTGCTTTCTGTTTCATTACCCGAGCATTTGTGGGAGCTGGGTACGAACGTTGTTGTGACGTCATCTAAGGAGACCATTTGCCGTGTTTTCATGAACTTACAACCGGGAATCAAGATAGGTGAGGGTGTTTTACACCAGTGGTACATAAAAGCGATCAAAATTCAAAGAGACATGTCTTCTAGTGGATTAAATACTTTGAATAGGTTTGGAACGTTGGCGGTGTGCGGCCATTGATGCGTGGTACCGACAATTTCTTAAAAGCTACGTAACTCTATGCATGATGTCAAATGCTTAATTCTGTATGCAAAATGAAATTAATCGAAGTCAAGAAAAAATAGCCCGTGAGCAGTCTTCTTTCTTTCCTCCGGGCCCCTCGCGCATGTGCCCTATCTATAAAATAAGAAACTGCTTGCGGTGTATGAAAAAAAGTCTCTTGTCTTAAACCGACAGGTTTGCGATATCGACGGTTTTTGTCTTAAACGTGGTCAAGTTTTGAAGGCGTCGGCAGCACTTCCCCATCCGAAATACCCTTGGGGGTGGGGGATTACATTTTTTTAAGAGTGAAATTCAGCTATTAGATCATATTATCTGAAATCAGATGCTTCTACTGAAATGCTGTGCCCATGTTGTCATGTTTTTCAGATCCTTAGTGTTAGTGCCATAGTGCTAGCCAATCTCTGTGTGTCCTACATCATGACCAGTGCTAACGAAGAGGTTAGTACCGTGGTGTTTGTTTTTTACCAAGTAATCATTGTTGATAAATCAGTTCTTTCATGTACGTAATATTGTTGCTCTTTCCTTTTGTTTTGCAGGCCGAGGAATTAATGCGAAAAATTGAAAAAGAAGAGGTGAGGACATGGTTTTCTTGTTTAGAATGAGTGAGTTTATGAATGATCACTGAAGGAACTGTATTTCATTTCATTTTTCTGTGTGTGACGCTGTCTTTTTCAGGAACAAGTTGCGTATGATGATCCGGACAAAAAGATTTACCATTTGTGTATAGTGAACCTTGTTATCGGGTTAGTGATGCGATCAGTTTTTGTGCAAGCTATACATGTTACAGGTCAATCTTTTCTCTTCTTTTAAAATTCTGTTTTTCTCTGTAGTAGGACATCGTATTATAGGCAATATGACTTTGCCAGAAAGTCTGTTCATAAACTGTCTATTTTCTCTTTAGAGATCATAATTAAAACCACGGGGGACTTTTCAACCGCAAGCGCAAAGGGGTTTGGGTAGTTGGCTCGCTCGTTTAATTTCTTCCCCTCCCCACCCCTCCCCACCGCCAAAAAAAGGGTAGACGAGAACTTTTGAATTTTCATGCGGTGGCCAATGTATGTAATTTATTCAGTTTTCGCGTTTCTTTGTATTGGTTCTTAAAGTAAGGCGAACTTTCTCTGCGTGCCAGAAAGCAAGTTTGCAATGTTTGATTGCCATTTAAAACTACTCTACGTTTTTGCTGCTGTATTTCTAGAACCTTATATTGTGCCAAGGGAAACTACGAGTTTGGAATATCCAGGATAATGAAGAGCTTGGAGCCCTACAATAAAAAGGTGGGATTCTTTTGTTACAGTTACATGGCACATTCACCAAACTTACCTGATAACCTTAGCTTCCGCCCAACTTACCTTATCCCTTGTCAGTCACTCAAGTCAAGGTGTGGTAGAACTCATCAGCCTGCGTGGGACACGCGCGTGCCCGCGACGGTCTCTAGAGAATGCTTGAAGACTACGCGAGAGGTGTTCAAGTTAATAGGAGAATCTCCTTTGCTGGTTAATTTCACTCGTTTGCGTTGCCTTTTATTTTCTTCATTGTAGCTTGGAACAGATACGTGGTTTTACGCCAAAAGATGCTTTTTGTCGCTGTTAGAGAACATGGTAAGGAGCACTGAAATGATTATTGTAAAAAACTCTTGTGAGTCTTTATTCACGGCTAATAATAGCCTCCGACGCATAGTGCTCAGGTTTCGTCACGCGTTCCTCCCTCACATTCGCTTGGGAGGATGAGGTGACGGGCCAATCGAACGACCCCATCAGTTGAAGCTTAGTCTGCTACACAGCCGTTTTTAGTGTCGTCACGCAACGCTTTTCGAAGAGCGTTACCGTGGCCATCGTAAAGCAACGCGCGTGAAAATTGTCCCACGCATTTCTCGCGAGGGGTGATTTTTACGCGCGCTCGCGTTTCGCTCGCTCTACTATCCCTGAGGAAAAATGGGGACTACTCGTTGTCTAATTCCAAGGCAGGATGTTTGTGATGAATCCAGCCGCCTGCCAATCTCTGGCCGCCGTAAAAGGCAGCAGCTTTCGCCTTGTGCTTTAATGTTAGATCACATGTCGTTGCCAATTAGTCAACTCTCGCCTTGCGGACTTCCCGCTATAACGGACACCCTGATATAGTACGGACAGCAGCTAAATCCCGGCCAAACATAAATCACAGATGTTTGACTGAAATAATTTCCCGCTATTACGGACTCTCGCTAAAGAGGACACTAACCCAAGGTCCCTATAATGTCCGCTATAAAGGGAGTTGACTGTATATATTTTTGTCATTTTTATTTGTTCTTTTTTAAGAGAAATCGCCCATCTCATTTTATTCAGTGTAGTATCGTCTGCAACAACAACAACAACAACACAACAAAAGCAACAGCACGAAACTTTATTTTCTGTTTTCCTTTCAGGCTAAGCATATGATTATGTTGCGAGATAGTGTCATACAGGACATTATTCAGTTCTTGGAGCACTGTGAAGGTAATGACCCAGGGCAGGAGCTCATCAGGAGCTCTAGCCCGGGGGTACTGCCATATATGGGCAATATAGCTATGTGCAGCCGCCGCTGTGAAGGATATGTTTTTAAAGTACTCCCGGGTTAATGACCAAGTCTGGACAAACAACCTGTGAGCAAGCGCTCCATATGAAAGTCGCGAGAGTCGAAGGTGACGCGCGAATGAGCCTCGAAAGATAATGGCGAAGAGAAGAAGGAAAGGTCTGTCTCTCCAGTCTTTCCTCCTCCCTCGCACTTGCTTGTAGCCTATTCTAGGCGTCCAGATAGTCGGAATAGAGCAAAGAGAAGTGAGCAGGGGAAAAATAAAAAACTATGTGGGTTGGGGTAGGGAGAGTAAGCGATCTCTCCCTTTCTGCGTCCTTTTTTTCTCTATTTTCTATTACGCGACACTCTCCACTATCTGAACGCCTGAATCAGCGCAGGCTCGCTTCGCTTGTGATTAAGGTGTGGCTCTTTGCTATCCGCGATTCTCAAATGTAGAGCTTACTTACAGGCAAGGACAAGCAATCCTTCGGGCTTCAATACACTCACTTTCCTCCCATCTCCCGTTTTTATCTCCTAGCTATGTGTATTCCGACCATGCAAGTTATAGGAGAGCTTCTCCGAGACTTGATTTTGCGCCGAAGAAAATTTAATTTAATTAGTCAATTCCGGATATTATTAAAGAGAGAATTAAGATTATCAACATTATTTTGATGATTACTGTCACTTGTGTGAAATTTTCCCTTTCTTGAACCTTTTATAGACGAGCGTTTTACTTGTACCATATAGTAAAATCCCGTTCACGCTGCATTCTTGACGATTATAATTAAAGTTTATTTTCTGTTTACTTTGCAGTTTACGGCAAGAATGTAGCAGCAGTTGTTGAACAGCCCTTAGAAGAAGAAAAGATGCACCCTGGAAAAAATACCGTTACCTACGAGGCCAGAGAGTTAAAGAGCCTTTTTCTTCGCTTGGTTTAAACTAGTGTCATACACGCCGTTGATCAAAACTGACTGAAAAGGCGCGAAAAATAGGTCACCTGCATGCAGGTCACCGTTGCACGTGGCCCAGAGAAAAGCAACTTTTGTATTTTATTGCTAAAAAGACGTTTTAGTTGCATTGATAGAGCGTTTTCATATGACATCACGGCGGCCATATTGGTGTTCCAAAACAATCAAACGGCGGCCATCTTGGTCTTTCAAACCTAGCCTGTGGAGTTGAACTCGTTTCTTATGTGTGTAAAAACTTTCTTTTGTTCCAATAAATTAGCATAGATGCTGGCCACGTGAGTGAAAACGCCCTGTTTCTATAAAAAAATATTGAATCAGCAACAACCAAGAAAGCAGACCTGTTATGTTCTGTTGTATGTTTTTGTCTTTAATCTATGCTTAAAACGTTTCCGCCGACGGTAGACTCGCTTGTTGTAAATATTTGTTGTATCTAAGTGTAAATATTAGAATTATGGCGATGATCTAATAGACGCCCACTCTCAAATAAACGCCTCTTATCTAATAAATGCTCCCCTTTTTAGTGTTAAATTTGTATTAGACACCCCTTTCTAATAAACGCCCCCGTCTTATGGACGCCCCCCCATGAGAATTACTCTGAAGTACTAGGATGTAGCGTAAAGGAGCAAAATCATTCAATTTATTCAGTTTCTTGCTTGATTAACAAGGGTTTGCGTATTGTATCTTGTCAATGCCATTTTCGAAGTAAGGATAGACTTACCTACGATGGCAACACCATAACCCTGAGTGAGGATTCTGATTCAGTCGCTAGTGAGATTTGAAAGAGTGATAAGGATCTCTAGACGTATTAATTGATGGAGTGGATATTCCATCATTTTTAAATTCTCTTGATGTTTGCGCCGAAAGCATATTAGGTTTGTTGAGCTTGTTACAGTTATGAGAATAAACGCCTCTCTCTTTTAGTAGTCTCAGCTTCAGAAAGCCATTTTTACGTAAAATGGGAAAATCGATATTTGCCTAAATAGGGGTAGTATCAGGAAATATGTATTTGTAGCAATGAGAAAACTACAAGAATATTTCAGATTTGTGATGAAGTACTTAATAAAAGTACTGGAGCTTTGCTGTTATCTTTGACAGTGAATGAAAGGGAAGAAAACGGTAGGAACACGAAAAACATTGGGTTGCTTTTTTCAAGTTGTGCCACTGTGTCTCGAAAAATAATTGAATTAATGGCTTTCTTTCCAAGAATACAAAATCTTCATTGCTTGTTCATGTTAAGAGAGGGAAAAAAAAAAACGGTTTTGGTCTATAATTGTAATTTGCTTTTTGAAGACGGGAATTCTCATGAAATCGCCGCTTCAAAGTACGCGAGGAGACTCTGGGAATTATCTGTCACTTATTTGCTCAATAACCTTGGACGCTGCCGGTGTAACTAGGGAGAATCCCACGGGTATTCCCTATGATGGCATATACGGGGAGGCTCCGCCCGAAAGGGGTACTTTTTCAGGCTTTAGGTATATGAAAAGGTATAGTGATTTCACGAGTCGAAGTATGTTAATGGGTGGGGAAATCTGTCATTGCGGTCTCTGAAAGAACCTAAAAGGGCTGTTATCTTTTCAGGCGCGGATCTAGGATAAATACTGACCGATTTCCTAAACAAGCGCCGAAAGGGCAAGCTTCTAGGGGATCGAGGAAGCTAGCAGTTTGGGTCCCCTAAAGTCCCCTTTCCTTGGTTTCTGAGTCTTCAGACAGGGTATTGGCCAGTTCCATTTTCCTCGGATGAAGCCTTTCAAATTGGCGGATTATTTCATCAAGGTCAATTTATTTAGCGTATTTGATATGAAAAATTCGATCGATTTCCGTAAAACGGTGGAAACCGGTCTGGATCCGCGCCTGCTTTTGACTGTGATAGAGACAACCGAGAAAACTTCCTGGTTTAGTGATTTATACATATTTTAAAAGATTTTGTATTCACAGCAATTAACAGCTGTTAAAAGGGATACAACGTTCTAAACTGTAGGTATGTAAAAGGAGTTCTATTTGCCATTAGAAAGTATACGATAGGGCTTCCTTTTCTTTCTTTTGCTGCCAACCTTCGCAGTATAATTAAACGGATGTACGTCATGAGTAATGTGTGGATCAACATGTTGTGTATAGATAACCTCTATGTAACGGGAATAATGCAGCAAAATGAATAGACTAATAGTAATAATTCGTCTGTTTTATTCTTTCGCTCAGACTAATTATGTGGAGAAATTTCGATTCGTCGTCTTTTGAACGAATTCAAGACCTGACAGTTCTTAGTATCCGGTCAAGTCTTACGTATAAAAAATCGATTTCTTTTTAGTTAACATTTAAGGGTTTTAAAACCAGCCGACTTTTTTCATAGGCGCTCATTACAGAGACAGTGAATTCCACTGTTCAGGAAACCAAAGTGGGTCAAGGTGGATAAAAGTTGAAATGTAAATATTTTTTATACTCTTCAAAGGTTGCTATCTACTGACTCGGAGCTTTTTGGTCTCCAATTATAAACTCTTAGACCTACGTTGCGTCACCTTCTCCTTCCAATTATATGTAGTTTTTTAATTTGTTACCAGTATATCAGCGCTTTTGCTCCGATAATCAAAAGTCAATCTAAAAATACTAGTTTAAAACAGGGCTCCTGTTTAAAGGACCTTAATGGAAGACAGTGTTGTTACAAGATGTAGCTCCTTTTACGAAAAGTCCGAATTCCATAGCGCGCCTGATAGCCGGTTTCCTTTCTTTTTTCGGTATGCGAACAGCGGCAAATAAAACGCTAAGCGCCGCGCGCGCGGCGACTTCGCCGCAAAGGTCACAAAGGCTTTTTAACTTCCCCGCGCTTTAGTATAAGTAGCATGGGATCGAGGCGCAACTTCAACATCCCATAATCAGTCAACGCGTCACTTTGAGCACGAGGCAGTTTACCATCTTTGAACGAAGCGAAATGGCCGCAAAGGATAAAGTAGATATGTCTTTGGACGAAATAGTCAAGCTTAACAGAATTCAAAACAGAAGAGGAAGAGGTGGACGTGGAAGAGGAGGTAGAGGAGGCGGTGGAGCTCCTGGAAGAAGTCGTAGAGGTGGGATAACCAAGAATAGACCGACGCCATATACAAGAGTAAGTGCTTTGAATTTTTTTTCCTTTAGGATTAGTGTAAGAAACTCTCTTTACATCTTCCTCTCTCTGTTGTATTCGAAATATAGATCTCAAGTTTTTGGTTTGAGAGTCTTATCGCTTTCAAAGATATGTTCGTTCGTGCGCTCTCGTTCTTTCGATCTTCATCGCTAGGGAAAAGTTTAAGAAATTTTCAAGCTATCTTTGCGCTGTTCAGGTTCTATTTCATAGCACTCACTCTATTTCTTTTAATATATTTCAGCCTAAACAGTTACCAGATAAATGGCAGCATGATTTGTTCGATGGCGACACCGGTTTTCGGGGGGGAAGAAATCGCGGCGGTGGAATCTCTACGGGCTGTAAACTTTCCATTTCAAACCTGGATTTTGGCGTCTCGGATTCAGACATTCAGGTAAACTTACGATCCTTTGATCTGGTATGCTTTCTTAAGATTTCCTTAGATTATTCGCGTTGCTGTGCCTAAATTGTGAAGAGTCAAAGTCAGATTTTTCGAATCCAGCAGTGAATGTCATCTACAAGTTAGCCGGTATTATTTGAATCTTTGTTGAAGTATTAATTTTGAGTGATCAATAAGATATTGAAACTTGCATAGTCTTTATATATTGCTATGAAAATGGAAGAGTTTGCTTGGCCGATTTGTGAATAATTATAGGGAAGAAACCTCAGAAAGAAGGAAAGTTCAGGCGACATCTTCTAACATCTTCTACCATCATTTTGCTTTGATTGTTGAAGTATTGTGAACAGAAAGAGAAAGGAAAAATAAAAAAAAACAGAAAGGAGGAATCTTTTATGCATATGTTATTTTCAATGAAACAATTAAGGATTAACCCAGAATCAAGACCACAAGGCTATGCTCTAAGGAAAATTGAAGGAAGCCCAGTGCTCTGAAACTGTAAAATCTAGGGTGCCCAGCATATGATTTATATGAAAAATCTGAGATTTTCTAGTCGCCCGAGGGCAAAAGTTAGGCGCCAGGGGCCACTGGGCTCTGCTAGAGCACAGCCCTGAGACCAGCAAATTGTTGAACACCAAACTGTGGTTTTCCAAGGGTGCCTTTGATAAACCTTATAATTTCTGGATTGTTCCTGTTAAATAGTACAAAGGAAAGTAGAGCCTTCAGTTGCTTTCTTAGGCTTTTCTTGAACTGTTTTTTCTACAGTTTAACTGACACAACAAAGTTTCGAAGTGATTTGACTTTCAGATGGAGAGAATTCGTAACAGACTGTCTGCAATTAAAAAAATGATCCATTAAGCAACCTCAAGTCTTTAGTTGACGGCATTTGTTTATTCTATGGTCAGCCTAGGGTTTCTGATCCCAATGTCATTAAAAAAATAATCTTCTGTTTTAATGCTCAGGAATTGTTCAGTGAGTTTGGGCCGCTGAAGAAAGCCACTGTCCACTATGATGTTTCAGGCCGATCCCTTGGCACGGCAGAAGTCATTTTTCAGCAGAGAGATCACGCACAGCGTGCCATGAAACAGTATAATGGAGTGCCTCTTGATGGTAAAATATGTTAATTTTTTTATTGATTGAGTCCGGTCAGCACCATCTGGCTGGCAAGACGTCATCCAGCAGCAATCATCGGGCCATTCATTGGGCTTGGTTACTGTTGGGGCTCAATCTAAAGTGTACTACAAAGGCTGCAGCCCCACCACAGATGTTCCTTGGCATGCTTCATTTTCACCCCAGCTCAGCCAGGTGTCAAAAACACAGCTTTGGGTTCAAACTGGAGTCATCTTGTCTCCACCCGTTGCAGAGTTGTTTCCACCTTTTCTGGTAATACTGACCATGATGTCTTTCTAGCTGGTTTGTTTGCTGATTACACATGGCTTACACAATCTTTAAGAAACTAAATTCCACCAGGTGTGGTGTAAATTTTACCATTTTGTTGTAAGAGTCCCTAATGCTTCATTTGGCCTCTGTTTAAAAATCTTTAAAATTTTCACACCTTCGATACATAGACTGTGTGAGCCATGTAAAATGTAGTTTTAAAAGTTTTAGACATTGTAAATAAATAATTACATAAAGATAGTAAACTTGGTCTTGAAATGAAAAAAAATTAACTTAGAAGGTTCTGAAATGCTTTTGTTGTGCATTCATTTGACTTTAGATTATGACTCTGTACCCACTGAATTAAGTTACTGATAACTTAGATTCTGCTGTAAATGTAGGAAAAAGCACTGGGTTCGTCAATTCCTGTAGAATAAACAATACACTTGGTTTTCAATCTTTAACTGGTAGTAAATGTTGTCCTGGGTAACAGAAAGCATTAAGGTTCAGGTTTGTTGCACCTTCAATTTCACTAAAAAGTAAAAAGTTAAATTTGACTGATGTGAAATTTAGGTAGCTGTAAAAAATTCACTGTAGTTACAGGTGATTGCCACTCTTAGTGCTTTTTGTGTTGGTCATTTAACAATAATATTTATTGTTGAATGTTTTAGGGAGAGAGATGGTCATTGAACTGATCACCGGCGGGGCAAGTGCTAGAGGCTCCCAAGGTCAAGGACAAAGGTAATTTCTCATTTGTTGTTAAAATCCATAATCCCATTTGAAGTAGAACATTTATGTAAATTTTTGGCTGACACTCAGGATGAACAAGTTACATGCATTATAATACCCGAAAGACTTGCAACTGTTTAACTTACTGAACCTGTGAAATCCAGGGACTTGCCCATGATAGGATTTTTATGGAAAAACTAAGATTTTCCAGTCACCCAAGAGAAAAAGTAAAGCCTCAGAGAGCACCGGGCACTGCTAGAGCACAGCCCTTCAGTGATAGTCAAAGATTTATTGTAGTGTGAGGTGATGCTCATTGCTTTGGTACTAAACACTTTGTTGGGTATTGTTTGTTTAGTAGAAGACGGCAACAGTTTGGTGGTCAGGGCAGAAGTGGTGGGCGTGGTGGAAGAGGCAGAGGTCGTGGACGAGGTGGCAGGAGGGGTGGCTTTCAGAGAGCCAATGTCACAGCAGAGGATCTTGATGCAGAACTGGATGCTTATCATGATGCGGTAAAAATAATCACTCCCCCACCCCCTTTTAAAATCCAGAATTATGTAGATGCCAAAACATTTTTTAACGGAATACTTAGAGAAAGCTACTTTAAGCTTAAACCTACTGTGTTTTTGAAAACAAAAAATATGGACATCATTTTTTTGTTTTTACTTTGCTATGACTTCCCAAGCATTGATCTAAAACATATGTCTTGCATTTTTTAACACATTGGAGATAGCTCAGGGTTTGAATTAGCAAACTGTTTATAAATTACTATGTTGACGAATTAGCATAGCAAAATATATATATATAAAAAAAGGAAACAAGAGTTCAAAAGAGTCATTTCAAGTGTGTTGTCTAAAAATGCTGAATTTTTTCTTGAATGTTAACCAATAATTTAAAGACGTTGGTTTTTTCCCAAGAATTTGATCATTGAATGCAGTGACTGATCATTAATTTTTCTACTACTACAATGGCCCTACTGGAATATTTTATGCTACTTTATGTTCGTGTTACTTTGTTTGAATAAGACTATTTTTTGTCTTTTTTTACAGGGTGATGTCGACATGGCAGAAGACTGAACTACTAATTTCACTGATAGCTTTTTTTAGTTTCACACAGCACTATAATCTGAACTATTTAAACAATTTTGCGAAGTAAGACGATGTAGTATTGCTTTGTGGAAAGAAAATTTTTTTGTTGATTTTGCGCCCAATGCTTTTAATGGCGGACAAAGACAAGACTGTCTTAAATTGAAGAATATTGAACAGTTAATACTCACGTCTGTTGCACTGTATGCTCAGTGATTTTGTGCAAGATTTTTATTATTTCCTAGGAAATGCTACGCATAGATTGACAGTGAAAACCTTTATATAACAACCACTGATTTTTGGCAACTGGCTGAAATCAAAATGGGCGAGGTTGTTCAAAGCTGGGTTAAGATATTAAACCTAGGGTTAGTGCGAAATTTGAATTCAGATATGAAAGCTTAAAAAGTAAATTCAGTTTAATTCTTTTCATCAACAAGTTGATGATTTAATGCTCTTAAGAATAACAGAGAAAACTATCCAAGAGAATGCTTTGAACAAAAGAAAAAGAAACCCCGGTTAAATTTAACCCTGGGTTAAGTGCTAATCGGCCTTCGAACAACTGGGCCCTGATGGAATAGAGTGATTTGCAGGTTGTTACATGCAGGCTTTTGCTATACCAAGAACTAGTGCAAACTACATTAAACTTAAAAAAAGTTTTAATAAAAGTAGTATTTTTGTAAGTATTATTAACAACAGGTAGTTTCCCCTTTAACAAAATGTTGGTGCTACAAAGCCAACAGTTTTGAACAAAGTAGAGAAGTTTCAAGCTGAAATTAAAAATATTTGTGAGCCTCTTGTGGATGTAGGGCTAAAGTTTATTAATGTTATGGAGTGATGTTATTGTAGTTTTTTCCTGCTTCAGTTGTTTCTCTTGTTATCCCACTATCATGTCAGCATTAATATCTGATACTTCACTGAGAGCCTCATATAATTCTGGTATAATTGAGTTTTGTATAATTTCTACATAATGCCATCAAGGAGTCCCTCTGCTTGTCCTTGTGAAAGAGGATCTAACGCAGTAGGCTGCTAAAAGAACAATTATCAGTTATATAGACTGCAAGTAAGCACCGCATTGGGATATTCAACTGGGGCGCTTGCTTCAGGGGTATCAGTTATGTGAAACATTGTTCAAAAGTTTATCGTATTGTTAGAGTATGAAATAAATTACTATTCTGTGAGTTGTATTCAATTTGCACCTTTATTGATCAGGGCCAAGTTGTTCAAAAGGTGGATAGCGCTATCCACCGGATAATCTCTATCCAGTGACTGGTGCAATTGGTTTAACTAATACTTATCCACTGGATAGAGATTTATCTGATGGATAGTCCTAACCAGCTTTTGAATAACTGGGGCCAGACAGATCAAATTTACAATCTTACAGTACCTAGCTTTCCAAGTGTTGCCACTGTTTAGCGGTGATTGCATTAAGAGCCAAAGGCCATTTTTCTTATTTATTATCTTGAATGCTGTATAATGAAATCTGATTGATTAAGTCAGCTAAGACATTTCTACCATTACCAAAATTTAGGACTTTATAACGAGGTAATAAATTGTGTTCCTAAATTTTTAGTTCTCCTTTCTTTTTGATAAAAGGGAAAGCAAGAAATCAGTGGCTGTCTATTAACACTGTATCACTATATGTTAGAGGGTCACGGGCTCATCAGTTTTATCATAACGGTCACTTGACTGTTTACCCTCTTTAAATAAAGGCGTTACTTACATGTGGAGGGGGTTGTAGTGTCTGCATTTTCAGACATTTTTCAATTTTTACATTTTTTAGTAGGCCAATTCTGAGTTGCCCGAATCTCTGTTTAACACCGAGGCTTAGTGTGAAGCCATTGCTACAAAAATGAGTTTTTATTCAGTAATTCTATTGAAGTAAAACTAATTTTTACAAGATAGGGTTTGCACTTAGCCTTGTGTTGAAAATGAGAGTTTTTGTAACTAGGAAATGGGCTGTTATCTTTGGTTAACACTAATTTCTTAAATTTTATTTTCCTTTGTTTCAAGCAAAGTTGAAGCACCACATATACGTGAGTCTATCATTTGGAATTTCATTTTGATTTCATTTCTGCAGTTCTTATAATAATGATATATTTCATATACATCTATCACATTCACCTCTTTCACGGGTTCAAACCCCATTAAGTCCTGAGGGCCCAGTTGTTTGAAGGCCGATTAGCGCTAACCCAGGGTTAAATTTTTACCCATGTTTCTTTTCCTTTTGTTCAAAAGCATTTTTCAGGACAATTTTCTCGATTCTTTTTAGAGCATCAAATCATCTACCCTGGGTGCCAGAGACTTTATTAGCACGGTTTCTGGTTTCTGTCAAGTCTTTATAGTGACTCGCTACTCTTGGCTTCGGCCTTCGGTTAACACGTGAGAAAAACCTCTCGTACCCAGGGCACAAATCATCAAATTGGGGACAAAAAGAATAAAACTGAATTTGCTTTTTAAGCTTTCATATCTGAATTGAAATTTTACACTAACCCTGGGTTATCTGAACCCTGTTTTGAACAACCCAGCCCAGAATTTTTTTCAGGCCAATAGTTCTTATGCAAGTTCACCGTGCTGCGAGGATCATTCTTCATTTTATATAATTTAAGTTATTGATATAGGTAATTTAAGTTGTTAATTAAAAATTTAGGTGGGGAAGGGAAATCGGTTTGTTCTGTCTCTAGAAGCATCATCTGGCCTCCGTTTTGTAGTAGGTAATGGGAAACGCCTGCATCAGTCCTGAGCCAGACTAGTATTAAAAAAAGCACCTTGGCGCAGGACAAAAGTTTTTATTAAGCTAGCCTCATTCTCCCTCCCTGATTTGAACTGGCTTCTCAGGATCAAGATCAGCAATTCAGACAAAAACTGTATTTAAAAATTAGAAGGCGGATTGGACAGATGAATTACTCAGGCCGTGATATATACAGCACGACTCACGGCATGTGTATATTTCGTGTATCATATACAATGTGCCCACCGGAAGCCAGACTCGAAACATCAACTCGCTGACCAAAATGGCTCCAAAATTTAAAAGCTACGAGTTTTGGGAGCACGTACTTAAATCACCTAAATATGTTGTTGCACCTATGGTGGATCAGTCTGAATTACCATGGCGACTTTTAAGCCGAAGATACGGTGCAGAACTGTGCTACACGCCGATGATTCACGCGGGATTGTTTGTAAAGGACTCGTACTATCGAAAGGAGGCTTTTCACACGTGTGACGAAGACAGGCCGTTAATCGTGCAGGTTACAATTTTCTTTCTCTTTCGGTGTCTTATGATAGTGTCCTACTCGAGACCTAACATAATACCACCAGTTTTACATTGGCAAGACGTTAAAAGTTGTCAAACAAGCATGCCAGCGTTCATTTTTAAGGCGAACGGTCTTAAGCTGAAACAGAGTAACTTCAGAATAAGCTTACATGTACCTTGCCACTTGTCGAAACGCCTTAAGAACGAGGCATAACGCAATAGATACTTTTGTTATGCAACGAAATGCGAATAACTGGCGGAGTATTCTGCAGTACGTCTGTACCTGCTTTGCTACGTTGTCCCAGTTACAAAGTTAACTATTACGTGTTTCTCAATGGTTGTGGCAAGAAAAAGTTGGCTTTTTTAGCCTGTTCTGTTCCCTGCTTGCACAGGTCGCTAGTATTTGGTGGGCAGTCTCTTTTACTCCTGCCTGCCGAATACCAGGGGAAAAAAGGCCTCTGTTAGCAGGAAACCTGTTCTGAGCTCTTAGTTCTAAACTAAAATTAATGTAAATTGATAAATATATCCACAGAGGGGCAGAGGTTTTGTTTCAGGCCAGACATCAATAGTGTGGGACCAGGCTCCGAATTGGGGTAAAAAGGAAAAAAAATAGTTGGCGAGCGAAGCGAGCTTAGAGGTAATCTGGGGAGAGGAAAGGGTGGCGGAGCCTGGAGACATGCCTTTGCTGTCGATCCACCCTCCAGCGATTAACTTTTCATTGAAATGCCAACACGTCAAGTTTACATCACAGATGTCAGCATGAGCTTATTATGTCGCTTTTGTAAAAAAAAAAATATGAATTTTAGATGAAATAAGAGTGCAAACAAAGAGATCTACTGAACTTCAATTGCCAACTGGACTGACACCAACTTCAGTGAAGAGAAATAAGGACGTTTCAAAGGAAAATGTGACGTGTGTGACCGGTCGGAAGAACACGGGGATCAGCCGAATAGATTCCCAAGGAGATTCCTCAAGTTAAGATAGATAAGATAAGATAAGAACTTTATTTTAGCACGATAAAAAGATCAGCATTGCTGGTGGGGTCGTGCATACTAACAATTACAAGAAAAATAAGAAGTACGATTAAAAACTAAAAACTGTTAAAAATGTTTGAAATAGGTCGTGAAAATGTACAATTAAAAATTAAAACTGTTAAAAGTATTCGTAACCGATATCTCTATTTTTGGTAGTAGCTAAGATTGGTTAAAATGCATTTTATCGGTATCAAATTTTACGAGACAGCGTTTAAATTCTTTCAAGGTTTTGGCCCCTGTTTCCTTGTTCGTTAAAGTGTTCCATGCGATTGCTCCTCTAAAGCGTATGGAGTTCCTGATAAAATTTGTTTCTGGTCTTGGAAGAATGATGTTCTCATTTCTTCTGCAGCCTGAATTCCTCTGTAAAAACAAATTTTTAAATTCCGTGACGGTGTAACCTTTTAAACATTTGAAGACAAACTCCGTTAGTCGCAGTTTGTACATTGTTTCCAAACTATCCCATCCAGTTCGCATTAAGACATCTTCAGCGCTTGTGTCCCATGGCAGCCCATTTACAATCCGTCCAGCCCTTGCATGGAGTTTCTCCAAGTTTTTTAGGTGTGTCTTGTTGCACGATCCCCACACTGTCAGACCGTATGTAACTGATGGCAGTATCACTTTTGTGTAGAAATCTTCTAATTGCTTCTGAGGGAGGAATCGCATGCGTCGGAGTAGACTTAACTTGGATGCGAAGGACTTCGCTACATTTGCAGCATGATCTGACCACGACAACTTGTTATCAACTTGTACTCCGAGGAGTCTTTCTGAGGTTGTCCACTTTATGATGTTGTTGCCAAGGCGCAGAGCTTGGATAGGGCCAGTAAATGTTGATTTGCGCTGCATGATCATTGCTTTGCATTTCTCTGGGTGTGGTACCATCGAATTTCTGTCGCACCATTCCTGGAGTTCAGCTAGAACATTGTTTAATGAGTTTGTTAGCAAATCCATCGTTTCTGCAATACAGTATATTGTTGTGTCGTCTGCATACAGGTAAGTTTCCGCAGAGCGTAGTGATTTTGGGAGGTCGTTTGTGAAGAGGGAGAATAAGGTGGGTCCGAGGACCGACCCTTGAGGCACTCCGTGAGCTATAATGTGTGTATCGGAGTCGGATCCGTTGATTCTGACGAATTGTCTTCGTTCTGTAAGGTAGTTCTTTAACCACAGCCAGACATCTCCTCTGATTCCAAGGTCGTTCAGCTTTTGTAGAAATATATTGTGCGACACTGTGTCGAAAGCTTTGGTGAAATCCACAAACAGTATTCCCACAAAAAGCTTTCTTTCTACTGCTTCTCTCCACTTCTCAGTTAGGTGTATTAATAACTGTTCTGTTGACTTTCCCTTTCTATAAGCCCATTGTCTGTTATCGAGTAAATTTTTTGCGTAACCACGTGATTAGTGATATTACTTGCGATGCAGGATTCCATTAATTTACTTGGTATACTGAGCATAGACAGTGGTCTGTAACATGTTCTGTCTTCCTCTCGTCCTTTTTTGAACGCTGCACTGACTCTAGCTATTTTCCACTGGTCTGGTGGCTTGCAGGCTTCAACACTCTGTTTAAACACTTTCGTGAGAGATGGGGCAATAGCCATACCTGCATACTTTAAAAACGGCGCAGAATCGCCATCTGGCCCGTGGCTTTCTTCACTTTTAACTTACAGATCTTTTCCTCGATTTCCTTCTGACTGATCGTGATGCTGGTCATAATCGGCATGTCCACATTCTCACGGCTATGGGCGTGTAATGGCTGAATTTCATCGGCGGGGCCAATCAATTTTTCAGCAATTGTGCAGAAATAATCGTTCAACATGGTTGCCTTTTCAGTGTCATCTGTTGTAAGGGTTCCATCGTCCTTCTTTAATTGGTGGGCTTGTCTGTTTACTTTTGTTGTTCCTGATGTCTTTTTCAGTAGTTTCCAGTAAGCAGCAGTGGATTTTACTTCATCGAATAGATTGGAGTAATAATCGGCTTTGGCTTTTTTCGTCATTGTTGAGACTTTATTTCTAAGTCTTTTATAGTCATCCCATAGCAGTGGATCATTTGATTGACGCGCCGTTTTCAGAGTCTTATATCTTTGATTCATGGTTATTCTAATTTCCTTTGTTATCCAAGGCAGGCTGTTACTGCGTACTTTAATTTGTTTAAGTGGCGCGTGTTCGTTGCACAATTCTATGAAGAGCAGGTTCCATGCGTAATAAACATCAGTCGGATCGTCAAAAACTTCGCATACTTGAAAAGTTCACAGTTCATGTCATAATGCTCGTTTACATAGCTTACAAAATATTGCCATTGGTAGAGTTTATACTCTAAGGAGGAAAAATGTGCAAGTTTAGCACATTATGCGACAGACTATTAAGTTTGAGTGTATTCCTGTTGTCAATTTGTTGTTCGTTTTACAAGTTAATTTCTCTGTCAAAATCGTTTAAAAGTCAGTATTAAATTATCATTTCCCTGATTTTCCTCAACCGCTGTTATCTTTGTACTAGCCTGCGAGCAGAGGTTTCTTTCTTGCATGCATGGCTTTTAGCCATAGTCATTCTTGATTTTTAGGTTTTATCATGCTGTTGCCAGGAGCGTGATTGTAATGCGGTGCCATTTGAACGTCGGTTTATAAGTCCATCGCTTTGTAAATGTGATCGTAGTTTATCACTGGAAAGTGCAAGAAAAGCTTGATTTGTTGAATGCTTAGTTTTTCTTTTTGCAACCGGTCACAGGCATATTTTTTGCTCTTCTTGGAGCAGGGATAAGCAAAAAGTCTTGCAAAGAAATTTGTATTGCCTGCTCAAAATTTGTGTTTTAAAAAATCTTCTGCCGAAATAGAAGGAGCGTGACATTGAAAGAGCGCTATTCTGTCAACCGCACTGCGAATCTGTCAACATGAAGACATTTGACCAATCAGAGCATGATACCAGAATCTGGTATCATGGAATGGCAACATCAAAGGCATTGTCTCCAGGCTCTGCCGCCATTTCCCCTTCCCCAGACCACCGCGAGGGTCGCTTTGCTCTTCGATATTTTTCCTATTTTTGTTATTTGCCTTTTTTCCCCACCGTGAAGCCTGGTCCCAGGCTAAGACATCAGATGCAAAGTCCATTGACATGTTATGTCGATGAGTTCACCACAAATAATTAGTTTTTAAATGTGAAAATTGTTTCTTTTTTTCATTTATTAGTGAAAGATAGATTTGACCCTTGAAAGACCTTTACGGTCAACCAGTTTGTCCAGGGAATGCAGGAAATTGCATTTTAGAGGGTCCAGTTTCAAAAATTTCCTGGGGGAGCTGCCCATAGTCCCCTCTTGAAGTTTGTGCCTCTATTATTAAACATTGCGCCTGCAGCACAGACGGTGCGTGTCTGCCACCTGAGCTTTAGCCTGTGAACAGGCCTTTGGTGGAGGGGAACAGAGAGCCTGTTCACAGGCTAACTAAGCCTCTGCATCTAGTACTTCCAAATGCTACCAAAAACCCTGGAGATGATTGCCGATCACAGTGGTTATAGTCAGTTAGAATAAGGGAAAAAGCAAACTCAAACATGCAATGAAAAAATATGCCAAGGAATGGGAAGAGACAGGGCCCTTCCTCTTTCTTCCTTTTTTTTCCAGACTTGCTTTACTTTTCACTTGTCCCAACAAACTGTAAGAAAGGGCTTGTAATGTGTTGGTAGCTACTGGTTTTCACTTTCATTTTTCATTTCATTTATTTTGCCATGTGGCTTGTGCTCTACACATTCATATTTGCAAATTCACTTGGGTTTGCTGCCATTGTACTGAGGCTGTTACCTTGAGTAAAGTATCGAAAAGTCCTGCTAGGAAAAAGATCTTTTTGTATACTTCTTTTTCTTTAACATCTGTCCCCTGCTGAGGGTGGAAGTATTTTCTTTTGCTTTGTCATTAGATAACAAATGAAGTGTGTAGATAAGAAACTCGCATGTAGCAGATTCCACAAGTAGCAAAACCAATGTTACCAATTTGGCGTAAAGAAAGAAAGTTGGAATCATTGAAACGCTCTTTGAAGGAGATGTGAATGTTAAAATTATACTGATTCTAAGTTTAACATTTAGGTTAAATGAAGAAAACCTTTGACTTTTACTTTGCAGTTTTGTTCTAATGACCCTGAAACATTTCTGAAAGCAGCCCAGCTAGTAGAACCATACTGTGATGGGGTTGATCTGAACCTTGGATGTCCACAGATAATAGCAAGACGAGGTATGTAGAAAGAAAATACAGTCAAACTTAAACTCAATAGCAACTATCAGGTCAATGTAAGTTTTGGGCAGAGTACCAGAGTTGGTCATAAAAGTACAGAGGTGGTAGCTTGATAAATCAATAAAATATGTTTATTTTGCTTTTTAGGTAATTATGGAGCATTTTTGCAGGATAAGTGGGAATTGATAGCTTCCATGGGTAAGTTTTAGGAGTTAAGCTATAGCTATTCAATATTAATTTTTTTTGTCTGTGTGTGTTCTTTGTGCTACTTTTAAGTACCTTTTACATAACTGTATATTTATTTCTTTAATTTTCAAAGTGTAGCTGTTATTTAGGGTTTGCAGGTATTGTTTTCATGATTAGATTACCTCTCTGTTCATTATCGTATTATACAACTTTGTCTTATTTACAGTAAGTTTACTGAATGAGAAGCTGATGATTCCTGTAACTTGTAAAATTCGAGTCTTTGAAGATTTGGAAAAGACAGTAGAGTATGCAAAAATGTTAGAGAAAGCAGGCTGCCAGGTATGTGAGATTTTTAATGATTTTTCATGTCCCGTGCACTCAGTTTTGTTGAGCTGTGTTACACTGTTGACTGTCGTTGAATGCAAAGAATTTAAAATGGTGTCAACTGTTATTGATTAAACAACCAGAAGAGCTAATGGAATGGCATCCGAGTGGTGTTACAAGAACCAGACTTTGCGTTATTGGGTAAATTGCATTGAACTTTTGGTGAAGGGAAAGGAGATTTATTTCAATTTGGTGGGGAATTTGAGTTATCTGAGTTGGAGTCAATCGAGAAAAACCGACTGAAAAGTGAGGTGAAATTCAAGGGATATGGTACTTAGTTCAAGTTACCTAATGGAGTAGGCAGTTCAATATATCTGAGTTTGAGTTAGTTTGAGTTATCGGGGTTCCACTTTAGTACTCCTGTCACTCTTACGGTGTAGTGAAGTCCTCTCTCCCTTGGTAACACGAACCACACAATAACATCCACTAAAATCAGGGTTGTGAACCTGCAAAACTTAGCACCCCTACAAAACCCTTGTTTTCACCAAAACTGCTGGTCACTGAGTGTGGTTTCAAGAGGTCAAGGTGATTTGGTGCCCTCTTAGGAGTAAGGACCATGTTAGCGGGAGACGCGTCCTCTCACTTCTTTACTGCTACATTTACCCTTGTTCCTCACTCACTGCTCAGTGTCCATGTCTCAGTCTGTGGTTTGTTCTTTTGTAGATATTGACTGTCCATGGAAGAACAAGAGATCAGAAGGGCCCAAACACTGGACTGGCTAATTGGGATATAATTAAAGCAGTAAAGTAGGTGAAAATCAAAGTCTTGTGCAACGTGTGAGAGATAGCCTGCGAAGCAGGCGCCTGGAGGTATTTGGGCGCAAGAAAGAACTGGAATGCGAGAGGGAGACATGCGATGGGGGAGAGGGAGACATGCGATGGGGGAGAGGGAGCTCCTCTTCCCTCCAATCTTCCTTGTGTCCAAATACTTCCAAGCGACTGCTATGCAGGCTATGTGGGAGATTCATTTTTGCTTGACTAAATAATGCTTATAATCATATGCTGGCAGGCTAGACAAGCCAAAAAAAAATTATTAACCCATTCGCCCCTGAGCCGGCTGTAACCACCTGTGTGGATCCACGTTCTTTCCACTGCTTGTGACATCGTCTGTTTTAATTGTCAAGGACAACTTTGTCTGCTAACTTGCGCAGAAGAGATCTTTTAAACCATACCATAATGAGCACAATTTAGTTTGTGGACACCAGAGAAAAAGGAAAAAAACCGTGTAACATTAACCTGAAAGTTTTCGTCTTTTTTATGTAATACATGGTGATCAGAACCTGGCTTGACTAACTCATCAAACGGTGTTTTTGTGGACCAAATGCTGAGGAGTGGATAGGAGGAGCTTTATGGTTAATATTTAATTATATATGTTGACCATAATGCATACGTATTGGTAGCTTACAGTTTTGTTCAAAAAAGGAAATTGCACGCAAATTGCGAAGTCTGCGAGGAGGTTTTTGGGAGATAGCTTGAGAGATCACTCATGAGCACTCAAAATGGAGAGCTTGTTGGCAGGCTAGAATCGTGTTGTATCCAACACTATTCTCATTGCACGCAATGCAGATCTCGCACCCACCGGGACGAATCTTATTTGCCTTTAGGCATAAAACCGCAAGTACCAAGGATTTAAACTCTTTTGCCAATTCACTTCAATTACAATTTGGATCTTATGTTATCTTTCTTTGCGTTCAACAGAGAAAATGTATCCATCCCTGTGTTTGCCAATGGTAACATAAGATATCTGCAGGATGTGGAACAATGTATGGCATATTCAGGAGTGGATGGAGTCATGACTGCAGGTCTGTTACACACCCGGGGGGTACTCCCTTATATAAACTATATAAGTATGTGCCGCCCCAAAGGGTATGGTTTTTGCCCCGTTTCAGTCTGATTACGGAAATGTATGGACTTATTTGTCATTTCAATTCCAAATGAATAAGAAAGAAAGAGTAATATTTGAATTCGAAATGGGTGTGAAATTTGTTGGCATTCTAATCTAAGTAGTGATAAAAATTATCTTCTTAGAGGCCAGGTCTGTAAACGGGTGCGGATTTTAGAGTACTCTGAAATAGGGTCTGGATTTCGGGAACCGGGCAGCACGCCCCCACCAAGTATTCGCAGTAGTGCCGCTTTCGGGTTACACATTTGTTTCACAGATCGAAAGGACTGCATAGAGCTTTGTCCTGTTTAAGTAAAGAAATTATGTGAGTGTGTATATCCGGTAAAAACCTTTGTCTTGATACCAATCCTTCCTAAATTATGTAATGTTTCTAATAATTTTGGCTGTCAATCAGCTGGATAGCACACATAGTAGACCTGGTGAATTAATTAAGCTCTATGGTTGTGCAGAAGGTGCCCTGCTACCAACCGGGATCTTTAAATCACGTAGATCCTTACTTCGTTCAGGAACATGTCGTTTTATTGCTGGTCTTGACTCACGCAGTTATAGGCAGAACTTCAAGCTCTTACTGAAAGGGTTATTATATGAAAGAAGATCATCGCAGTTATTTGACGCAACTTTTGCAGTTGCGAAAAGAAATCCTGAAAAAATTCAGGCTTGTACGAGATTCGAACCCTTGGCCTTTGCGATACCGGTACAGCGTTCTACCAATTGAGCGATTCAATGGCCTGCTCCCAGTTGGCTTGTTAGCTCAATTGGTAGCTAGAGCGCTGCGCCGGTATCGCAGAGGTCAAGGGTTCGAATCTCGTACAAGCCTGAATTTTTCCTGGATTTTTTCGCAACTGCAAAAGTTGGGTCTATAAGTGCGATGATCTTCTTTCATATAATTCTTCACCCCGCAGTTCTCATATATATGATTTTCATATATTCATAACTTGAAAGGGTTATTGTCGTGTACGAGTTACAACCAAAAGTATTTGGACAACTCGCTTTCCTTTGCCTAAGATTACCAAACAGAGGAAATTCTGAATACGCTAATCTTCGCACCTTTACAGCCCAAAGCTCATTTTATATTCTAAGGTTTTTGTTCCAGAAACAGGTAGAAAACCTGCACGATTTGCTTAAGATCACAAAGTTTAGCGATATTTTCTCACCTTCAGAAAATTCTACTTTCTACCTGAAAAGGCTCTCGTAGCCGATCGTGTTTGTCGCGACGAAAAGCTCACATATTTGTCCTAAAATCAACCAGCTTAATACGGACACTGGTTACTAAGAACAACGTCAACCCCGCTCTGCGGACACTGGTTATCTGTGCACTGTCTACTTTCATTATCCGGCACAATTATGTTAACATTGTGTCCTGTCAAACAATGACTGATTTGTACCGGTTAAGCCTAAAAAGTGAAGCGTCCGTTTATATACTTTTTTTAATTTACTTAAAACAGTAAACTTTATTTCACCCAAGGTTTAGAAGGGAAAAATTGGACGATTTCAGAAAAAAAGCAACTAAAAAGAAAAAAAATCTCTATAAAGCTAATTACTGTATATGTACAGCAAAAAAAATGTAAATCGAATTCGATCACCGTAGTGAAAGACTTGCATCGCAGAACTAAAAATCCTCTTTTAAGCCCCTCCCCCCTTTCAAATAAACCTCCTCTCTCTAATAAGCCCCCCTTTTCAGGGGAAGAAAGCTAATAACCCCCCTCCTCTCTTTTAACCCCCTCCCTCCCCAACCGTTATTATTCTTCAGTCGTAAATGATAGACTGTATAAATCAATCACGACTGTAAAACTTCGTTTGGACTGATCTAGGATGGTTTACTTCACCAACTGGAAGCTCGGCTTTGTTTTTGATCCTCGGCTGCATGATCTCCAACTTCTTATACTTGAGCTTTTCAACTTTGTATTCTAGTTCATTATGGAGAACTGATACCATTGTCTTTGCTTAATTAAATAAACCCCCCTCTCAAATAAGCCTCCCCGTCTCTATTAAGCCTCCCATCAAATGGGCTTGAAAGAAATAAATAAGCTTTCGGGGGAACTTAGAGGATTTACAGTATGTTAAGATTGAAAAGAGGAAGAGGAGGAGGAGATTGAAAAGAGGAGAGGAGCGTTGCGTGACGATAACAAAAACGGCTGTGTTGCAGACTATAAGGAAGCATAATTGGCAGTATTAACAAAATGAACCAGACAGCCCTTACAACGAGCCCCTTTAAGTTCTTCTTATCGCTACTTTCGCCGTTCGTTGGATTCTGATTTCTAAAGGTCGTTAGGTTAGGGATTTTAGTTATAGGCAGGCATCAATTTTTGCGTAACTTTCAGGATAGTTTGTTACCTCCGGAAATTTACCGGGTTTTTCTTATTCCTTGCAGAGGGAAATTTGAGTAACCCAGCTCTTTTCACTGGAAAGCATCCTCCTGTTTGGCAGATGTCTGATGAGTACATGGCTCTTGTAGATAAGCACCCGTGTCCACTATCTCACATCAGAGGTCATTTGTTTAGGCTTTGGCGTATCATGTGAGTACAGTCAGTGTTCTCCCTAAATTTTAGGTTAGCAGGTAAGGGACCATTCATGGCCAATAAGGCAAAAAATATCTCCGGGGGGGAGGGGGTAGTGGCGTGAGCGACACCCTCGCGGGGAAATTTAGGAGCTAAGTTCTCTGAAACGTCATTCCCTTATTCTAAGACCTATTTTACGCAAATCGGCCGTTGTTATTTTAAGACAACAATTTAAAACGTTCAATCTCAATAATTTTACACTGTCTGCAATGTTCTCTTTCCAAAATGCATGGCCCATATACAAAGAAAAGCTGTGTATACTTAAGTACTTTTCTATATCTATTCATTTTCCTTGGGAGAATCGGATCAGATCACAACTTCCTTTTTTCAAATTTTAGTAAACCTTCAAGCGGTTGCACTTAGTAAGAAGTGTTGCTTCAGGCCGTAAATTTTACTGGTTACCGCCTGATAACACTGACAATGGAAACTTACTGCTTTAAGGCCCGGTTCAAACGTCGAACTTTACATGTGCCGAACCTAATACCTATTTAGGTCGATCCAAACTATTAAGTTCGACTGTTGATTCAGAAGGTCGAACTTTACCTGTGCCGAACCTAATTCGTGGCGAAAAGAAATATCATCCTTACTGCTCAAATTAGGGACATAAACTGAAAAAAAGTAAAATTTACCAACCCTGGAAATTCTTGTTTTGATTTTGGTGTGATTTGTGTTCTGTTATCAGCTGTGTTATGGCAAGGAGAACAGCTGAGGAGACAGTGATCGTGATATTTGGACAAAATAAAGTAACGCCATAAATCAGGGTCCGAAATTATCTTTTTAATACGGGCGCCAACTGGCGATCAAGTATAAATTTTTGGTCGCCAGAGGGCAAATTGTGGTCGCCAAAAATTTCCCCTCCCTATTTTTCAAATAAAAGTTTAAACACGAATAAAAAATGCATGGTATGGACGTTTTTATGCTCAAAAATTGCACTACTTTCGCTCCCGATACCAGAAAGCAACCGTACGTGTACGAGTGAAGTCTTATTTTTTCCACAAATTACTTTTTGGAGATATAAAGCTGTCTGATCTAGAACGTAGGAACAGAAAGCTGTCTGCCCATAACTGCACTGATCATATCAAAACTCTATTTTCTTCCGATAACTACCACGAAACACGAAACATAAACACGAGTCAAGCCGCGATGACCATATCACTGTGACAGTACCAGGCCACAACTGTGCCACATTACTCGTACCAGTCCACAAAGTACATAACGTACTTACCGTATTTCAGCTGAAAACAACATAGCGGCTTGGAAACGTTCAACTCGTATTGATCGTAGCTGTTGTGGAGGTATTATTCTGATTATTACAGGAAGATTCGTTTCACGTTTAGAAAGTCCACAAAAACAACCAACTGTACAAGTCGCTAGCTGGCGACCAGCTATTAAATTCTGGTCACCAGGACTAAATTTTTAGTGGCATTGGCGACCAGGAAGGTGCAATTTCGGACCCTGTAAATTTAAAAATACATTGCTATTTCTTTATGGAAATAAAGAAAAGCAACTTCTTAGAAGACCCTTTTAAGCTGTCCAGTTTCTCTGCTGATAACCGTCGTTACGCTTCCGTGAGTTCTGTCCGCACAGGCGCGAAAACCCACTTAATAGCCAATCAGAAGCGCGGTTATATTGAAAAATACGTTAACATAATTTATGCATTAGGCTCGGCACATGTGAAGTTCGACGTATCATCGAAGTCGATCTTTTGCCGTTCTATTCGACAAGGTCAGTCGAATAGAACGGCAGAGTCGACCTAAATACAAAAGAGCCGCTCCTATATTGATTCATACGTCGAACTTTACATGTGCCGAACCTAATTTTTAGGTTCGGCACATGTAAAGTTCGACGTTTTATTTCCCTATTTTAAGCAGTAAGTAAGTAAGTAAAGCCTTTATTTAAAGAGGGTAGCACCTAATAGCCAAAGGCTAATAAACTTGTGGCCCTCATAAAATACACAACTATTTACAATCTAATAAATATTGTAAGCTAAAATATATAAATATTTAAATAAAAACAAGATTCAATTTTTATATTAAAAAAACAAAACAAAAAATTATTAAATGATAAAATGATGCAAACATTGTTGTTCCTTAAAAATCTTGGCAAACATGTTCTTTTTAAAACATGCTACAGAATCTAGTTTCCTAATTTCAATTGGTGTACTATTCCACAGTCTTGTTGCCGAAACAGCGAAAGAGCGTCCTCCATCTGTTTCTCTTCTATATTTAGGACAAACAGCATTAATGCTTGAATATCTAGTGTTGCGGGAGTGCCGCTTATTATTCAAAATTAAGTGTTCATTTAGATAATTCGGCAAATACCCATTAATTCGCTTATACATTATTATGCATTTATCTATCTTGTGTTGCTCATAAAACGGAATCCAACCTAGCTTGTTAAACAAAGCAACTGATGGTGTCATGCGATCGGCATAAGAAATAACGCGTGCCGCACGTTTTTGCAATCTTAAGACCCTATAAACCGACTCTTTATCGCAATTTGCCCAAACAACGTTAGCGTAAGACATAACAGGGCGAATAATGCTATTATTTAAACTGAAGTCGCTGTTTAAGAGGTAGACAGGCTCGAGTCTTACTCAGTATTGCGATTCTAGAGGCCAACTTTTTACATACTTTCTCAATATGTTCATTAAATGACAATTTGTTGTCGATTTCTACGCCTAATAAGGTAGCACAATCCACATTACTGAGCTGTATTCCGTTTACGAAAACATCTAGGTCACTTCCATTTATGTTAGCCACACAACTTTTCCCAGTGATCGTGAGTACTTTAGTCTTGTCTTCATTTAATGGGAGCTTATTCGCAGAAGCCCATAATTGAATTTCAGAGACAGACTTATTTAGTGATGAACTTAAGGTGGTTAAGTTTTTCACATCCGCAAAAGCGGTGACAGTCGTATCGTCTGCGTAAAGGTCCAACTGAGCACTTGTATACAAGGGCAGATCGTTGATAAACAAAATGAAGAATAAAGGATCTAAAATACTGCCCTGAGGGACTCCATGTAACATCAATGCTTCGCTTGACTCACTCCCGTTTACACGGACCACTTGCTTCCTATCCAACAAGTAAGAGTGATACCAGGCAAGCTCCCGGTTGACTATACCGTACAGTTCCAACTTGCGCAACAATAGCTTATGGTCCACCATGTCGAAAGCCTTTCGATAATCAACCAGGACCATGCCGCATACATGATTATTATCTAAGCCGAACAAAAGCTCGTCAACTAACTTGATTAGAGCAGTCTCGGTACTGTACATCCTACGAAACCCAGACTGTCTAGAATACAACAAGTTATTATCCATAAGGAAAGCATATAGAGAGTTGTGCATATGACGTTCGATTACTTTTGACACCACCGATAGCACAGAAATTGGGCGATAAGTAGAAGGATCACTGGCCGCACCTTGTTTGAACAGTGGTGTCACATTAGCAGTTTTCCAACGAGTAGGAAACTTTCCTGCAGAAAACGACATGTTGATAAGCCTTGCTATGCTTGGAGCTAAAATAGGAGCGGCAATACGCAAAAACCTGGCGCTGATTTTATCGATACCTGCAGCCTTATGAGGACTGATCCCCTTTATAATCTGAAGCACCTGAGCATTGGTTATGTCTGGAACAGAGAAAACCACATCCGGATCTTTGCAAGACTCAACAAAGTTTGCCGACTTGGACAAGTCTGATGGTGTATTTCCGAGTCCGGATCTCAGATTATCAGCGATTGAGGAAAAATATGAATTAAACTGCTCCGCAATTTCTGTAGCATTTTCAACAGCCTTGCCATCCAACTGAAGCTTACTAATCCCTTTATTCATCTTTCCAGAACCTGTCAATGTTTTTATCGTATTCCACGTTGCTTTAGGGTTGTAAGTGCCACGTATTAGGTTCGGCACATGTAAATTTCATGTAAAGTTCGACCGTCTGAATCAACAGTCGAACTTAATAGTTTGGATCGACCTAAATAGGTATTAGGTTCGGCACATGTAAAGTTCGACCGTCTGAATCAACAGTCGAACTTAATAGTTTGGATTGACCTAAATAGGTATTAGGTTCGGCACATGTAAAGTTCGACGTTTGAACCGGGCCTTATGTACTTATTCAAATGATATGGTTGTGATACAAAGTAGTTTATCTAATACGAATCGCAGGTGTCATAATTAGCTGCTCAAAACGGAAACGAACGATTATGCGGTATATGCAAATGCGTGATATAATAACAAAACTACACAGAAACCTCGTGCTCTTTTATTTAAAATCAAAACGTAAAACTAGTTTTGGCCCACGCATGGGTGTATGCCCTCAATGCATACGCGTTACGCAATACGGCTTTATGGCGGAGTTTTTCAAGGGACGCTTTCTCAGGACTTTTTCACTAAAAAGCGTATGACAATCGCTCGGATTAATAACACATTTAGGTTCTACTACTGACACAGAAAACGAATGAAAAAAAAAGTGCCTCAAGTCTTTTACAACGGCATATATAGGCAGCAAAATGCGCCAGCGCTTGCGCAATCTACAGTTTTTTTCTTAGCACAACTCGTTTTTAATTTTAGCTTTTACATGTATTTTGATGAAGAATCTGAATGATTTTGGTTATCTCTCTCAATAAATTAAATTAAATAGCTTTCCTCCATTAATTTTCTGTGTGACAAGATTGACTTTACCGTAGTTTCAGGGTATACGAAATTGTAACTTCTTAAACTACGTAAAAGCTAGCCAATCTTCAGTTTTAGGAAAGTAGTACCTCTGAACTGAAACTCTCCTCCAATACTGTTTTCGTCCTTTTTTGGTATTTATAACATTTATGTTCCCAAAAATTGTACGCCAGTGGAACCTTGCTGAATTTCAGTGAAATTCATGCTGGAAATCGGATTAAAACCTACAATATAACTCATTTTTATGACTGACACTTGATTTAGCGTCCACTAGATTTATTTTAGTTACGTGATATCTATCCACTTTTAAGTGATCCGTGCATATGCTTTTATGAAGTTATACTCTAACATGAAGTGTCTTAATTTAGTAATGATACTCAACGAAAACCAAATATCTGCGTATGACCTCGATGTTTCCAGCTCTTTTTTTTCTTTGTTTTGATTTTTCTGTGTTTACTTGCCTAACTTAATGTTACATTACCAAACTGGATGAAAATCTTTACAAACTTAAAAACTGAATAAATAGTTCAGTGATTCACAGAGGGGGAGGAAGGTTTTTTGTGCCAGAAAATCCAGAAAGGAAGACTGTTGTCTTAGAGGAACTCAGTTTCGTTTGAGGCGTGTCTTTGTTTCTGCAAGATTAAAGTAGCTGGAATTATAGGAATATTTGTAATAGCTTCATCAGTAATTAACACTAAGAGTGGAATATTTTCAGTCCAATAAGTTGTTGGTTTGGTGCGAAGCGGTTAGATGAATGTAACTGCAGTGTCTTGATAAATTCCAGTTCTAGACCGTAAGCCTGAGGGAACTGACTTGACTGTTACAGTTTCGTTGAGAAACAGATTTTCGGAGATGAATACCAGCACCTTTGGATGGTTGCTCATGTTGAAAAAATTATAGTTCGAGTATGTCGTTTTTATACGGGGGCTGCACTTTCAAATTTATGCTTTTCGGATAGGGTGTGGTTTTTTAGGTATTCGGTCCTTAAATGCAATAGGGCATCCTATTTACTGTTTTGGATCTTTGATAGGGTACCTAACAGCTCTTAAACCACTGGAAAGAATCGAAATTACTTGACATGCTACTGAACAAAACGGTTCAACTACAATGGAGGACAAAAATCCTTGGAACGGTTATGGAAAACCTTCCTTCCACATCCTTAACTTATCAAAATGTTCAGATGTAGCATAATGTACACTTTTCTAACCACTTGGATACCGCGACTGGCCCTCCCCTCCCCCCTCCAAACAATGTTGGGATGAAGAAACACTTTTAGGACAGGGTAAAGTCTACAGGGGTGCACAAACTACAACATTGCTTAGGGGAGAGGGGGAAAGGGGGAAAAATTAAGGCAGATCGTGTTAATTGTCCTAAGAATTTTGTCCTCCATTGTAGGTTTTCTTTAGAATTCTGTGCTTTATGCTTGAAACAAATAAAACCTATTGTGTTGCACTCTTCTAAACCTAAGGATGCTATGAGCCAAAACTGCTAGCCCGAGGTAAAGTTTTCAAGAACGTTTTAGGACGTATATATATATGCCAGCTTTGTGTGCATAAGAACAAAACACGTAGACGACCATGGTGCGCGAGTACTCTGTTTATGGTACAGCTGCCAGGCCTACGACGGCAGTCAGAATGAGTGTGACGATGTAGTGATGGTGTGATGATGTTGTCAAAACAGCAGCATTTGAATTACACAAGTCTTCTGTACAACAATCCACCATGCATTGCCATCCTATTTCTTTGCATTGAGTGTCGGAACACTGTTTACTCTTCCCACAGTGCTTCATGTAGCGAGTGAGTACCTTGCCTGTCTTGGTTCCGTTCTTCTCTTCCCATTCATACTGTGTCATTTTAAGGCAGGCTTCATCGAAACCGGGTTGACAGTCAACCACCCTACTTGTCTTGTCGCAGTGCTCCCAAGAATTTTCCGAAAAGCACAAAAAGCAGCGCAATTTTGGTTTTGGTTTTGTTGTTGCCTTTGGTATTGGAGCCGGTTTTCGTATTGGCGTTGGTGTTTCGGTTGGTGTTTCTGTTGCGGTTGGTGTTGCTGTTAAGTTTGAACTTAGGCTTAATGCTGCTGTTGCGGTTGGTGTTGCTGTTAAGTTTGAGCTTAGGCTTAGTGCTGCTGTTGCGGTTGGTGTTGCTGTTAAGTTTGAGCTTAGGCTTAGTGCTGTTGTTCGTGTTGGGACTGATTTTGCTGTTGACGTTCGTGTTGGTTTTGATGAAGGTTCTGAAAAAAAAAATGAAAGTAGAGCTCTTAAGCAACACAACGGCGAGAGTTAAGAACAGGTCACTTATTCATTTAGCAACACGACGGCGACAGCAGCGAAAACTTACTCGATATTACAGCTCGCCCAATTTGTCAAATATAGGCGAGTCTAATTTTTCCTAGTGGATTTGAATTCTTTAAGAATAACCTCTGATCATACCCTCCCCTCCAATGGCCTTTGCCCACACGTTATGTTTCTTGCAATACAAATCAGTTTTCGTCTTGCGAAAAACGATTATACTGCGCTACGATTAGACCGTTCACAGTCCCCTATTTTTCCGTGAGATCGTCGAGATATAGCGCGTCTTACCATTAATGGCGGCCATCTTGATTTTCAAATGTACCGAGGGGGCAAGCTTCGGGGATTATAGCTCTAAGAAGTGTTGACACTCATTCAAGATGGCAGCCCGTAACGCAAAGCGCTCGATCTCGACGATCTTACGGGAAAATAGGGGACTGTGAACAGTCTACGCTACGATGAACAAAATTAACTTCCTTACGACACCCCCAACTTTCCTCATTTTGTTTCTTTCCATTAGCCATCATAAAATGTAAAAATTCTCTCTTGTTTGATTTAATACCTAAGGCTGTTGTTCTTGTTATCTACACTTGTTGAATCCGGCGAACCTCGCACTCACAGACGTGGTTTAAACATGGCGGCAAAACTTGACGAAAAACACAAAAGTCTAGTTGCCGGATCTTGGACATATCATGTGCTCCAGTAGAAATAAAAGTTTCAAAAAATGAAATAATCAAGCAGAAAACGGACCCTTACAGTTTAGGGGAGACACACGACTTTAATTCCTTTCCGTCGAAAGGTTGTTTGTTCTGATTCCCTTTAACATTTACACTCACACATGCTCACACTTTTTAACGACACTTCCAACTCAAGTTTCCTCATTTTGTTTCTTTCCATTAGCCATCATAAAATGTAAGAATTCTCTCTTGTTTGATTTAATGGCAAAGGCTGTTGTTCTTGTTATCTACACTTGTTGGATCCGGCGAGCCACGCACTCACAGACGTGGTTTAAACATGGCGGCAAAACTTGACGAAAAACGTAAAAGTCTAGTTGCCGGATCTTTGACATACCATGTGCTCCAGTAGAAAGAAAAGTTTCAAAAAATGAAATAATCAAGCAGAAAACGGACCCTTACAGTTTAGGGAAGACACACGACTTTAATTCCTTTCCGTCGAAAGGTTATTTGTTCTGATTCCCTTTAACATTTACACTCACACATGCTCACAGTGGAAAAAATGGCCACGTCAGCGCAGGAACAAATGCAGTGTAAAACTGCATTCTGTGGCGACATTGACCAGTGCACTGCAACTAATCTATTTTTTCTTAATCAACTTTTTGAATAAATCGGCTTTATATCTTGACAGAAGTTTTTTGTATTTGTATTTGGTGATTTGACATTTTGATTTCTGCTAGCGAAAAATCGAGGTACAGCTTTGACAGTCTGACTAGAAATCAAAATCTTGTGATATCGTTTAAAGGTAAATCGAGCGGTACTGACGTACTACTATGGGCTTTATCGTCTCAATGTACGACCGCAAATGCTCTTAATGGATGTTTTATTAAAGGTGACAAACTTTTTCGTGCACATGTCACCTTTAGACACTGCTTGAGAATGCAATTTATCCCTGATCTCTGTTTGTTCAAGTGAAGTGTAATTTGCAGCTTTAAAAACATGCAAAAACCTGATATCAATAGATGCCGATTTTTTAATAACATACGTCCTGTTTCTACCCTTAAGTAAAAATTATATCTCCTATGTATTAAGAAAGCTTCACAAAATGCCTTCAAACCTTGTATTAATCGATGACAATTTTTTTGGGTGGTATAGAACTTCCCGGAAGAACAAAATAGTCGATGATTAAGTACGTGACTAGCTTCTGTCATAGTCATACATCCGCGGTTTTTTTTACCACTGATTTATGCCGCTAATTTGATATAGTTACATGCATATATAAGTTTTGATGAAAAAAAATCATACCTAACTTTTTTAGAAGTCAAGTATCAAAACACTCTTTTCAAGGAAATGTTGGGTTCCGTTCTATGAATTGTTCAGTATTATGTTATTGTAGATTTACTCCTGCAACTACAATCCTATCCTTCAGTAACACGGAGATACAAATTAGACACTCAAAACAATATATTTTTATCTTCAGGAGGGTCAGGATACGGTCGAAGCCGTCTCAGATATACTCAAACGTGCAGTCAATCATAAAGTTTTTATTCTGCTTTTTTTTCTTGTTTAATATTCCCACGATTAACTCTCCGACACTCTCCAAACGTTGGTTAATTAATTTGCTTTAAATTTCACTGCTAATAGGACTTTCGAACTAAAGGGCACGATTTGAGTCTCGATACCTTTTTGTCGTCGCGCGCGTCGATAGATTAAAGATTGATTATTAATAGAATAGTGTTAGTGTTAGAAATAAGTTAATACCTACCCCCACTTGCCCCGTTCAACGTGTTCGGTATTTGGTGGGCGAGCATATAAACCAACAGGATCTTTCTCCAAAGTGACATTTTTGTCTCGTAGTTCTCGACTTGCGCTCTGTGAATGGGGTGGCCTTTTTAAATGTGCGTAAATTTTTGAAGTCTTGATTCACCCTCCCTTGCCAGTTTCACGAACAATCTGCTCCAACGTGTTGGCGGTGTTTATTATTTGTTTATATCGCGTGCTACACAACTGTAATATGATGCTGCTAAAGGGTAACGCTTGTCACACGCCAAAAGCACTAAACATGCTATCTGCAACAACAAAAGCTTTGAAGCGCAAATGGACTTGTAAAAACGCTCAAAGGTTTATCCTTTCGGGCGTCTGACGCATTTTTAGCGACTGTAAATGCGTTAATATGTTTTTTATTTGTTTAGATCGTTTCCGGTTTCATCTCGGAAGTGTCACGCTTGATCACGATATGATCTCATTTGCCGCGCTTTTTAAATGGCGCCCCCAAAGGTCGACACTTTTCACTCGAAGGCACTGTTTACGTCAGTAGGAAACAACTTCACTATGACGCCTATCAATTAATTAATATCCTTTCCTCTTTGACTGAGACGGTATCTGAGTGGCCCGGGGGGTTACTCGATATATCCCTGGGTGGGAAGGTGCGGCGCGGCCCCCTGACCCTGTGTAAGACAAATATCGCTGATTTTCCTACCCTGTTTAAGACAGAATTCCGATTTTTGATACCCTGTTTAAGACATCTATTCTGTTTAAGACAAAAATTAATAAATCGATACCCTGATTAAGACAAAAAATGATAAATTCGATACCCTGTTTAAGACAAAAATCCCGAAAAACATACCCTGGCTGGCCGCACGTCCCCATTAAGCCCTTATAAGGGAGTACCCCCCCCCCGGGCTGAGTGGCAAGATTTAGATTTAATAAAAGGAGATGAACAGGGAAACAAGAAGAGGAAATTTGCTGGGTTGATCAGTTTAGAATGTTAAAGTAAGATTGATTTAATTAATTCCACACCTGGATTATTGCTTGTCTCGGAGGAAATTGTAATGTTTTGCTTTCAGTTAATATTGTCTGTGTTCACGATATCAACAACAATCAGATTTAATGATGTTTTTTCGGATCAATTCTTGTTATTACGTGTCTAAAATACATTTCTCTATAAAAAAAAATTAATAAACGGAACAAAAGGTTACATTTGCTAGTTTTTTTAGTACAAACATAAATTAAACTGAGTGGCGCAAATAATAGGGAAAGGTAGAAAGGTAGAGCCTCAGGAGTATTGGAATTAATAATTTTGGCGAAGTTGTCAAAGAGAGTATATCTGTCAGGTATCTCATGAAATGATTTTAGTCCGGAAAAACTGTCTCAAGGCTTATAGGAGAACAGAACATTAGGGGGTGATTACATGACACCGGCGACTTTTGCGCCGGCGCGAGTTCACTCCGGTTCCCTCCCATGGCTTTACCTTTGTTTACATGATACCACCACAAAATGTCATGCCGGCGCGAGTCACACCGGCGTGAGGTCACCCCGTTTGTTGTACCGGAGCGAGAATTTCACTCCAGTGCGAAATTTCGCATCGGTATCATGTAAACGCGAAACGACCACCCGTTTCGGTGTGAAATCGGACTGCAGGTGGACTAGAACGGGTAGTGCATGCGTAATGTTTGCGATTTTGAATCACACGTGTATTTTATCAGCATGAAGTGCACCTTCAAATAACCGAGATATGAAATGACCCATCATCATGTAAACGCGACACGAAATCAAAAAGTCATCCCGGTGTGAAACTCGCCCTGGTGCGAGTTTTCTCATGTAAACACCTGCTTAGTTTCATAATAATTTTTGTATGACTGACTGAGGCCCCGGCCACACGAATTCGGATATTTTTGAAAACACTTTTTTTTTTACGCAAATCGGCCTTTTTCCACACGAAGCCAGTCAATTCGTTCACCCAAACTGCAGCTTTTTAAAGGGGCCTCTTCAACCAGTGTGCATTGCGGGCGTGCACTTCACCGAAATCATTTGCTGTAACACAGAAATCACGAACGTTGGATAACAGGATTGTATCTGTTTCTTTTATAGAAGGGTATCACAGCCTGCTATTTTCTTAGGTTGTGAAGATACAATCCGATTTTCAAACACAATCAGAACGTTCGTAATTTTTTGTATTACAGCAAATGATTTCGGTGAAGTGCACGACCGCAATGCACACTGGTTGAAGGTGTCCCTTTAATACCGCTCTCCAGAGTGGTTTAAAGCCCCTCCCACATAATCTTGGTTTTAAAAATGCCCGGAATCGTGTGAACCGGGTCTGAATTAACGTAATCTAAGATCAACGCAAATTTATTGCTTGGGCGTTTCCATGGCGATGCCCGAGCTATAAAATAGGCTTCGTTTTTTGTTCTGGTACAAATTGCCCTCCTGCACATACAGCGCGTGCGCATAACAGTATGCGTAAAATAGGCCAGCAGACTAAGCGAGAACACATGTCCACTTGCCTGCTGAGGTGAGGAAAGCCATCTGTATTCAGTGTATAGAACTCCGTGATCGCCAGAATGAGTTCTTTCATTTCTTATACGTGAAATCTTTATACTAAATGCACACGCTGGTTATCTCTAGACCTACAGTAAAAGATGCGTGGCGAACGAAGGGTTCAGTTCAACCAGACGAGACCAGTTTACTCACGAAATCTTTCGCGTGAACCTTATTAAGGAGCCCTTTCGAAGTTGTGAGCTACTAACGGAGTTTGAACAGAGGGTGTCTGATTAACTCTAGAGTCTTGTCGAAGATATTAGGAATGCCTCCATATTTGAGCTTAGTTCATGCTTTGCAAAAGAAGAAACGGAAAATGTATTGAGTACTTCAATTAGCTTTTGTGTAACTATATTCTTGCTCTTTGCTTTGATGTCATTGATTTTATCCTCTATTGTTTTTATGACCTCTACTATACAATTACTGCAGTCTAATACGTTATAGTCACGCAAGCATCGTCTCCAGATATTGTCTGTTGTTATTTCGATATACGTTGCCTTTGAAGGCTGTGATTTCTTAGGTAACGTTTTTTATTTGAACCTTTTATATGAAAGCCCCAGCTCACGCCGTTTTTTTGCGTCTAGTTGTTTGTAAGCTCAAGGGCAGTAGAAAATTACAGCGGGCAAATGCAACAGCTATACCCGTATTGTGCAAATAAGGCCCTTTCCTCTCGAATCCGTATATTTTTGAAAACTCATATATTTTTTTTTTACACGAATCGACCTTCTGTCCACACGAAACCAGTGAATTGGCTCATCGAAACCGCTCTCCAAAGTACACGTAGCAGGGTAGAAATATACCTGCCAACTTTTTTCGAGTCAAATGCGTGAGATTTTCATTAAGTCATGTCCGGGATTTCGAAAAAAACGTCCCAGCAGTTCCGAAGATTTCCGACGATTTTCCGAAGACTTCCGAACGTAGCCGAAACTGTCCGGAGATGTTCCGACGACTTTTGAGGACTTCCAAAGCTATTTCAGAACACGACAATTTTAGCATGTTTTGATTTGATTAGGACAGGGAGTTATCTTTAAGCGACTTTTTTGGCATATTTTAGTGCAGCTTGAATTGAATTTTCGTTAATAATTACGTGTTAAAGAACACTTTTTCCGGATTTGTTAGTCAGGCGTGAGAAATTGTCCGTGACCCGTGAGATCGATGTCTTCAGTTTGCAGGCGTGAGAGTCACGCGTAATGCGTGAGAGTTGGCAGGTATAAAATATATGTGGTTTCAAAACTGTACGGATTCATGGGGATGGGGCCCGGAACCAGTGCTCTAAGAGGAATTGCTATGAAGCCTAGTGCTCTGAACCTTGTGAAATCCAGGTTTCGCAGTATCTATGCAAAAACAATACATTTCCTAGTTGCGAAAGTGCTGCTTGAGAACGGTCCTGTTTTTTTTAGATGATGTACGTAATGCCCGTTGCACTGTGAAGATGGTGTTTTCTTGCCTAATTTTTTAAATATCTGTTGATGTCCTTTAAAGTGTCTTTTGCATTTTTGTTTGCATTTTAAAGAGCTCTTGATAACTTGTTTAACAAGTAGTCGCACGTTTGAGATTGAATTTGAAGTGTTACTTTTCGAGGAGAATGCTATGAAATAGAATGAAGCTGATGAGATAGACGCGTATTGCTATAATTTGCAAGCTTCGGTAAAACGGGCAACTAGAACGTGCAATTTGTTTTGCAACATTGCTGCAAAACGAGTTGAATAGCGATGTTGCGCGTTTTACCACCCACGTTCAGACCTGTTAACAACCTGATTTGTTACAAGACAGTTTTGATGTGGGTGGTAAAACGCGCAACATTGCTATTCAACTCGTCTTAAAGCAACATTGCAAGACATGTTGCATGTTGTATGTCGCCCGTTTTACCGTACCTGAAATGGGACTAGGGACCTTACGAAACTACGACGGCGACGGCAACGGGAACGTCTAAAGCCCAATGGGTTTCATGAGCAAAACAACAACTCTGCACGTGCATCGCGCTTTTTTTGTTCATTTCCTCGCCGTTCCTGCACAACAACGACGTGAAATGACCAAATTTTATGTTGACATGAGAACTGGAACGGCAACGCGCTGAATTTTACTATCTCTGTCTGAACTCGGACGCGGTCCCCTCTCTTCAGTTCCAACCCGATTTCCCTGCTTTCAGGTAACTGCCTGACTTGGTAAAAGGTAGAAAAAGTTTCAGAGGATGTGGAGTCTATTTTCTAGCGACGTTTTCATTGGCGTCGCCGTTGTCGGGTCGTAAGGTCCCTACTTGTTTCTCCTGAGACGGGAAAACTACAGTGTTGTGTTTTTCTTTCAATACCTTGAGAGAAGTGAAAAAAAAAAACTCGAACTCAGAAGTTTTTTCCTTGTTATGCACCCAGTTCCACCCAGCCTCGTTCCCAGTCATCCTCGGCGATTTTCGGATGTGACGTCACTTGTCTAGCTTGTCGGGAAATTCGCAGCACCTCTGCTCACTCGGATAGTGCGAAGTGGCTTGGGGGCGAGGCTGAGTTCCACCCACCTCCTCAGCAAAGGAGAAGGAAAGAATAACCATAGGAAGGACGACCATGCTTGCAAAACGTTAATAGCATGAACACCTTTTCTTTTCTTAGTGCTAATTATTTATTATCATTATTTTCATTTTTGTTCAACGAGGAATATACATAACCGTCGGTGCGTCTGAGTAATGAATGAACTGCAAAGCTTTAAAACGTGAACAGTTTTTTTAAAACATCTAACAGCATTCAACATTTGTAACCCTTTGAACTGACTGTGGAGTCCATTCACTCATCTTTTGATGAAACACTGTGTCGAATGCTTGATATAACTTCTCAAACAAAAGGATCTTAAAAGGAGAAATTAAGGATGCAAATATGAGCACTTTTTCAACTAATTTCCAAACACTCGTTAAATATTTTAAATTTCCTTGCATTTTTTTTTATGAATTATTGATGAGTTTGAGAAACGGGAATCTGAAATAAATTTCGGTTGGATTCAGTTGCAGTATGTGGTATAATCGTCACATTTCCTGAGCTAACAAATTGCTGAGGAAATTACGCATATGCTGCAAAGAAATCAAACCTTCCTTTGTTGGAACGAAATCCTTGCAGAAGGTACTTAATAGCCACTACTCAGCGTCTGCGTATATTGCTTGCGGTGCAGGTGTGTACTATCCTTAAGCATAGTATTTACAAATCTTTACCCATAACATTTCCCAAAGTGTTTGCAGTCTCTTGTTTGGCTAACAATGCTTTGTACTGTAATGTCAACTGTGAAATTGTGCGAGATCAGAACAAGGGTCATGGCCCCAAAGACAACCCTGTAAAGATTGCAGTTGCCATGACAACGAGGCTTGCAGTGTTGACAACACAGGTGTTACACATGTCCTGGTTGCAACATTTCACAACGCAACTCCATCCAAGCTCTTTGCATTCCTCGTCTGAACAGCCTTCCGCGTGGTCACACTGCTTGACAAACTCTGTTATCTGTACTCGCTTGTCGTTCTGTTCTTTCCACCTGGTTATCTTTTTCTCCGTACACACATTAGTATCGTCTGGACATATCACTCCTTTGACCTGATCATTGCAGTTCTCCCACGATTTGTTAGAGTAACAATGGTAGCAGGACAGCGAGCGCTCTTCTTTGTTATCTGTGAATACATGTAAATATTTTCAAACCTGCATTTACTTTATCTTAACAGGAGCCCATAATTAACCCGGAGAGAGCAACTTCCATGCGCTCGTTTTCACGGACTAGTTTATTTTTAGAAAGGTTTTGGCGCGAATTTTGAATACCTTTTAAATTCCGCAAACCAGTTCGCAAAACCTACATACCTAAAAATGATATTTTTACCTTTTTTGATATCTCATACTTCGAATGCGCTCGTAGACATGGTGGAGATTCGATTTTTGCGAGAAAAAGTGCCCTAAAATGTGTCTAAAAATAAACTGGTCTGTAAAAACGCCGTGACGGAGGCCTAGTATGAGAGTTGCTCGCTCCGGGTTATGGTCTCCTGATTTTAATACTGAGCATCTCCACTCCCTGCTTCTATTCAATCGCCTTTCAAATTGTCTCTTCCTCAGCCTGCGCCACAGACGAAACCAAACTCTGGTTAAGTCCGTCTGCGAAACAGCGCCGGAATCCTTGCTCTGGGTCGCCATCTGTGTACCAGGATTTGATTACGCACCATTAATGGCCTGAAATTAAAGCCATTGTCGATCTGCCAATGAGGTTGAAGGGAAATTCGAAACGCACTTCCGGTAATTCGTTGAGTCCGTTGAGGGCCCAGAATATGGATATCGGCGCTGTGTCGCAGACGTTACTTACCAAGGTTAAATTATGTCTGCGACGCAGGGTACCTCTCCTGTAACCCATTATAGTCAGGTCATCATATACTCTTTTGCATCGTTCCCTTTGAGACGACACTAGCATTTAGTAGTCTGCGTATCCTTTGTAAAGACGTTTACCTATGTCTAATTAGCAATTATTCTTCGTGTCCGAATGGGCTCTGAATTCGGCCTATTGACTCAGGGGCCATGAGGGCGAGAGGAATAATTGTTTTAGTAAAATCCAACTAGCTGGTGAAAAATATCAGGACAAAACAACTTTAACTAGCAAAACGCGATTCAGCCGCCGTTGTTTTGGGTTTCAAAGCTGGCGCTTTTCGCTACTGGTTATATAGTAGTAGCTCGACCAATCAGAACGCAGCATTGATAGAAGTTGGATTTTACTAACAAAATATATAGTACGAGGCTTCCCTACTAGCAGAGGCCTCTCAAGGCGAGACAAAAATAAGAGATGGAGAGAGACTGGCTCTGCCGGCCACCGACGCGTTCGTCTTGTGGAGCCGCCGACCAGAATTTGTGGTCGAAACTTACTGGTTTTCAAAACCAGTTTCGTTTAAGGTGCAATGCGCGTGCCCTGTTGAGAATGTACGCCGGAAATTTCTGAGGCCACGTTTGTTATCGCGCAAACCGGTTAGGCCATCCACTTTTTTTCTCCGTTTATCGTCGTCCGACCGACCCAAATTTTTGGCATTTTCAAAACAACAAAAAAGTAACGACGTAGTGAAACCATTTTTGACTTGAAAAAATTCTTTTAATCTGAAAAATGAGCATAGTAACAGCATAGAGAAAAACATGAACAAAGACAGGAACATTTTTTACAGTATATTGTGGGTTCTGTTAATCCAAATATGTGAATGTTAACTTTTAATGCCATCCTGGGGTACCAGAGCTTCATATTCTGAGACTACTTGTGATTTTTTTAAAGGTTTTTTTTGCGATCCGACCGACCGACCCAATATCAGGAAACGCATTCGACGCTCACGAAAGAAAAAAGGGGGATGGCCTTAAGTAAATTTTGTGGAACGTGACCGGGCCCTAGTTGTACTAAAGGTGGATAGCGCCATCCACTGGATAAATAGAGAATATTACACGGTGGCGAGAAGATATGAATTTTATGTTCGAGTGGCAAGAACAATATCTCACGAGTGAGGGCAGCGAACGAGTGAGATATTGCTCTTGCCACGTGAACATAAAATTCATATCTTCGAGCTAACGTGTAATATTCTTTTTATTATATAAACATACTGATGACAGCGTTTTTGATGATTTTCCGAAGATTTCCGACCACCTTCCGAAGATTTCCGAAGATTTTTCAAATTGTCCCGAAGACCAGACGAACGTTGCCGAACATTTCCCGAGAATTTCCGAAAATTTCCGAAGATTGCCGAGCACTTTCGAGGAAGACCCGAAGATGTTTCGATGATACACCAACGAATTTTAAGTACAATTTAAGAGACAAACCTGATGTCAGTGAAATTATCGATATCTTCACATGTAAAAATATCGTATTTTTACGTGTGTTCAGATACCACATTTCTCGGTGGTAGAAATCCTTGTAAAACACTGCAGTTTATATAATAAATATCTGTCCACTGGATAGCGCAGTTGGTTTTCCTAATGCTTATCCACTGGATAGTGATTTATCCGGTGGATAGCGCTATCCACCTTTTTAACAACTGGGGCCTGGTTGTTAAGAAAACGCCAGTGCATGGATAAAAAGAAACTCGTCAGAAGCCGGCAGAGATCTGTCTCACCTTACTCTCATTTTTCTCTAGTTTTAAGAGACCGCTGACAGCAGGGAACTACGAGGCCTAAGGCTATTTATGAACGTCGCAGGCCCGTGTATTTGTACCTTGGAGTTTTAACGAGGGTGTGTGGTTTACTTGAGAGTCAGGAGAAGCGGGAAAACATAAAAATTCTCCTTCCTCACGGACCGGTCACTCTTGCAATACTGACAATTTAAGCTAGTGTTTGAGTCACTAAAAGCTTTCTGTTTGCATTGATGCGTGTTCATGTTAGGTATATTCACTTTGTTTGCGCAATATAGTCCACATCGATAGAGGATATTATGGATTTGTTGTCAGTTTTCGTTTATTGTTTACTTTTTGGTGGTTAACAAGGCCATGCTAGTGTGAAGGGAACGTTTGAAAATTCCTTATTTTCGTAGAAATTCGGGTGGGGCATTATCCTTTTGAGTGGTTATGTAACTCTGCGGTCAGGCTAATGCGAATATTGCGGTCGGTGTTATAATATCCTTCACTTTTTATAATTGCCGCGGTAAAAATTTACTCTCTGAGGAAAGTTTACATGTATATTAAAATGACGCATCTCGCTACCATACCATGGTTAACCATAGTTCATAAAGGATCTTTTAAAACTAATACTTATAACCAAAGGATAAAATGCAGTGTAACTCAGTTCACGGCAGCTGAAACCAGAAAAAAATCTTCTTCAAATATTTATATCAACTGGTCCCATGTTTACGAAGATGAAAATCAGACCTGAGGAAAGCAAACTCATAATTTTGAAGTGAATAAGTTTATCTTAGCCTAGTCAAAATCAAATAGGCCATTTCCGAGTTCCAAAAAATCTCACTTTCAAGGAGAGGCTAAGTGCGAAGCCATTGTTATGAAAATGATTAAAAATTATGATGCAAATAAAACTCATTTTCACAACAAAGGTTTCGCACTTAGCCTCGTTTTGAAAGTGAGATTTTTTTGGAACTCGGAATCAGTTCGCACCTGTCGTAAGGTTTTATCTTGCGTTGTAAACCGCATTAACTTGTAGTTCAGTGAAACATTTTAGTCTTACTAAGTGATAAGCCCGCCGAAACAGCACAGTTGATAATCTGCTAGCCTGAAGGAGTTATTTCGCCGTGCGCGAAGCTCGAGAGCATAGCGCGTGACCCCAATAGGTTTTCCGGGATGCGGGATTCGCCTTATGTGAAGGTTGGGATTCGGGATTTTAAAGTAATAGGGGGAAGATTCGTGATTGATAGCATTCTCGGGATACCTAAGTGCTGAAAGGATCCATCGGGATTACGGGTTTAGAGCGAAAATTGGGGTCGCGATCACGGGTGGAAGAATCTTATCAGGGACTCTCCGCTGGGTGTAAACCAGAACTTTTTCCGCTAGCTTGACGCTTGGCTAAAGATCGCCTGTTATACAGGATATAAAGTTGTCACTGGGGTCAGCTATCGTCAAGTGACTGTACTTCCGTCGATGCTTAAGTTTGCAATAACATGTCAGTCGTATGACGAGGAAATTTTGGCTTTTTTCTGAAGCTTCCTATTTTATTGGCATTGCTTGTCGTCACTCCACCTTTTGTAATTTCCCCGTATAATGCAATTGGCTTATTAAACATAGCTAGCAGGTCATGAAATGTGGGAAATGCTTATTCGATAAAAAAAATGTTGTGTTCTTTTAAAAAACTGTACTCATCTTATTAAAGTAAAAAAATACTACTGTAAAATATTAAACGGAAGTTACATGGTATGACGTGGTAAGGTGTGGCTTCTAAGAAATAAAAATCGAAAGAAAGATAAGGAATAAACAATGATTTTTGTTCGTCACGTTTGTTCATTCGCAGAGGCTCGATGGTTTTGGATTTATTAATGAGGTTCATCTTACGTTCTTTTCTAAGACAAGCGCGCCCATATCTAAGTGTTTCAATTGAGATAAGTAACATATGGGAAACAGAGTGGCTATTGCTGGGAAAGTGTTCTGAAACTGCGGTTTGAATGTAACTACCGGAGGGGTTAAGGATAGGGCGTCTATGTTCATTAAAACGGTCCTTGAGGCGGCGTTTGGTTTTTCCCAATATACTACAAAGACGACATTGAATCATGTAGATAGCATTGAAAGTATTACAAGGCGTTCACAAAAAAACTTGGGAACGAAGAATCACGCGAAACAGAGGAACGAGTTTCTTCCTGGTTTCCTCGCGTTTTATCTTCGCTATATAGTTCCTCCTCGTTGCACTATGCCAACATGCACTTCTAGTTGACTTTTCGTTTCGCCTTGCACTGCCTGGTGTTGTTTCGAGGAAAAATGAACGACGTTGAGTTAATTACCCAACAAGTTTAGTTAATTATTTTTGTAGTTGTTGGCAAACAATCGACTCAGTAGAGAGGATGGTGAAATTAAACCTAGTTTATCTGATGAGAATAATTCTCCATTTTATGCGAAGACAGAATTTCCGTATATTTACAAAAGTTGATGTAGGGGTCACGCGAACTCCCCCTAAACATGAATATTGTTCACACTGAGAAGTAGGTTTTAAAGCGAAAACTGCCTTTATGAAATAAACCAACTACACCAAGCGAACACACTGAAAACACAGTGCTTGCATGGCTTTTAATATTTTTGAAACTAATGTCTTTGACATACAAAAACTGTAAACAAATCGTGACGCAAAGGTGAAGCCTCTAAATTTCCCTAAACGTGGCAGCGAATTTGGGGACACTTTCCCAGCGGTCTTCGAAGGTCTTATGTAGACTTATGACAGTGTTATAAACACGTGGCTGAATGTTTCTGTGGACGGTGTTTGGTTTTGACTTGCAAAAATGATCATCTCTTTCTTATTTGTTGGGGCTGTGCGCCCTTCGAATACTAAGTTTATCGGAGTTGTGTAAAAAATGGATTCCTAACAATCATTTTCCTTCTTCGATATTTATTAAGTCCGCTCCATTTTTGTTGTTATTGAATCCGCCGTCATAACGCGCGCGGTATAGAGTTATTAAATGCATGGAATTACGAGGTTTAGGAAAAAATCGCTTACTAACCAGTTACAGACTCGCCATAAGTGATTGCTAGTCGATTAAGAAGGTACAGAAGCAGTATGACTCTCGGTATCTCCATCATATGAATCCGGAATAATTGACGGTAAAAGCACTGAAATCGGAGTGAAACTTGTCCTCAAGTGCTTATACAGTTCTCTTTAGTTGGAGAAAAGAAGATGGACGTTTGTTATCCTATTATCAATTTTCCTCTTCAAACGAACATAAAAGGCTATTTATCTAATTTTAATGCGTGCTCATATTTATTTGCTATGCCATTTGGCATTTGGAAGGTGGATTAGCTGATTTTGTTTGCGAAATTTAAGCCGCTTGTCAAGGTAGCTTTATAGCGGCTTTTAACAATGTCTCGTGTCTTCCGCATTGTTCATTTCAGAAGTATCTTTACAACTAAAGTGGAGGAATTTGTTTGGAGAAGAAAACAGTCTTTTTTGCGTCATGAATGGCAACCGGAAAATCGAATTTTCATTCATTGTGCATATATAATCTATTCACACGACAACACGAACCATAAACAAAAAGTTAATTTGTCACTGGCTTGGCGCCAAAACTCGCTAAGTAACTTTGAGAGGGGGAAGAGAGTCAGAGAAGCGAAAAGAGGAAACCTATCGTTCATTTTTTTTTTTTTGGGGGAAGCCGGGGGGGGGCTGTTGGTATTTGATGGTTAGTTATAGCTCCTGTAGTATATACATGATGACTCCCTCTTCATTAGTAATTTTTTTTTGGAGGGGGCGGGGGGCTGCTCCTTCCCCTTTGTAGCCCAAAATATTTAAGAAAATATAATATAAAATATAAAATATTTTCCTCGGGAAAATCTAAATTTGTTTTTGAAGGTCAGTAACGCTGGTTTTTGGCTTTCTGGTAGACTTTTTGCATTATCACCGACGCCGTCACTGCAAAAGTTGAAGGAATTTTTTAATGACTCGCCCTTTACACCTAAGGTTTTTCGCCTGCCCGCCTTTGAAGCCATATTTTTTTGGCACGACCCCCCCCCCCCCCTCAAATCCCACCGGCTTCCCGCCCCCACCTGATAAAAAAAATGATTAGTCTCTAAAGAAGGCCTTATGCTCAGGCGTGCTATGCATGCCTCTGGTTATAACCTTTCTAAGCTTAGGTGAGATGTTTTGTCATTCATACGTGGACGAAATATGTGGTGTGCATCTTTGACAGAAGCTTTGCATAGTACAATTTTTACATTTCCGAATTTTACGATAAGAAATGTGGAATGTTTTTAAACAAATTCACCTTGGCTTAGTAGAAGTGCAGGGGTTAATGCATTGTAAATAGCGTTGTATAGTCCGATTCTGCGAGATTCTGCGCGATGGATCGATCGCTTCTTCATTTGTGTTTTGTTTAATTTTTGTTTCTTTGAAATTTTTAAATATTAATATGATAATTATGAAATTGTCATGTCTTTTTTCGTGTATACAAAAAAAATTTAGTTCGACAGGTTGCCGTTTTATGAAGATTGTGTTTGACGGTGTTTGCTTGTACGCAATACGGAATAATACCTTGTTCTAAATCATAGCAAACGTGGGAGTCGTATGTTTCGAGAGCGCTGATCGTGGAACAGTTCGTTTACACTAGATGGCAAAAACGTTTTACCAAAACAACAATATACTGTAAACGATGAGACAACAAACGGGAAAACTGGGAAGGGTTCATACATTTGAATTGTAGAATAAACGCATGTCTACGAGTTGTAAGGATTCACTTAGATTTCCCCGGTTGTGGCCTTGATGACACTGAGGTTATCTTCTGCCCTCCGTCAGGAGATTTTCAAGGAAACATGTGTACACAGGTCAGGATATCGCGAGGAAAAATGGAATGATCCTTTGAATGTATCCACGGAAGGAGCTGTTGATTATGAAGGATACTGCGAAGGTCATTTTGAATTAGCTGAATGTAAATAGTCTTGCGCCCATAAATCCATTACGTCTCATTGTTAATAACTCGGCCGCGGGCACTTGTTTTTGCCGCTTTCATCAGCTGTTTTCTGTCACATGATAATTTTTTTGACCAATCAATCCACACGTACTTGGAAAGAAGGAAGGTCTGGGGCGCTTTCCATTTGACCTTAACGTCCGAAAATTTAGAAACGGTGGCGAATGGGGATGGTACGGAAATGAAAATTCCCGAGCAAATTCCATTCGCTACTGGAAGTTGCCGACAATTCAAACTCGACGTTTTGGTTGAATGGAAAGCGCCTATGTTGAATAATGCAGCTCAATCTTTTGTTTCTTTGTAAGATTTGCAGTTCGAAATTTTCCAAAGGATCGCTCAGCTGTAGTGTTAAGCGGTTGAAATCGTCTATTGTAAGCGAGCGCGAGACTTTTCCCCCACCGCCATCCGTTGGAGTGGCTTCTGTACTTGTGCTAGTCGTGCAAGCCTTCATGTTATTAGTCTAAAATCTTTATTTTTCTTTTGAATTTAAGGCTGACCAGGACTTAACGCTCTTACTTTAAGGACGATTTTGAGCGTCGAAAACGTTCTAAAAATGCCCCATGATGTAATAACGGGATGGTCAGGCCTAAACAACGTTTTCCTCATCTTTTGAGGTAGCGTACGAATTCATCGGGAGAAATGGCCATTGTTCTCGGGATATTTACTTACAGTCGGTGAAAGCTTCTAGGTCTGTCATATCGCTTATTGTTATTCTAAAATGCTGAGCAGGAGTCTTTTTCATTGGTTATACCATGAACGCGGGGCAGTACTCCTCATCGTGGAGTAGGCTCAGCCAAACATTAACTGCATTCAAGGCTGTGCTCTAAGGAAAATTTCAGGGAGCCCTTCGGGCTCCCAAGCATTTTATTTCAGTCGCCCAGACCTCAAAGTTGGTCGCCCGAATAAAAATTTCGGGGAGCCCTTCGGGCTTCCAAGCATTCCAGCTGGGGTGCCCAGGCCTCTCAAGTTGGTCGCCCGAGTACATCTGATAAGGAAGTATTTTGTACGCACGCGAATCTTACTCGCCTGATGATCACCAAACTCGGTAATTTTAGCTTTTGGGTTCGACAAAAACCCGCATGTTGTCTTATGAAACCCATCAAAGTTTTCGTGCCATTCTGATTTAAAACCAGAAACGTGAGCAATGCCGCCGAATTTTTTAGATTTTAAAGAGAAAAAAGTAAAAAATTTCAGCAGGTTTACGTAAACTTCATTACCGTAGATCTTTGGGTCAAACATAGGAAAACTGTTCTTTATACCAGTAATACTTAACTTGAAAATAAATTTGCAAAAGGTAAATCAATGCGGCATGAAATATAATGTGACGGAGTTTTATACGCGGTTGATCGAACTCAAGTTCCCGTGAAAAATTCCGTGAAACAGTGAAAGCGCCACGGCCCCAAACCTATTGTTTTAATAAAAAATAAGTCATATTTAATCTTCTTTTCTATATTATCACTGAATCTTTTAGGATAATTGAGCTTTTCTTGGATACGGTCAAAGCGTAAACCAGCTCCTCTTTCCGTGTTTTTATTTTATTTTTTTGGCCGCTAAATTTAGCCTGCATGCGAATTTAGTTTTTGATATGTAAAATGCCAAGACAGCGTGGAACTGCCCTGTTTCTAAAACAACAATAAAAACGATCAGAACGATCATATCTTTTCTTTTTATATTTCGTTATCTTATGTAAAGGGAAGAAAACAAGCGTAAGTTATGTTTTAGCCAAGCAGAACCGTAAAAACATTGCATTTGCATACTGGTCAATACAGCAACTTCTGTTTTATACAAAAATAAATTACTCCCCGTCACCAGTGCACTTTATGTCTGTCAGAAAAGTACTGACAGTTTCTCCTAAAAACTGTACCTAATGAACCATTCTATCTGAAAGGAAAAAATTTAAAACTATTTTAAGAAGCGGTACAAATGGAAATCCGTGCCGCTTGTCACGTTCAAAGTGATGGATTATGTTACATGTGAAATCATGCAGAACGACCTTTGAACATCGACGCGTGCCGGTTTCCTTCGTACAACATTCGTAAAAACATTTTCTGTAGGGTTTAGCTAAACTCTGACTCAACAAGCCAACACTAGTATGTTAAATTTTTCTGCCCGCTTAACTGAACACTGCACCAGAAGCAAGAGTGCCCGGCCGGGCGACCGGGAATTTTTTTTCAGTCGCCCGAAGCTAAATGTTAGTCGCCTCAGGCGACCGGGCGCCGTTAGAGCACAGCCTTGCTGCATTTGTTTTAGAAATCCTCCATATTCTTCGCGTTGAAACTGAATGAAATGATACCATGTTTTTGAGCGAACTTTTTGCTTGAATAATGTTTTTGCGATGTTGCGAAGTTGTTGCCATTTTCAGCCTCAACATTCTTACAAATAAAGAGTGTAATGTTTTCGGCTATTGTTACCTTTCTTGTATGAAGTAGCACATCTTTGTGGCCATTAGAACTGTCCGTAATAGAGGAGTGTCTATATTACAGAGCTAGAAATTACAGTCAGCTCTCTTTATAGTGGACACTGCAGCGACCTCGAGATAGTGTCCTCATTAGCGAGAGTCCGTCATTAGTGGGAATTTATTTCAGTCAAATGTCTGTAATTTAATTTTTGCGTGGGATTTAGCTGCTATCGGTATCGTCGTGGTCTCCGCAAGGCGAGAGTTGACTGTAGATGGAGTATGGCAGGACCAGAAGAACTGTCCGTTTGGAGAGTTGCCTGCGTGGCAGGCGTTAAAAGGGGAAGGGGGAGGGGGAATTTGGTTGCGCGAGGGAGAAAGGAAAGGAAGGTTCCAATAGGAGAGGTGTTCGTAATACAGAAGCAGCGTGACCGAGTGGTTAGAGAACTGGACTTGTGATCCGTTGTCCCCGAGTTCAGTTCCCGCCCTCACCGCTAACTGGATTTGTTCTCAGTAGTCCCGAGTTCAAATCCTCGGCCACCCTTGTAAATAGAGATCTGCCTCCTACCAGTTGGTACTCTTAGCCATATTATGTTTCATTTGAATTATTGGTTCATTCATTATCCCTGAAAAGCCCCATGAGGGGAAATGATAATTAAGTATTCATTCATTCACGAATTGTGTGAAGTTTGGTACCCGCTGGGACCAAGAGAATTGTCTAGAATAGAGACAAATGCCCGTATTATAGTAGGCAGGAATTGTGTGAAGTTTGCCGTCTTTCTGACCGTGAATTGAACTACTGTCTGTAATAGAGAGTTGTACATATTATAGAGGTAGGAATATTGTATGATGGTCGACATTTTTTGGGACAATAGAACTGTCCTTTATATCATGGTGGCAGCAATTACGTGACGTTTGTTGTACCTTCAGAACCAGCAGATCTGTCATTTAATGACAAGTTATTAGTAAGAGGAAGTCGACTGTGCAGACATTGAAATCGTTAAAGAACATTATGGTTGGCTTGCCTGTGTTTTGTGTAGAAGTGATCTTCATTTTTGTTAACAAGTTTCCTCTGTCTTTAACCATAAAAATATCTCTAAAAAAGTCGTTGTTACCCATAACGTTAACATATTTGGCGGAGTTCTCTTTATCACGCATTGTCCAAAAAAATATTACCGTTATATCAGCTGTAGGCACTGTCCGAAGAAGCTTGAAAAGTCACCAGCAAGTTCAAATATAATATTTAATTTTTTCCTTGTAGCCTCTAAGTGTAAGTGATTTTAAGGTTTCCTTCGTACTAAGTAGAGTTTACACTGACCTGGGTAAGCCTGATGGTGCTTAGCCGCAGTACCATGGCAACTGTATGAAATGTGTCACAATCAAAATCAACAACTGAAGAAGTAGCATGATTGGCAACCGAGTCGATAGTTTCGCCGCTGAGTTGCAAAAATCGTTGTGACAACATTCAACTTTGCAGTACTTTCCATTTTCTTTGCATTCCTTATCGGTACACAATTGTGCTAGTCCACACATCTTTGCAAATTTTTCATTATAATCCCCCGGCTCTTCACCGTGCTCCACTAGATGAAGTTTGATGCAGACGTCATTGTGATCTGGTGGGCACACGCGTTTTTCTTCTCCCTCCTCGCATTCATCCCAGGATTTTTTTGAGAAGCAGCTGTAGCATTTTAATCCATCTCCGATGCTTGGTGCTGAGAAAGGAAAAGGGATGTATATATGAACTTGTCAACTCCCCGTTCGTGAAGAGTCGGTGAGAAAGAAAAAAAAGTGGGGCCCGAGGAGGCCATTATTTTCATTGCATTTTGTGCTCTAGGGCGAAGCGTGGGGGGCCTGAAAGCTAAAACCTAGGGATATCATTTGCACGATAACTTCATTCACTATTACTTCTGTATTGCTTAATTGTGCAAATTTGGGCTTTTGTTTTCGAAACGTCGATGAGATTACCAACATTAAATATGAATGGACAACGAATGGATTCTGATAATAGTAGTAGCAGTAGATAGATAGATAGATAGATAGGTACGTTATTAAATATATTGCAGCATAAGCTGAATTGCGTATTTACATAATGGTAATAATTTATACTAATAATTGTAAAAATGAGTAATAATTGTAATAGCTAAGACTAAAAACGTATAATAAGAAACCTAAAAATTATTTACAATTCTGCCTGAGGCCATAAAAAAACTGTTCTTAAATCTATTTGTCTTGCAACGCGGCAAAGTGAAAGTGCGCGCGTGCCTTAGATTATAGTTGCTCTTATAAAGAGGCGGCAACAACTTTCTTAACTTGTGGTTCGGGTCGCTCGTTATGCTTTCAAACGTGCGCGTGCAAATGTTGTGGTGATGCTCCGCAACCGTTGGTAAACTCATAAGCGCTAAAGCTTGCTGATATCAATGATGATGCTGTCGTGCACTTGTCGTGTAGTTGTTGTCAGATGACAGTATCGTGAAAATAGCCTATTGTAAGAGCCTTAATTTGACTGACGGCCAAGTTAAACAGTTAACTAAGGAAAACGTGAAGTTAATCCGGGTCCAGGCTAAAACGTAGGTTTTCATTGTCTCTCAAGAACAAAACTAAGCCTCCATTGGCTATCGAGGGCAGCCCTTGTCGGCGGTGTTGAGCCTGTTAGTTCTAGAGGCACCATGCTTCCAATCAGCAAGCGCGTTGCCGTAAAGGGTCACAGACAGCTGTGGGACTGCGCTGACCTGGACACTAGTTTTACAAGTTTGAAAAGCGTTTACCTCAACTCGAAATCAAATTCACGTCGAATACATCTAGAAATCCTCTTCAATCTTGCCTAGTGTCTCATTTGATCTTCGATATTTTACTGGAAACCTTTTCCTGAGTATTCTTTTACTTATCCTTCAATACGTGGTTAAAAAGAGCATGAATCGCGTGTCTTGTGATGTGCAAATACAGTAACCTTAAAAATGGTGTCTAATGTGCATGTGCATCAGCTGAGTGCGTCCCTTTAAAACATCTTGCATGGTCAGTTTGAGATTTTTCTGTGTAACAGGCCATTTGCACGATGGTGTCGTTTTACTGCCACGACCAGAATCCTTTTTGTTTTTCCTTTTGTATTTAAATTTGTTAATCCCAGCGAGGTTCAAATAACAAAAGCCCTAATTTGCACAAGAAAGAAAACCCTGAAGGGTTCTAGTCGAAGTTATAGTAAAATGCATCATAGTGCAAGTGGCCTATTGGCAACAACGTAGATTTCCATGTTTACCAGTACATACATACCTACACACATATCTGTAATAGAAGTTCCCAAGAGGCTTTTCAACGGCTATTTAACAATTATTCCTCGAGTCCGAATGGGCTCTGAGTTACGCAGAGGCCATGAGGGCGAGAGGAATAAATGTTTTAGTAAAATCCAACTAGTTGGACAAAAATAACGAGAATAAAAAAGTTCTAGCTAGTTAAAGCTAGACTTTAATCCTTTTTTGCCGCCAAAAAGCCCGCGCTTTTCACTACTAGTGGGCTATAATATATAGCCTAGTAGTAGCCCAACCAGTCAGAACGCAGCATTGTTAATAGACCACTAGTTGGATTTTACTAATTAAAAATATGATAGGATCAAAAATTAATGCTAATACTAACGAACTATGATGCGATTGACTAACCAAATGATAAATATGACAATGAAAGCAACATAATGACAGCGTAGCGGGTGCTATATGCCTCAGGTCGCTAGGCAAGCCTCAATAGTTTGACGTCTTTCTTGAATTTACTGAGATTGCCTTCCCCTTTAAGATCAGGGTCTAGTGAATTCCATATCTTATCTGCTCTATACGTGAAAGGACACTAGCCACTGGTTCTTCTATATTTGGGGATGTTTAGGTTATTGCAAGACCTGGTGTTTCGAGTGTGGATATCTGATCGCTTAAGTAAATTACAGGCAAGGTAATCAGGTGCAAGCCCATTAATGCACTTAAATGTCATCATAGAGTCCCTAGAGAATAATATTAAAAAAGTGCCATTGCAGTTGTCTTAAGCCTGTTGAAATGTGATCGTACTTCCTGATACCTGAGATGATTGTAGCCGCAAAATTCTGTATAAGTTGCAATTTCTGAATGTTCCTTTTTATCCGAGGTGTTTGCTCAGACGGATAAACAGTAAAAGAGTTTGCTCAATACCAAAGCATTTGTAATCAACATTTATACAGTTACCGAGACCCCTGTGATCCGTTTTTGTCCCTTAAAAGGTTTTTTCTTTAACCCTTTTAAAGGCATCAACTGAAAACGAAAAAACCAAAGGAACGGCTTATATTTGATGAGTACTTGCTTTTTCCTTACTTTTAAAATACTCATAATTAGAAATATCTTAAGGGTATTATTATGTCTGCCTCTTCATCATTCAGTGGGTGTAAAAACGATCTAGATGTCATTGTTTGTATTATTAAGCAGCTGGAATTTGCAGTTAGACGTTCTGAGCCTCTTAGTGGGGGAGATGTATGTGAATTTTTTAGGCAGACGGCTGCAGAGCACAGACAAACAGTTATAATAAGGATATTGCAATGAGTATTTTTTAAAATTATTTTCTTCTTAGACTTGAAAAAGGTCGCCCTTATTGCTTTCGAGAAACGGCTCAGTAAAAATGGACAAAAGTCCCCCTCTGAGAATTTAAGGCAGGGATTTTTTTTGGTAAATATAGAAAGCGAAAGGTTTTAAAACTCCCACGTACAACTGACGTCTATGTTCCGGCCATATCTGTGTCACATGAAAGTGTTCTACTTCCTAGTTGTAGGTGTTATACTTCCGAAACTCGCGGTGTCTTTCTGTTTTAGCAATTTTAGAATTGGTAAATCGACTCTTCAAGATCCAATATGCAGTTTCGACTGTCAGAAATAAATCAGAGCGTGCGCGTTTCCGTATCCAAGGCTTTCGTTTTGCTTAAACTTATAATAATAACAATAAGAGCGGGCTTAAAGAGAAGCCATAACCAGGAAAATCCTACGCTTAAATGACATATTGTAGTTAACGTTAACATTTCAAAGTAATTGCGCGCGTGCATGCTGTTGCTAATGAGTCAATGACCTAGCAATTTTCAGTCGAGTACTTATGTCGCCGATTTGCATCAGTGCAGACGCAATTTGCATTCACAGTTTGACAATAAAACCTGAGGTGGCCTACATCTACGTTTTTGCTGTCACAGTTGCTACGTGTTTGAAAACCGACCGAAATGTTGGGTTATATAGCAAGAGAACTGACAAGCGTATTCATTTGCCAGCCGACAACGTGTAGAACAATCTGGAAGGTGCCTGGCACACTTTACCATCATCATTAATCCCGGTTAGGAATAGATCCGAAGGGAATAAAAATTCCGCATTACTATAAGATTTTACCTCGAATAAAAATGATATTGGAAATACCAGTTCCCTCCACACTGTGTAAGATGTCTGAGCACTTTCCCATTGTTGCAATACAAAGGCACTTAAACATTTTAATGTTTTCCAACTTTGTTAACAGTGTACTTACCGGTGAAATCGAGAAGCCATATTGCAAACATCGAATATCGCAACGCATCGGACTTCATCTTCTCGTCTTTATATCTTCTTGATTTTTCGTCCAACCTTTACACTTCCTTGCAGCTCGGAACTACACTGCCGATTCTTTAAATAGTCCCGTTTCAGGTCATACTAAGTTTCGAGCTATCAACTGCAAAGAAGTATTTCAAAACAAGCTTGTTAAAGAGCCAATTTTCCGGGAATGGCATTTAAAGTTGACACCATCAAGCTCGCTTGGCAAATTTAATTGTGACTTAAGGGATTTGCGTGACATCAACTTCCGTGTATATTTAATCCGATTCCATACGTTAGCCATTATTAACATGATGCGGAAAGATTTCAAGTTCATGATCTTTTAATTACCCCGTGTAAGAGCAAATGCTTTAACTTTGCCGCTTTGACACGTCTAGAAACTGTATTCACTTGCCAGTTTTTACTCTACCGAACAACAGTACGGTAACTTCAAATGTCGTGACACTTTTGTCATTAATATCATGCATAGATTAGTACTATTTTATGCATCGCATTATTTTGGCCTTAATTGTAAACTCATGACACGTCCTAAAGCAAAAGGCTTTTTCTTCTTTCTTAGTCGATAGATGGTTTCCTTCTCAAAGACTCAGAGGGTTGTTTGATTATTATTATTATTATTAGATATTTACTGAAGACTGCGTGAAGGTAGATGATCCAGACAGAACTACAACTAAGATTTCGTAACATATTCATACACTTATTGATACAGAATTTGGCAACCAAGGCAGTTCTTGGCCTTTATCCATCATTGTAATCTATGATTCTTTATTTTGTTTCCTTCGCTTCCTATCCAAAACAGATCCGTTTCTAGTTCCAAGGGAAAATAAGTCACAATTAAATTAATGGACCAACTCGGAGAATCCATTTGGTGCCGTCAAGAGCGCCATGGCGTATGCATATAAATATGTTATTTTATTTTCCTTTCGGTTGGTTCAATATCTCGAAGTTGATCTTAAGTGTCACCGTATTACCGTGATATCTCTGTGAATAAACACTCTTTCCTTCTCTTGTAAGTCTCCCCCCTCAAAAAAAAAAAAAAGTCTAAACACATAAAAAATGCCACGATTTCATTTGTGCTCACTTGGCAGTCACTACGGCTGCCAGGAACTGCTTGAATGATTATCTGAAGATTGCACATTGAAGGTTCGGTGTAAGATGATGGGCGAAAGTCACAATGTATGGCCCTACGACGTGATTTTAATATTCTTTAGCAGGATCCTGCCTTTAGTGAATTTTTCAGTAACATCCAGCCAGTTTTGACCTTTTGAAAGCCCCTCAAGTCTCTCTCTTAAGTCTCTTATTCGAACCATTGAACTCTCGTTTCTCTAATCACGCTCAAATTTCACAGTCTGAATGAGGCTTGGATGCCTTGTCCAATCTGGAAGATCGCGCGTTAACGTTAACGTCGAACCTCGCTCAACCTCAACGTTTACGCACAACCTTTCATTCATAATAATTATGTCTTTATTTTAGCTTATCGCTGAGTGGCTTTTCATCTGCTTAAAATGTCATTTATAAAACCATTATATACACGGAGGAAAAGTGAATAAGCACCCAGCTTCGATGTATTTTGATGTATTTTGATGTATTAATCTCGCTATCGCTCGATGAATACATCAAGGCCTTGGTCTGAGATTTCCCTGTAATGACCACACTCTCGGTTAATAAGGGGTATATAATATAGAACAATTATTCACTGAAGTTAAAATGGCTAGTGGTGAAAATTTACCGCGCACCGAAGCCATCGACACTGAGTTGAATAATTGTTATTAAGCCAAGTCCAAAAGCGAAGATGTCGTGGGATCTTTTCAGAAAAGTCTATCTGCAGTAATTCAACATTTACCATAAGCAAGAAGCAAACAGAACTCCTTCTAAAAATAGCCTGCAATCAGTTAAAAAATAATAACTAGTCAGCGGAGAACTTTTAAAGACACATAGCCTCAATAAGTTGTACACCTGAGCCCTCGATACAGTCAGGTGACCTAGTCAGCGGATACCCAGTATCAAGTTTAACTGATATATATGTTGCAGTTAATTTTTTTGTTTCAATTAATTTTTGTTTTCCCTTTATTTTTGGGTATGGTAATCAAATATATGCTAACAAGAGCCATAATGGATGCTAATGAATTTGAAACAAAGGAAAAACAAAAATAAACTGAAATAAACAATTAAATACAACATTTACCTTGGACTCCCAAGTTAGTAAGTGTGACAGTTCACATTCACTACCATGAATAGGATGTACGTACGGACAGACGATTTTTTCACAACCAAAATTTGTTGGATGCCTGGATAACCAAATTTTATTACCCATAGTGCTTCGCTATAAGGAAGTAAAAGAGGTATTTTTTTCTTGTCCTGTTGTGACGCTTTATTGTCTAAAACTCCTCCTTTTTTCACTAATTTGAGTAGTAAGACCCTGTTTACATGGAGTGGGGGACCCCGGTCTAGTGGGGTTGGTTTCTTTTGTTTTCACGCTCTGAGGGGCACAAAACAAAAGAAACTTACCCCACTAGACCGGGGTCCCCCACTCCATGTAAACAGGGTCTAAGTGGACCTATAAAATGAATTACCCGCCAGGATGAATATGTTACAGTGCCATATTTTACATATGCGTATCATTATCTGATGGATCTAATACAGTGAAACCTCTATTAAGCGGACCCCCAATTAAGCGGACACCAAGCCGTGTCCCAAAATTAACGTCTTATATTTCCCTTTATAACGAACCCCCTATTCAGCTGACACCTCTATTAAGCGGACGCGGACACTAAAATAAATTGTATTTGGCTAGTTGCTATTGTTTAAAATTGACAATAGTGGTATTGGATTATGTCGTTGATATACGTACTGTAAGATAAATCAATACATCTAGCTGTCAAAAAAACTGTGAATTAGACCGATATCCGATATCATCCTCTATCAAAGTTCACCTTAAAGTCTTGCAAAAAGTACAGCACAGCTTCCTTAGGTTCCTTAACAACATGGGACTTTATCGCATTACAGAGAAACCGTTGAATGTTAATCGTTAACAAACATTGCGCAATTTTTAAAACCTCTCTTAAGCGGACACTTGAGTAGGTCCCGAAGGTGTCCTCTTAATAACAACAACAACAACAACAACAGTTCATTTCTACTACTGTAGACAACTAAAAGAATTTACAAGTACATAATTATAAATAAATATACAAAGAGTAAATACAGTAGTGCGACACCCAAAATAACTTAAAAGCTAAACTAGTTGCGTGACCGTAATTATGATAATTAGAACTGTGAAAGTCAGAAAAGAGGCACAACTAATGTTGGTACACATAAATATCATAACATAGAGGTTTCACTGTAAAATAAATACTCTGAATGTGGAGAGAGCATAACAATTTCAGTTATCCCTGAAAATTTACTTTGAAAAACTCGAACTTTTACAAAGATTGTAGGGCTCATTAACTTTTTTGCTACCCAGTAATTTCGCAGTTGTTGATGGACTGATATTTCCTTCAATATTGCTTGCTAAGAGCTAAAAATTGCATAAATTGCATAACAAAGGTTAAAGTGTAAACAATGACGCCAGCAAAGATTCGCCTGTTGCGAATTGAACTTGACAGTCCTAGAGTTGCGTAGCAGGTCGTCCAGTTGCTTGATGATTTTATAAGCGTTACCCAAGGCGAGAGGTTTAAACATCCTTACCGAGATCGAGAAACTGTCTGGCATCAAGTGAACCCGGATTTCCGGATTTCAAGTTTAGCCCTTCAAGCACCCAACCACGACTACTGCGCGTTTCTTTTAGCAAATTACACAATCGTGAAATAACTTTCAAAAGATAGCGTATTCAAAACAAGCAAAACTTGTAAATGATATTTACTAACAGGACAAAAAATACAAGAGTTGTTCGGCTGATTGCTATCGTGGACGCCTCATTACACAGGTCTTGATGACAACAGTCTACTGTGCATCTTTTTCCCACTTTCTTGCAGTGATCGTCTGTACAAGCTTCTGGTTCGGCACAAAGCCTAGTAAATTTTTGCGTTTGTCCATGCCCTATTACATGTTCTTTAGCACACACATAGGCTTCCCCACAGTTATGTATTTTCACTTCTTTATCACAGGCATCCCAGGAAATTTCTGTGTGACAAGTGTAACATTTCAGGCCCTCGCTAAATCTGGGACCTGTTGAAAGAAAAGGAATAGGGAGTTAAGATGTCACGATGGCAATGGCAAAAAAGCAAAAGGTTTAGGCCCTGTCTGCACTAATGCGTTTTCAAAAGTATGTGTTTTCGTTATCATCGAAAACGCATCGATCGATTCGCATCCACACATCCACACTACTCTTTTGATGCGTTTTCGACTGTCCACACTAAGGCCCTGCCGACACTAATGCGTTTTCAAAAGTATGCGTTTTCGCTGTCATCAAAAACGCATCGATCGATTCGCATTCACACTACCTTTGTGATGCGTTTTTGACAGTCTAGGCTAAGGCCCTGTCTACACTTATTTGTTTTCAAAAGTTTGCGTTTTCGTTGTCATCGAAAACGCGTCGATCGACTCGCATCCACACTACCGTTTTAATGCGTTTTCGACTCTCCACTCTAAGGCCCTGTCCACACTAATACGAAAACGCATCGACCGATTCGCATCCACACTAATGCCTGGTTTCCATTAACGCATAAGCATAAGCACAAAGCGGAAGCACATGTGTAAAGAAGTGAAAACTGGGTCGACATAAGCGTAAGCACAATAAAAACGGACAAGTTCGTTCTTCTTGTGCTTGTGCTTATGTTTATGTCGTAGCTTTGACCAGTGAAAACGGGGTCGACATAAGCACAAGCATAAGCACAAGGCCGTGGACCAATCATAGGTCACTTTGACCCAGACCTCATGCGAACATATCAAAAGCAATATGGCAGAGCAAGTCCGCCATCTTGTTTATCATTGAGTTAAGGAGACCTGGTATCGAGAATTGAGTCAAATATGCCATTCTGCGCGTGCGTATGTCCTTGTGCTTATGCTTATGCGCTAGTGAAAACCAGGCCAACGCTTTTTCGTTTGAAAACGCATACATTCGATGCTTTTAGGCCTTCCGTCCACATTAATACAATGCGATTTGAAAACGCTCTTGAAGTGGGTCAAAACGAAAACACGTACATATCGTGTTGGTGTGGACGGTCGAAAACGCATCAAAATGAAAACAATGACCGAAAATATCGCAGGCCCGTGTGTTGGTAGCATGGGCGTGGACTTAAAATTAAGTCACAACGTGCAATTTTATCGTTTTTAAACGTTTTGACAGTCGAAAACTCATCAAAACGTTAGTGTGGACGCGAATCGATCGATGCGTTTTCGATGACAACAAAAACGCATTAGTGTGGTTCGAAAAAGATAGAATTGCCCGTTGTAAAGGCACCTGTTCGCCCGCACTTCCTGACCTTTGCATACTGCTAATGTCTACCCACATTTTTCGAAAATTTGGGGTGTTTCTTTGTGTTGCGGAAACTATTGTTGACTCGTGGTTGGTTAGTTATTATATGGTGATGTCCTTATTGTTCAGTGTCTTTTCAATGTATGTATTACGTCATGTGGTGATCGCGGTGTGGCAGTGTAGTGGTTAGGAAGCGAGATTGTATAGGTATACGTGAGGTCTAGTTCAATTCTGGGACTAGAATTCGTCCTTTTTATTAACAACACTTTCAATGACAGATCAAAAAAATAATTAAGTGTCTGACGAAAAGTGGTAACGATCGTTTACCAAAAGAAAAACCCGGGTCGGCTTAAACTCTTGCGGCGTCAAGTCAGTCACATGGCATAAAAGGCTGTACCTTCAAAAACTACTCATTCAGGAAGAATTTGTTTGCATTTGTAAACATTGTTTGAGTTAATCGGGGCAGATCATGGTGCTGAAATCAAAACAGTTCTTGAGAGTCTTTTAAAGTGAGGCTTCCAAAGGGTGTAGTCGCGTCGCCATGTCGCACTTTTTTTAATTCCTTTATTTCACCCAACCAACGGTTGCTAAATTAAGTCGCCGTCCCTTCAAAATTTCTCTACGTGCTTAAAGTAGAGGATGGTGACGCTGATGGCCTTAACGTTCTTAGGTCATAGTCTCTTGATAAAGGTAATTCAATACAACATGAGATTATAAGAGGTAATTTGGGCACGTGGCGGCAGCCCTCACATTCTATAGTTAAAAGCATGAGTTGACTACCACAAGTTTCCACTGAAGCAGAAACACTCATTAATCACGAAATGTTTGTGTGTCATGGCTATATATAATAGCTTTGGATACTTTCATAAATGCTTCCAAACATGGCCGCAGTATTAGATTGTTGTTTTGTTTTGATAGAAATGCAGCGAAAATAGCCGTAGTAAAGATAGCCAGACAAAAAGATCCTATAGTTTTTAAAAGTGAAACGTGTCGTTTTAATTTGTCGCTTTGCTAGAAAAGCGCTTGAAAGCCCGCTGCTTTCTCGCTTACCCCAGCCATAACATCTAGACCGCTGCCTGTGGTTTTTGAGGGGTGGTGGACGTTATTCTTGTCAATGTGGCTGTGGTAGGTGATTTGAGACGAGTCGCCTGCGGCTCTGAGGGCGAAAAGCGTCATCAGTTTTCTAAAATATTAAATCTCCACCAGCGAATTGATACGTGAGCTATAGCTGACATTTTTGTAATGGTTTGAAATGAAACACTTGAGTGGTCGACTTGTGATTTCAGCTGCCCGAGATTTCCATTGTCTTCATCTTGTTTTCTTGAACGCAAAATATATAATTTCCAGACTATTTACTACTGTCTGTCTCTTGCATATTATTTTCCTCTGAGCCTTTAAACTGACCTTGAGAGACATGTAATATTTATATCGCCCACTAATTTAATATGTAAAATACAAAGTACATTATCACCCGCTTCCAACGTAAAGTTTGTTTGAAAATGGTATCAGGACTTTGGATTCAGCTTTGATACAAATTTTAGTAAGAGAACCTTTACAACGTGAGTGACTTTGAAAAATGCCGGAATTTTTCGGAGATAAGGAATATATCTCGTGAAGTATCGTGACTAATGAATATGCATGTCAGCGAACCAGAACCAGTTAAACAGTGATTCGGACTTAGTTGTAGAAGTTTGGTTTATACGTCAACTCGCTTTAAGGATAAAATTTTGCGAGTTAAAGTCCACCGTCTCCGTGCGTTTCTGCATTTTGTCCCACCTCTCACTTGTAATTATTTAAACATGTCTGTAAACATGACCTGCGCAAAAACCACTTACCATTGGACAACATAAGCCATGTTACAGTTAATGTTATCGGGAAATACTGAAGCAATTTCCATTCCATCTCCTGCAGATTGAAATCGTAAAGCTAAATCACTAACGGCAACGTTTCAAATCCCGAAGTATCGTATCCAAGTGTAGTATCTAAAATCGGCTTGTGGGTTTCAGTGACGGTGTTTTCCGATTGGGCGACGTTTAAAAATGTTAAATGTTCGACATCGACAGCTCGTATCATTTAATGTTGCGTGACCTCACCACTAAGTGATTGACGTTAAGTGGTTGCTATGGCAGGGACAATTAATAGGATAAAATTATAGTAATGACTAATTGCAGCGTCTCTACAGAGAAGATCTATCTCCTCAAATAATTAGCGATATATACAGATAAACATTGAAACAATAGCTATGATATAAACAAAAGCAATGACAGAACTAACCACGTTGCCCTAACTCTAGAAAGGAAACAATAAAAAATGCGCTTAACAGTGCTGAACTATGCTTAAAATGCAATTCACTGCGACTTCTAGAAAGATCTCAAAAAAAGTTACTATTAATTATTTTTAATTGCGTAAGCATAAAGGAGGGATATAATGAATAAGGAATGTATGAATGTATGAGTGATAACTATACATTTTATCTTAAAGCTGGTTGTAGGCCAACTAATTTCGGTATTGTGCGGCAGGTGTGAACCATAAATTTTAAACCTTGAAGGCACGAACATAAGCTTTTAATTATTTCTCGCCAGGTCTCCGGCAATTACTTTATTATCTGTCGTATAAGTTTTTACTCTTTGGTGCAGTATACCTAGTTTGCTTTAAAATTTGACTTGCAAATCGTGCTTAGACCAACTACATGTTGACCAAGACCAGTTTTTGATAGTGTACTGAATTGAACGCAATGGAAACAGGTGGTCTTCTGTTTAGTTTTTTTCTTGTCTAGACCCCATCAAGTGTATACCAGTGCAATTGTATGAAGCACATGTTATGAATTGCAGATAACATTTCGTCACGTTTGTTGTTGAAGCCACTAGGTTTAAGGGTAAACGTTTAATCTTTCAGGTTTCAAGTGAAATTATTTGCTTGTCAGTGTGAGGGTGATAAGGATATGTCAAAAGAATAAGTTGAGGGATGTGGTGCTTTATCTTTAGATTTAATATTAGGCTTGTCAGTTGGGTGTCAGTATTCATTAAATCTGTCTTTTGAGTAGGCGTTGTGAAGGAGACAAAAAAGACTAAATAACCGTTATTGTGGCTGGTGTTATTATTATTTTTTTCTTTCATGCGGTTAAGTGTAAAACTGTTGTTTATTCAATTTAAAGCTCCCTTGGCGGGCTGTACGTGAATGGGCGACAATATTACATTATTGTTTAATTTTATATGTTTTGCCTTCCCGTGCCAAGAAGTGAACTACTCTGAGTGATTCATTTATTTTTATATGTATATATATATTTTTTGTAAATAAAAGCGTCCGACCACACATTCATCCATCTATCCATTTGCGTGTAAATTAATGTTTTTAACAGCAATATCCCTCAGAGTGGGGGAATATACTATTGTCTCAGAATTATTTCATATTCCAATAAAATTTTTATTACAAAGGATAATTTTTAATTGCATTTGCAGACAACAATTACAGTGTCACGGTAACGCGAATTTGAAAAAGAATACTGCAATTTTACAAACAGTTGCGCGCTCGTCACATGCATTATAAAGGAACAGTGTATTTTAGTTAAGTATTTATCTTTTTAAAACGTGAAGAAGTTTAAACATCCTTACCCAGATCGAGAAACTGTCTGGCATCAAGTGAACCCGGATTTCCGGATTTCAAGTTTAGCCCTTCAAGCACCCAATCACAACTACTGCACGTTTCTTCTAGTGAATTACACAATTGTGAAATAACTTTCAAAAGATAGCGTATTCAAAACAAGCAAAACTTGTAAATAATATTTACTAACAAGATAAAAAAGACAAGCGTTGTTCCGCTGGTTGCTATCGTGGACTTATTGTACGGCTGGTTGATATCATTACATAGGTCTTGATGACAACAGTCTATTGTACATCTTTTTCCCTCTTTCTTGCAGTGATCGTCTGTACAGGCTTCTGCTTGTGCACAATACTTAGTAAATTTTTGCTGTGATCCATGCCCTATTTCATGTTCTTTAGCACACACATAGGGCTCCGCACAGTTATATATTTTCTGGTGTTTATCACAGACATCCAGGAAATGTTTGTGTGACATGTGTAACATTCCAGGCCCTCGCTAAATCTGGGACCTGTTGAAAGGAAAGGAATAGGGAGTTAAGATGTCACGATGGCAACTGCAAAAAAGCTAAAGGTTTAGGCCCTGTCTGCACTAATGCGTTTTCAAAAGTATGTGTTTTCGTTATCATCGAAAACGCATCGATCGATTCGCATCCACACATCCACACTACTCTTTTGATGCGTTTTCGACTGTCCACACTATGGCCCTGTCCACACTAATGCGTTTTCAAAAGTATGCGTTTTCGTTGTCATCAAAAACGCATCGATCAATTTGCGTTCACACTACCTTTGTGATGCGTTTTTGACAGTCCAGGCTAAGGCCCTGTCTACACTTATTTGTTTTCAAAAGTTTGCGTTTTCGTTGTCATCGAAAACGCGTCGATCGACTCGTATTCACACTACCGTTTTAATGCGTTTTCGACTCTCCACTCTAAGGCCCTGTCCACACTAATGCGTTTTCAAAAGTATTCGTTTTCGTTGTTACGAAAACGCATCGACCGATTCGCATCCACACTAATGCCTGGTTTCCATAAGCGCATAAGCATAAGCACAAAGCGGAAGCACATGTGTAAACAAGTGAAAACTGGGTCGACATAAGCGTAAGCACAAGAAAAACGGACAAGTTCGTTCTTCTTGTCCTTGTGCTTATGTTTATGTGGTAGCTTTGACCAGTGAAAACGGGGTCGACACAAGCACAGGCATAAGCACAAGGCCGTGGACCAATCATAGGTCACTTTGACCCAGACCTCATGCGAACATATCAAAAGCAATATGGCGGACCAAGTCCGCCATCTTGTTTATCATTGGGTTGAGGAGATCTGGTATCAAGAATTGAGTCAAATATGCCATTCTGCGCGTGCGTATGTCCTTGGCTTATGGTTATGCGCTGGTGAAAACCAGGCCAACGCTTTTTTGTTTGAAAACGCATACATTCGATGTTTTTAGGCCTTCCGTCCACACTACTACGATGAGCGTTTTCATCGAAAACGCTTCGATTTGAAAACGCTCTTGAAGTGGGTCAAAACGAAAACACGTACATATCGTGTTGGTGTGGACGGTCGAAAACGCATCCAAATGAAAACAATGACCGAAAATATCGCAGGCGCGTGTGTTGGTAGCATGGGCATGGAGTTAAAATTAAGTCACAACGTGCAATTTTATCGTTTTTGAACGTTTTGGTGTTGATAGTCGAAAACGCATCAAAACGTTAGTGTGGACGCGAATTGATCAACAAAAACGCATTAGTGTGGTTCGAAAAAGATAGAATTGCGCGTTGTAAACGCACCTGTTCGCCCGCACTTCCTGACCTTTGTTTACTGCTAATGTCTACCCACATTTTTCGAAAATTTGGGGTGTTTCGTTGTGTAGCGGAAACTACTGTTGACTCGTGGTTGGTTAGTTATTGTGTGGTGATGTCTTTTCAATGTAAGAATTACGTCATGTGGTGATCGCGGTGTGGCATTGTAGTGGTTAGGGAGCGAGATTGTACAGGTATACGTGAGGTCCAGTTCAAAAAAATAATTAAGTGTCTTACGAAAAGTGGTAACGATCGTTTACCAAAAGAAAAACCCGGGTCGGCTTAAACTCTTGCGGCGTCAAGTCAGTCACATGGCATAAAAGGCTGTACCTTCTAAAACTACTCATTCAGGAAGAATTTGTTTGCATTTGTAAACATTGTTTGAGTTCATCGGGGCAGATCATGGTGCTGAAATCAAAACAGTCCTTGGGAGTCTTTTAAAGTGAGGCTTCCAAAGGGTGTAGTCGCGTCGCCACGTTGCACGTTTTTTTATTCCTTTATTTCACCCAACCAGCGGTTGCTAAATTAAGTCGCCGTCCCTTCCAAATTTCTCCACGTGCTTAAAGTAGAGGATGGTGACGCTGATGGTCATAATGTTCTTAGTTCATAGTCTCTAGATAAAGGTAATTCAATACACCATGAGGTTATAATAAGAGGTAATTTGGGCACGTGGCGGGAGCCCTCACATTCTTTGGTTAAAGGGATGAGTCGCCTTGATATACTTGACTACCACAAGTTTCCACTGAAGCAGTAACATTCATTAATCACGAAATGTTTGTGTGTCATGGCTATATATAATAGCTTTGGATACTTTCATAAATGCTTCCAAATATGGCCGCAGTATTAGATTGTTGTTTTGTTTTGGTAGAAATGCAGCGAAAATAGCCGTAGTCAAGATAGCCCGACAAAAAGATCCTATAGTTTTTAAAAGTGAAACGTGTCGTTTTAATTTGTCGCTTTGCTAGAAAAGCGCTTGAAAGCCCGCTGCTTTCTCGCTTACCCCAGCCATAACATCTAGACCGCTGCCTGTGGTTTTTGAGGGGTGGTGGACGTTATTCTTGTCAATGTGGCTGTGGTAGGTGATTTGAGACGAGTAGCCTGCGGCTCTGAGGGCGAAAAGCGTCATCAGTTTTCTAAAATAATAAATCTCCACCAGCGAATTGATACGTGAGCTATAGCTGACATTTTTGTAATGGTTTGAAATGAAACACTTGAGTGGTCGACTTGTGATTTCAGCTGCCCAAGATTTCCATTGTCTTCATCTTGTTTTCTTGAACGCAAAATATATAATTTCCAGACTATTTACTACTGTCTGTCTCTTGCATATTATTTTCCTCTGAGCCTTTAAACTGACCTTGAGAGACATGTAATATTTATATCGCCCACTAATTTAATATGCAAAATACAAAGTACATTAGAGTAAAGCAAAGTAAAGATCCGATGGATCTTGTTTACTGTGGGTAATGTCGACCGAGATGTCGGTCGATATAGCGGTCGACACTCGGTCGATAGTCGGTCGACACTCGGTCGATAGTCGGTCGACACTCGGTCGACAGCCGGTCGATACTCGGTCGACACTCGGTCGATATAGCGGTCGATAGTGGGTCGACACTCGGTCGAGACACGGTCGATAGTCGTTCCAGATGTGTCTCAGCCGATATAGCATTTGGTTAGTAGTAAATAGAGTATAATAGTGTAGTACAATATATCGTTAACGTCATGATGGTATGTTTAATACTAACGCACAATGTTATCAGAATTCTCGGCTTGCACTGTCACGCAATGAAAAATAAAAATGCAAACCATTCAATACAGAAGGACTAGAATCTGGGAAATGAAAAAAGATAAAAATACAAAAACCCTTGCCAAGAATCAGGTCTGTGAAATATTTCAAATGCGAGATATTGGGAAAAACGGTTTACCTAAATTTATAAAGCTTTGTATGGAAACGCCATGTTGGTGTCCCTTTCAGGAACACCAATATGGCCGCCGGATACCAACAGAAACATCTGTTTTCGAGTTTTCCTACTAATGCGTGAACTCTTCGCTTGCGGAACTCATAAAGATTACAGAAATATTTATTCTGAGACAAGGAATGTTTAGATTGCAAAATCTTCCAAAATCGGTAATGTTTTTAACCCACATAAGAGCTTTCCCGGCCGCTAGCTAAATGCCGCGTCACGCAAAAGGCTGGAAATTCAAGCGTCCTCTCTCGCAAAACGAAGAACCCTTTCGAACCAAAAATTTGTTGATGTAAAGGTGTTTAGGTACTGTAATACCTTTTGAAAGTAGAAACTCAGAAGAATCAATAGTTTCTTAGTTTGATTTTTGGTGACGTCACGTGCAACCCAAGAATATATCACAAGTCTTGCTGACGTCAGCTTCCATATTGTGGCCTACTTGTACTCGCGGTTTCGATATTCGGGTAAAAATCCGATGCGGTTTGCGGCTTTTTGGCGTATTTCTGTGCGGTTTTGCGGTTTTCAGACCCCCCTTACGCCCCCCTCATTGGACAACATAAGCCATGTTACAGTTAATGTTATCGGGAAATACTGAAGCAATTTCCATTCCATCTCCTGCAGATTGAAATCGTAAAGCTAAATCACGAACGGCAACGTTTCAAATCCCGAAGTATCGTATCCAAGTGTAGTATCTAAAATCGGCTTGTGGGTTTCAGTGACGGTGTTTTCCGATTGGGCGACGTTTAAAAATGTTAAATGTTCGACATCGACAGCTCGTATCATTTAATGTTGCGTGACCTCACCACTAAGTGATTGACGTTGTAAGTGGTTGCTATGGCAGGGACAATTAATAGGATAAAATTATAGTAATGACTAATTGCAGCGTCTCTACAGAGAAGATCTATCTCCTCAAATAATTAGCGATATATACAGATAAACATTGAAACAATATGATATAAACAAAAGCAATGACAGAACTAACCACGTTGCCCTAACTCTAGAAAGGAAACAATAAAAAATGCGCTTAACAGTGCTGAACTATGCTTAAAATGCAATTCACTTCGACTTCTAGAAAGATCTCAAAAAAAGTTACTATTAATTATTTTTAATTGCGTAAGCATAAAGGAGGGATATAATGAATAAGGAATGTATGAATGTATGAGTGATAACTATACATTTTATCTTAAAGCTGGTTGTAGGCCAACTAATTTCGTTATTGTGCGGCAGGTATGAACCATAAATTTTAAACCTTGAAGGCATGAACATAAGCTTTTAATTATTTCTCGCCAGGTCTCCGGCAATTACTTTATTATCTGTCGTATAAGTTTTTACTCTTTGGTGCAGTATACCTAGTTTGCTTTAAATTTGACTTGCAAATCGTGCTTAGACCAACTACATGTTGACCAAGACCAGTTTTTGATAGTGTACTGAATTGAACGCAATGGAAAGAGGTGGTCTTCTGTTTAGTTTTTTTCTTGTCTAGACCCCATCAAGTGTATACCAATGCAATTGTATGAAGCACATGGTATGAATTGCAGATAACATTTCGTCACGTTTGTTGTTGAAGCCACAAGGTTTAAGGGTAAACGTTTAATCTTTCAGGTTTCAGGTGAAATTATTTGCTTGTCAGTGTGAGGGTGATAAGGATATGTCAAAAGAATAAGTTGAGGGATGTGGTGCTTTATCTTTAGATTTAATATTAGGCTTGTCAGTTGGGTGTCAGTATTCATGAAATCTGTCTTTTGAGTAGGCGTTGTGAAGGAGAGAAAAAAGACTAAATAACCGTTATTGTGGCTGGTGTTATTATTATTTTTTTCTTTCATGCGGTTAAGTGTAAAACTGTTGTTTATTCAATTTAAAGCTCCCTTGGGGGGCTGTACGTGAATGGGCGACAATATTACATTATTGTTTAATTTTATATGTTTTGCCTTCCCGTGCCAAGAAGTGAACTACTCTGAGTGATTCATTTATTTTTATATGTATATATATATTTTTTGTAAATAAAAGCGTCCGACCACACATTCATCCATCTATCCATTTGCGTGTAAATTAATGTTTTTAAAAGCAATATCCCTCAGAGTGGGGGAATATACTATTGTCTCAGAATTATTTCATATTCCAATAACATTTTTTTTACCAAGGATAATTTTTTTTGCATTTGCAGACAACAATTACAGTGTCACGGTAACGCGAATTTGAAAAAGAATAGTGCAATTTTACAAACAGTTGCGCGCTCGTGACATGTATTATAAAGGAACAGTGTATTTTATTTATGTCTTTATCTTTTTAAAACGTGAAGAAGTTTAAACATCCTTACCGAGATCGAGAAACTGTCTGGCATCAAGTGAACCCGGATTTCCGGATTTCAAGTTTAGCCCTTCAAGCACCCAACCACAACTACTGCACGTTTCTTCTAGTGAATTACACAATCGTGAAATAACGTTCAAAAGATAGCGTATTCAAAACAAGCAAAACTTGTAAATAATATTTACTAACAGGATAAAAAAGACAAGCGTTGTTCGGCTGGTTGCTATCGTTGTTCGGCTGGTTGCTATCGTGGACGCATTGTACGGCTGGTTGCTATCATTACATAGGTCTTGATGACAACAGTCTACTGTACATCTTTTTCCCACTTTCTTGCAGTGATCGTCTGTACAGGCTTCTGCTGGTGCACAATACTTAGTAAATTTTTGCTGTGATCCAGGCCCTATTTCATGTTCTTTAACACACACTTGGGACTCCCCACAGTTATATATTATACGGCGTTTATCACAGTCATCCCAGGAAATGTCTGTGTGACAAGTGTAACATTTCAGGCCCTCGCTAAATCTGGGACCTGTTGAAAGAAAAGGAATAGGGAGTTAAGATGTCACGATGGCAATGGCAAAAAAGCAAAAGGTTTAGGCCCTGTCTGCACTAATGCGTTTTCAAAAGTACGTGTTTTCGTTATCATCGAAAACGCATCGATCGATTCGCATCCACACATCCACACTACTCTTTTGATGCGTTTTCGACTGTCCACACTAAGGCCCTGCCGACACTAATGCGTTTTCAAAAGTATGCGTTTTCGCTGTCATCAAAAACGCATCGATCGATTCGCATTCACACTACCTTTGTAATGTGTTTTTGACAGTCCAGGCTAAGGCCCTGTCTACACTTATTTGTTTTCAAAAGTTTGCGTTTCCGTTGTCATCGAAAACGCGTCGATCGACTCGCATCCACACTACCGTTTTAATGCGTTTTCGACTCTCCACTCTAAGGCCCTGTCCACACTAATACGAAAACGCATCGACCGATTCGCATCCACACTAATGCCTGGTTTCCATTAACGCATAAGCATAAGCACAAAGCGGAAGCACATGTGTAAAGAAGTGAAAACTGGGTCGACATAAGCGTAAGCACAATAAAAACGGACAAGTTCGTTCTTCTTGTCCTTGTGCTCATGTTTATGTGGTAGCTTTGACCAGTGAAAACGGGGTCGACATAAGCACAGGCATAAGCACAAGGCCGTGGACCAATCATAGGTCACTTTGACCCAGACCTCATGCGAACATATCAAAAGCAATATGGCAGAGCAAGTCCGCCATCTTGTTTATCATTGGGTTAAGGAGACCTGGTATCGAGAATTGAGTCAAATATGCCATTCTGCGCGTGCGTATGTCCTTGTGCTTATGCTTATGCGCTAGTGAAAACCATGCCAACGCTTTTTCGGTTGAAAACGCATACATTCGATGCTTTTAGGCCTTCCGTCCACATTAATACAATGCGATTTGAAAACGCTCTTGAAGTGGGTCAAAACGAAAACACGTACATATCGTGTTGGTGTGGACGGTCGAAAACGCATCAAAATGAAAACAATGACCGAAAATATCGCAGGCCCGTGTGTTGGTAGCATGGGCGTGGACTTAAAATTAAGTCACAACGTGCAATTTTATCGTTTTTAAACGTTTTGACAGTCGAAAACTCATCAAAACGTTAGTGTGGACGCGAATCGATCGATGCGTTTTCGATGACAACAAAAACGCATTAGTGTGGTTCGAAAAAGATAGAATTGCCCGTTGTAAAGGCACCTGTTCGCCCGCACTTCCTGACCTTTGCATACTGCTAATGTCTACCCACATTTTTCGAAAAATTGGGGTGTTTCTTTGTGTTGCGGAAACTATTGTTGACTCATGGTTGGTTAGTTATTGTGTGGTGATGTCCTTATTGTTCAGTGTCTTTTCAATGTATGTATTACGTCATGTGGTGATCGCGGTGTGGCAGTGTAGTGGTTAGGAAGCGAGATTGTATAGGTATACGTGAGGTCTAGTTCAATTCTGGGACTAGAATTCTTCCTTTTTATTAACAACACTTTCAATGACAGATCAAAAAATAATTAAGTGTCTTACGAAAAGTGGTAACGATCGTTTACCAAAAGAAAAACCCGGGTCGGCTTAAACTCTTGCGGTGTCAAGTCAGTCACATGGCATAAAAGGCTGTACCTTCAAAAACTACTCATTCAGGAAGAATTTGTTTGCATTTGTAAACATTGTTTGAGTTCATCGGGGCAGATCATTGTGCTGAAATCAAAACAGTTCTTGGGAGTCTTTTAAAGTGAGGCTTCCAAAGGGTGTAGTCGCGTCGCCACGTTGCCTTTTTTTTTATTCCTTTATTTCACCCAACCAGCGGTTGCTAAATTAAGTCGCCGTCCCTTCCAAATTTCTCTACGTGCTTAAAGTAGAGGATGGTGACGCTGATGGCCATAACGTTCTTAGGTCATAGTCTCTTGATAAAGGTAATTCAATACAACATGAGATTATAAGAGGTAATTTGGGCACGTGGCGGGAGCCCTCACATTCTATAGTTAAAAGCATGAATTGACTACCACAAGTTTCCACTGAAGCAGAAACATTCATTAATCACGAAATGTTTGTGTGTCATGGCTATATATAATAGCTTTGGATACTTTCATAAATGCTTCCAAATATGGCCGCAGTATTAGATTGTTGTTTTGTTTTGGTAGAAATGCAGCGAAAATAGCCGTAGTCAAGATAGCCAGACAAAAAGATCCTATAGTTTTTAAAAGTGAAACGTGTCGTTTTAATTTGTCGCTTTGCTAGAAAAGCGCTTGAAAGCCCGCTGCTTTCTCGCTTACCCCAGCCATAACATCTAGACCGCTGCCTGTGGTTTTTGAGGGGTGGTGGACGTTATTCTTGTCAATGTGGCTGTGGTAGGTGATTTGAGACGAGTCGCCTGCGGCTCTAAGGGCGAAAAGCGTCATCAGTTTTCTAAAATATTAAATCTCCACCAGCGAATTGATACGTGAGCTATAGCTGACATTTTTGTAATGGTTTGAAATGAAACACTTGAGTGGTCGACTTGTGATTTCAGCTGCCTGAGATTTCCATTGTCTTCATCTTGTTTTCTTGAACGCAAAATATATAATTTCCAGACTATTTACTACTGTCTGTCTCTTGCATATTATTTTCCTCTGAGCCTTTAAACTGACCTTGAGAGACATGTAATATTTATATCGCCCACTAATTTAATATGTAAAATACAAAGTACATTATCACCCGCTTCCAACGTAAAGTTTGTTTGAAAATGGTATCAGGACTTTGGATTCAGCTTTGATACAAATTTTAGTAAGAGAACCTTTACAACGTGAGTGAAGTATCGTGACTAATGAATATGCATGTCAGCGAACCAGAACCAGTTAAACAGTGATTCGCACTTAGTTGTAGAAGTTTGGTTTATACGTCAACTCGCTTTAAGGATAAAATTTTGCGAGTTAAAGTCCACCGTCTCCGTGCGTTTCTGCATTTTTCCCACCTCTCACTTGTAATTATTTAAACATGTCTGTAAACATGACCTGCGCAAAAACCACTTACCATTGGACAACATAAGCCATGTTACAGTTAATGTTATCGGGAAATACTGAAGCAATTTCCATTCCATCTCCTGCAGATTGAAATCGTAAAGCTAAATCACGAACGGCAACGTTTCAAATCCCGAAGTATCGTATCCAAGTGTAGTATCTAAAATCGGCTTGTGGGTTTCAGTGACGGTGTTTTCCGATTGGGCGACGTTTAAAAATTTTAAATGTTCGACATCGACAGCTCGTATCATTTAATGTTGCGTGACCTCACCACTAAGTGATTGACGTTGTAAGTGGTTGCTATGGCAGGGACAATTAATAGGATAAAATTATAGTAATGACTAATTGCAGCGTCTCTACAGAGAAGATCTATCTCCTCAAATAATTAGCGATATATACAGATAAACATTGAAACAATATGATATAAACAAAAGCAATGACAGAACTAACCACGTTGCCCTAACTCTAGAAAGGAAACAATAAAAAATGCGCTTAACAGTGCTGAACTATGCTTAAAATGCAATTCACTTCGACTTCTAGAAAGATCTCAAAAAAAGTTACTATTAATTATTTTTAATTGCGTAAGCATAAAGGAGGGATATAATGAATAAGGAATGTATGAATGTATGAGTGATAACTATACATTTTATCTTAAAGCTGGTTGTAGGTCAACTAATTTCGTTATTGTGCGGCAGGTATGAACTATGAATCTTAAACCTTGAGGGCATGAACATGAACTTTTAATTATTTCTCGCCAGGTCTCCGGCAATTACTTTATTATCTGTCGTATAAGTTTTTACTCTTTGGTGCAGTATACCTAGTTTGCTTTAAATTTGACTTGCAAATCGTGCTCAGACCAACTACATGTTGACCAAGACCAGTTTTTGATAGTGCACTGAATTGAACGCAATGGAAACAGGTGGTCTTCTGTTTAGTTTTTTTCTTGTCTAGACCCCATCAAGTGTATACCAATGCGATTGTATGAAGCACATGTTATGAATTGCAGATAACATTTCGTCACGTTTGTTGTTGAAGCCACTAGGTTTAAGGGTAAACGTTTAATCTTTCAGGTTTTAAGTGAAATTATTTGCTTGTCAGTGTGAGGGTGATAAGGATATGTCAAAAGAATAAGTTGAGGGATGTGGTGCTTTATCTTTAGATTTAATATTAGGCTTGTCAGTTGGGTGTCAGTATTCATGAAATCTGTCTTTTGAGTAGGCGTTGTGAAGCAGACAAAAAAGACTAAATAACCGTTATTGTGGCTGGTGTTATTATTATTTTTTTCTTTCATGCGGTTAAGTGTAAAACTGTTGTTTATTCAATTTAAAGCTCCCTTGGTGGGCTATACGTGAATGCGCGACATTATTACATTATTGTTTAATTTCATATGTTTTGCCTTCCCGTGCCAAGAAGTGAACTACTCTGAGTGATTCATTTATTTTTATATGTATATATATATTTTTTGTAAATAAAAGCGTCCGACCACTCATTCATCCATCTATCCATTTACGCGTAAATTAATGTTTTTAAAAGCAATAGTCCTTAGAGTGGGCGAATAGACTATTATCTCAGAATTATTTCATATTCCAATAACATTTTTATTACAAAGGATAATTTTTAATTGCATTTGCAGACAATGATTACAGTGTCACGGTAACGCGAATTTGAAAAAGAATAATGCAATTTTACAAACAGTTGCGCGCTCATCAAATGCATCATAAAAGAACACTGTATTTTATTTATGTATTTATTTTTTTTGAAATGTGATTTTGCAGTTCCCGCTTGTTGACCGTTACAGTGTTTTGTCGCGTGGTAATTAAAGGGGCTGCTGTTTATATGATAACGGAATGACTTTCATTCCGGATTGAGTTTCGTTCCAGAGTGAAATTCGCACTGCCCTCACATGATAAAACCAAACGGCTCGGCCAGGGCGTTATCGCTCGCGTGGTTTTCGCGCCACATCAGATACTCATGCGCCACTCGCCGCAGACTACACGATTTGGTGATTTTCAGTTTACATGATACCAGAATGAAATTTCGTACCAGATCGAGAGTATCATTCGGAATGAAAACCGGAATGAACTCGTTCCAGAATGACTTGTACGGGAACGAACTGTCGTTTCGGTGCTTTGTAAACAAATACAGAGAAAAAAAAGAGATGGAATGAACTAATTCAAGAATGAAAGTCATTCCGGTATCATGTGAACAGCCCCTAAGCCTGCGTTTATCTACGCATGTCAGGGAACGCGTTTTGCGGCGACGATAGTATCGATACAGCGCTGCTGTAAATGTGTGTTTATTTTTTTTTTCTGTAAAACCATGGGTCTATGTGTAGTGTACATTCAGTAAAACCCCGCGACTAAGAACCTAGATTTTCCCAAGTTAGCCTTAACAGGTTCTTATATAAAAGGTAGTTAGCCCAAGTTTAGGCTGTTTAGCTTCTTAAATAGGTCCTTGGTCTCTGAAGAAAAAAATACAATATAGCTAAGAGCATTTAGTCGTTCGGCTTATTCCTCATATATAATCTGCATACCAAATCAGAGGTTATGTAAAGATGACCATAAAAAGAAGAACTGAAGCATTGATCGCAAGAATGTTGAAGTCCTACTTCAGAACATAGCATACATTTATTGTAATTGTAATGTTGTAATATATATATGTATCAATAACAATTTTATGTGGTTTTAAACATCGGCATTTACATTGCAGTTGGACTGATAAAGCACCTATGTCTTCAAAGAGTGTTCTGGATGTTGACTTATCCTATTTGCCTAAGTGTACAGAATGTTTTCATAGATTGTAGAAAATAAGAACCTGTTTTAAATGTTAGGCTAAACAGGTTCTTATATAGAGGGGGCTTAACTAGCGAATTTTAGTCAAGAGAGGAAATTGTTTGTATAATCGCACTATCATTAAAGTGTCCACTAAAGAAAGGTTACTTGACTCGTTGAACTTACTCGATCAATCAGTCAACAAAGGCTGCCCTCGAATAAACGCCACCCCCTTGAGAAGATAGGCTGTTCACAGTCCCCTATTTTCCGTAAGATCTTCGAAACCGAGCACTTTGCGTCACGGGCGGCCATCTTGGATGAGTGTCAAATCTACTTAGGGGAAGGGACGTTCCAGACGCCCTCTTCCTCGGGTACCGATGAAACCAAGATGGCCGCCAGTACCGGTGAGCGCTCGATCCTGACGATCTAACGAAAAAATAGGGGACTGACTAATCAGAAAAATGCGACGTTTATTTGAGGATTATTAGAAAAAAACGCCTTACCCTTTGTAACCAACACCATCCAGACAATTACTATTCTCTCTCGGCGAAAAAGCGAGTCATTGGAACTTTAAACAAATTTCTGTTTAACATTACATTTACAAATGATTTATCGTAATTTTTGTCATTGATTTGAAAAATGTAATTTTGAAATAAACGCCGTTTCGAAAACGCTGAAAATTTGATAAACGGCGCAGCGGTTAATCGAATAGATACAGCAAATAGGCCAGTTTCATATTATCAAAATTCATGCTTTGCTCCGAGGCTGAGGGGTATAGAAAAATAGAAATCGCACTGAGTTTTAGGGATGAATAGAGTTGAACCTCCATGTGCGACCACCTCTCGTAAGCGACTACCTATTCAAAACACCAAAATTTACTCAGTCAGAGCCCTGTAGTTGGAACCTTTCGTAAACAACCACCTCTTGTAAGCGACCGCCACCACGACCACGTTTCGGGCTGACGATTTAATAATTTTCCATGTAAGGGACTATTTGACGCTGTATGTAGTTTCCTATTTAGAGTATGAGAGAAACTCTTATCAACAACGTGGAACTACACATATTGCAATTTAGAAACCGCATGCCATAAATTATCTTCCATAAAAAAGTATGTGACAGACATCTTCACGGAAGAAACACCCCGTGGTTCGATTCTTGTAAACGACCACCTCTTAATCTTCGCATTTTGGGTGGTCGCTTACCGGAGGTTCCACTGTATTTTTTTTTTCTGTTTTATACCTCTCAGCCTTGGAGCCAGCCAAGTATGGATTACTGGTCTCTTGATTTACAAGTTTCAACCAATAATCAGCATTTATCTTGTTTGTGGTACATGTAAAGCCTTTATACACATTCCTTTGCATCGATTGGACATTATTTTATATTCTGCATTTTAGATTTTACAATATTGCATTTTTAAGCCCAATTTCACACGTTGTTATCATATTGCATTTTTACATAAACTGTTTTCTTCGAGGTGTGAGATTTTTGTTACTCACGAAGTTATCTCCTTTGTTTGCAGCCTCGACAGAAATAAAGATATGCGGGACAAACTAGGCACTGCCAAGTCAATCAAGGAAATGAAGGAAATATGCAGCACGTTAAAAGACAGAACTCTGGTATGCGATCAGGGCTGAAAAAGTCCCGTAGTAGTAGTAGTTATTCTCGCTGGGCAAGTAACTTTTAAAGCTTATTTACCCAATTAGCAAGAGTCCAGGCAAGCCATCCTGTAATAAAATCATTAACTGAGACGAGCAAGAAGTGGCCCTGGGCAAGAAAAATATGACAGCTGCTTGCCCAAAGGACAAGCTGGAATTCAATTTTTTTTTTCGTGCCCTGGTAATGTTGTAACCACAGTAAGATAGTTCATATTAAATGCTCTATTTATAGTGAAAGTGCACTTAGCTTTCCAGCTTGCTTATAGAGAGATTTATCCAATGTAAAGATTTTCCCCCATAGGTATTTTAAATGGGGCCCAAGGGACCCAAGGGGTTTCTGCAGTAAAGGTGGGGGTTGCTCTGGCTTTGCGCATGGCGCGTCTCGTATGTGCTTCTGCGGTCCGTCGGTTTTCTGCCGCACGAGCCACAGTAGTGACTTTGCTACGCGCGGTTGGACAGTCCTGGGCAATCAAGTTCCAAGTGCTGGGGTTGATATTCAGGTCTACGAGGGAATCTTTGAGGCAGTCTTTGAGACGTTTCTTCTACCTGCCGTCCCCAACTGAGCATTTGCCCTGACAGAGTTTTGCGTACAGTAGCTGCTTTGGCATGGTGATCAGTCATTCTGGCGACATGGCCTCTCCATCAAGCCTGGGCTTTCTGTCGGAGGGTGTGAACACTGGTGATGTCGGTCCTTTCTAAGCCCTCTGTATCCGGAATGTTGTCCTGGAATCTAATGTGGAGAACTATGCGGAGGCAGCTCAGGTGGAAATGGTTGAGCTGCTTGGCGTTTCTGCTGTAGACAGTCCAGGTCTTGCAGGCGTAAAGGAACGTGGTCGATATCACTGCAAGATAGACCTTCAGCTAAGTAGTGAGGCTGATATCCCTCCACTCCCAGACATTCGTACAGAGGCTTCCGAAGGCGCCGCTGGCCTTAGCCATCCTGTTTTTGACTTCAGCATCGATGTACACCACTCTATAGGATGTACTACCCAGATAGGTGAAGTTGTCAACTGCCTGTAGGTTTTGCCCCTTAACCGTAATGTGTGATTCCTGGTAAGGCTTTCCAGGTGCAGGCTGATACATGACTTCAGTCTTTTTGGTGCTGATGGTAAGACCGAAGTTGTCACACCTTGAGTAAACAGTGCATTTCGTGCTACATCATCTGCTCTGTGCTGGCGTTGAGGGCACAGTCATTAGCAAACAAGAGGTCTCTGATGACAGTCTCCTTCACCTTTGGAACAACCTTCAGGCGCCTAAGGTTGAACAGCCCGCCATTAGTCCTGTATCTGACCGGTAGTCCAACCTGGCAGTCATGGAAGGCATACGTCAGCATGGTGGAGAATACTGTACTGAAGAGCGTCGGAGCGAGAACGCAGCCTTGTTTCACGCCGTTCATCACTGGAAAGCCTTGTGAATTGTCTCAGTCGTCCGGAACTTTAACCATCATGCAATCATGAAACTGTCGGACGATCATTGTGATCTCGCTCAGACAGCCAAACTTCTCAATTATCTTCCCATACCACCGTCTCTGCGCAGGTCAACGAAGGTCCCAAAGAAGTCGCTATTGGCTTTTTTCCTGGAGCTGGCGTGCAGCGAATATCATGTCGGCAGATCCACGTTTTGAGCGGAAACCACACTGGCTTTCTGGGAGGAGACACTGAGCAAGATGTTGGATGAGGGGGTTGAGCATCACAAGACAGGCGATTGCCTTTCCTCTGGCATCTTTTAACTGTTGTGGGACCTTTCCTGCACTCTACTTAGACTGGAATAGCTCTGTCAGTTTCTCGGCATCATGGTTGCGCCACTTGCTTTGTACACTTCAGCAGGGATTGTGTCTGGTCCTGGCGCTTTGCAAGTTTCATTGCCTTTCGGAATTCTTGTTCTGTGGGCAGCTTGTCACGGTCCTGATTGCCTTGTCATTGATTTGAGCAGGATGGTTGAGGAGCTCATCCAAACGTTCAGCCGATCTCTCCAAGATGTGCCTCTTGTCAGTCAGCGGTTGAGTTCCATCTGCACTGAGGAGGGGAGAAGAGCCAGAATACTGTGGTCCATGAACAGTCTTCAAGGCATCATAGAAGCGCTTGGTGCCATGGCTGTCTGCCTAACTCTGGATTTCATTGGCCTTCTGGCTATACTTACTATTACTGTCACGCGGAACTTCATTTGCACCTTTTGTTTCGCGTTTACAAAGGCATCTGTCCTTGCTTGTAACGGGAGTTCATTCTGGAGTGTTCGGAACAGTTGGTGTTTTTCTTACAGCAGTGCCTATACCTCTTCCTCATTCTCATCGAAGCAGTCGTGATTGCTGCGGGTTGTTAGTCCCAGGTCTTCACATGCAGTAGGGTAGACTGCATCTCTGAAGGCTTCCCACTACTCTTCGATGTTGTCCTGACCATCCCGGGGTGTGACAGGCAGCCGTCCTTCAAGGTCACTGGAGTAATCTTCAGTAACTTGGCTGCTCTTCAGCCTGGAGACATTAAGCCCCTTTGCAGTATTTTGCCCTTGGGGTCTTCTTATTGGCGGGATGCGAAGTTTGCACTTCACCAGGATGAGTCGATGGTCAGTCCAACAGTCGCACCGCACATGGCCCTTGCCGTTCTCACGTCCTGCCTGTTCGTGTTCCAAGTGATGACATAGTCAGTCAAATGCCAATGTCTAGAGCGTTGGTGCATCCAAGATGTCTTGTTACGTATACCCAAAACACAGTGGACTTTTTTATTATACTATGAAGACGGTATATATTGGTTGTAACACAACTCTTGACGTTAATATCTTGCAGAAAGATATCGAAGAAAATGGGAAACCTGAGTCGTCTGTCCTCCCTTATTGGAAATGCCAGCCTTACATCAGGTTTGTATGTGCATGCTGTTGTTTTTTGTCTAGTCTTCAGCAGTAAGCGACACAATATTCCTTACAATATATCTGTGCAATATTTCTTTATTTCTCTTCTCTCTGTTTAATGGTAATGCTCGCTTTTTTCTTCTCTGCAAACAAATTGTAAACTGTAATACGGCCGTCATCAAATAGAATCAGGAGTACGACGGCCACATTTTGACACTATCCCGAGTTTAAATGTAGTCAGAGAACATGCGCTTGTTTCAAAGAGTAGCACGAAATTACTGGTCACCCGGTGGTTTTCATTGTGGCCTACAAATAAGGACAAAAACAGATATTTGAAATAAACATAATGTTAAGAATCCCAGCTGTCCGGAGACGAACCATACCAGTAGGCTATTTACAAGTGTGGCCGAGGAGTTGAAATTGGGACTACCGAGAACAAAGTCCAGCTAGCAGTTAGGGCACGGATTGAACTCGGGGCTTCCTATCTAACCGGGCCAAAGTGCCTGCTTCCCATTGCTCGTAACTTACATTGAACTGTGGTCCGTAACTACAGGGCAAATTCAGGAGTCAAGAGAACTTTAGACGAAGTGAAAGAAGATGAAGAAAGGCACAAGGAAGTGATTAAAATGAGGAAAATGCGAAAAGCTATGAAGAAAGAGAAAGTGCGCGCGCGAAGAGGTAACTGAAACTTTTTCTATTAGCGTAGTTTGTTACGTTAGAAATATTCGTAACTGTAAAGAAGGTTATCTCTTTCAACCCCAAAAGAGGCCCGGCAAAGACAAAATTCAACAATATTTTCAAAATTTAATTTGGTTAAATGCGAAAGTACCGTCTGGTATGTTTCATTTTAATGGTCACGCCATAGGATTTTTTTCTAAAAGTAAAACCACCTTTCGGGACTCTATCGTTCACTCCTTGGGTGAAAGGGAGACCTGCTTATTAAGTCGGTCACTTTTTTGGCGCCGACAAAAACAAATAAATAAATAGTGATTAAGAGGTAGCGCATACACGAAGTGGTTCTTCGTCTACCTGATTTCTGGTCGAATTTGAATTTGAAAATGTTGGTTTTTGAGTAGAGGGGAAAATCGGAGTACCCGGGGAAAAACCTGTCGTAGCAAGGGAGAGAGCCAACAACAAACTCAACCCACATATGGCGTCGACGCCGGGATTTGAACTCGGGCCACAATGGTGGGAGGCGAGTGCTCTCACCACTGCGCCATCCCTTTCTCCCCAAATGATGTATACTTACTGTATAATGAATTGTTTTGTTCAGAAAGGACGTGGGATATCTGTACAAAGTGTGAAGTTAATCCCAAGGTACAGTGAAGTAAACGATGTTAATAATCCATGTTTTTCTATTATAGCTTAGTTTTTTGTTAGTCTCACGATGAAAACCAGCAGGAATCTTCGTCTGAAACGTCGCGATCAATGTCAAAATGATTATTGTAAGGCAAACTATAAACTATCATATCAAAAGTAAAACATTTTGAAGTCTACTTTTCTTAAATGAGTTTTTTTAGATGAACTACCTAGTTTTGTGCAAGGGAATGAATGTGGAGTATGAACACCCATTTCGTGAACTAAAATGTCTACTTTAATTTAATTTTCAGGGTTTGAAATGTTTATTCAACTTATGTCGCGTTTGTTGTCGCGACCGTAAGACGACTGCCTTTACTCAACACTGCCCAGGTAATATCATCATTATCATCATCATCATCACCGCCACCACCACCACCACCATCATCATCATCGTCATGATCATCAACATCATCATCATCATTATCATTATCTCAGGATACGGTCACAGAATACAATCTAAGACGCAAATCTAGTCACCGGCCGAATTTAAACACGAATCGAGTGAAGAACTCCTATTTTAATCGCCTAATCTTTAAATATGACCTAGCTTTGTAATTGGTATTTTGTAAATGAGTTAATAACTTTTAGATTTTTTATTATTTAAGTATAATTTAGTTCTGTAATTGTTACAATGTAACTCAGTTCAAAATTGGAAGTTTTGCGATATAAGATATGTAGTTTTAATCATATGAATTAAGATTCTTATTACTACACGTATTATTATTATTATTATTATTATTATTATTATTATTATTATTATTATTATTTTATCATCATCATCATGTCGTTCAGTTATTGTCATTGTTGCTATTCAGAAAACCTGAAAGCATTAGCTGTGTAGTGTGTTGTTCTCTTAACTTTCTCCAACTTTCCTTATCCCTTTTAGGACATCGAGTTAGAGGAGTTCGCCTAAACGAAGACGACCAGCCCCTTAAGGAAACAAGTAACGGCCTTGAAGTGAAACACGACGACGAAACTGTTAAAACAAAGCATGAATCTGCAAGCTGACACAGAACTAAATAGAAAGGTGATGGGTCGTCATATGAAAAAATCAATATTCGGTTTTATTTCATTCCGTAAATTATGCATCTTTGTGCAGCATTTTTAGTTCATTCAATCAAATGTATTTTAGGAAGAATAAGGGTCGATTACTTGAGATGGGCTCGCTCGGATCGACTTTTAGCCCGATATTATCTACTGTAAACTAAGCTTAGACTGACTGGCACAAAATCTACCATCAACGGATTCGGCGGGAAGTTGATTCATTTAGAAGTACACCTTATTCCAAAGTGGTGGCAAATTTACTTATTTTCGTCATCTTTATTATGGAACCTCAGTCGAGGCAAAGAGGGCTTATTTACATTAATGTGAAACGGTTATTTTTCCCACCAGTTTGGAGAAACGTGTATTGTAGTATTTGTTTGTGTTTAAAAGACTCAATCGAGTCTCGGCAAACGGCCTCATCCCTGTCAACTCAGCAGCTGTGGATCATGTAGCGGCCTGAAGAAAACTCCATTAGTTTACTTTCTTGGTCACGCAAACGTTTTTGGAGTGCAGTGAAACCCGAACCTATATTTGGTGATCACCAGCTTGTGTCGAAGGGCAAAACGTGGAAATTAAAGACAGGGAAAAGGAACGCCTAACGTGTTCTGGCGTGCCTTAATTTCCTCAGTTCGTCTACCCACTAAAACGTCTACCACGTAGTCCAAGTGGACACGTCCCCGGTGTAATAAATGAACACTACCGACCGTCCTTGCCAGGCTTCCGCTTAAAACAAATTGGACTTTAAGCTAAAAGTGTGAAAAATCCAAACTTTATGATTTTGCACTGAAGCCATGTATGCCTTTTACCAAGCAGTGCGTTCCTCTTGCCCTCTGATTGGCTAAGTAAAGTGAGTTGCCTCATAGGTAGTTGTTTAATTTTTTCCCAAAACAGCCCATTGCAATTCGACAAAACGTTGCCCGTAACCTCCAAAAAGCTAGCACCTTATTACTTTTGAACAACTTTCACCAAGAAACCTTTGACAGAAATATTGCACGTTTACAATTTATAGTGATTATAATTTGATTTGACTGCAATACCTCATTCCTTTATTGGATTTTTAGCGTGTTTTTAACCCCCCACCTTCCCCGAAAATAAAGAAACAGGAAAACACCTCATATGAAGGAATAGTACTTGAAAATAGGGGTGTTAGAGGCGTTTGTATTTCGCGCGCGACCTTTGCTCCCAGACGCTCTGGTACGTAGCTTATGCTGCAGTTCCTTTCCCTGTCTCAAGTGATCTGGTAACCTATAATGGGAAGCTCTGGTTCTTAGCAGCTCTAAGCTCTCAATCTCATCCTCTGAATAATTCCCGGATGTACTGCTTTTCCAGTTGTCAACGCATGCGCCGTACATTGACATGTTTGGGGAGTCTAAGAAAGAAGAAACTTCCATGTCATCTAAAGTGGAATCTGTTTCTGGGGTAGAAGAGGTCTCAGCGTTTTCCTTGTGATCTACAATGTACAAGAGTCGAATTAGAGAAAGAAACTCCATATCTTCTCTCACATAATCCCTTACAACTTTACTTGTCAATGATTCCAGTCTCATAAACAATTGGTCTTGATGGAAAGTGTCTGAAGCAATTATGCTTGAGGCAAGTCGGTGTTGTCCTTCAACCGTGCTTGATGTTCCATCCACGCATTTCTCGTCGATCTTTGGGATCTGTCTTTGAGCTTCCTTCTTTACACTTTCCCGCCGTAATGTTATATTTCGTGGCTGTTTTCTCTTTGCCATTCGACGAAATCGGTGTGACAGGAACGCTGATGTTGAAAAAGAAACGTGAGGGTTTTCCCTTGGTTCGTCTTGTTTAAGTAGTTCATCGTTGTTATTTTCACATGAACTAGAAGCTGGTATTTTCCCTTTTGATTCATAACCATCTTTTTCCGCGTGGTGTCGACTACTGAGTCCCAAAAGCTCACTCAGTCTTTCGAGGATAAAATCCGCCATCTCAAAATCTTCATGGCATTGCTTGTCGGTATTTTCCTTGACTTCCTCGTAAGAATCGTTTAAGATGGCGACAAAAAAGTTGACGAAAATGAAGGCGTTAAGCAAAATAAAAGAAAATCCGAACAGTGGTCCAAGAAGGCGGTTTACCCGTATCAAATCGCTTAGTCCCATTTTCCCGCCAAGGCACATAAGGAGCTCGGAGTACAAGGTATTTGTGAACGAAGAGTAACGCTGTATGTCATTTCCCAAGACCAGCTTTCCTAGCTGCGCATACGCAAGAAATACTATGATAAAAATGACCGAGTAAGAAAGCATAAAACTTTTTGACGCCCGCAACGATGTCATCAGAATGCTGATATGACGATTGAAGCGAATCATATGCAGAAGTTTTATGGTGGCTATAAACACTGCAATCGCTAACACTCCGCTCTCCGCATCTTGCCAGTTAATAGCAGCCCGGAAGCTGACTGTAACAAAAGGGTTTTCCTTAACCTTTAAAGCACTTCGAAGAAAGAGCTTCGACTTAATGACGTAGAAGATTACAACCAGAAATGATAACGTTATCTGTAAGAGTTCAATCCAATTCCAGACGTCTCGGAAATAGTTGCATCTCTCTCTGAAGATACTGTATACTTCCCGAAGAACAAACAAGAATACTAAGACTATAAACAGCAGCTGACATATCAAATAAAATTGGTAAAAGCCGGTCTGAGTGCTGGTCAGCAAAAGTGTATCGATCCTTTGAAAAGCATTTCCGTAACCAGTTGGTAATATCTCCAGAAAAAAGGTAGAGATGCTAAAGTATCCTGTATTTGGGTTGTAAATGGAAAATTCTACTAGCACCGCTCGGGTTTGTCGGTCGATCCAACCAAATTTATGTATATTAGAAATAACTGCAACTGCAGAGTCAAAGCTATATCCCAAGTCTGCAACGTAACCTCCTCCGTCGTAAAGCTCAAAGAATCCCCAACTTGGCGAGTTTTGCAGTTTTTCTTGTGATATATAATTCCACGGGGCCGGACATAAATCAGAAAAGTTTGCCCAATCCACCGATCCAATAAATGGTTGCCACCCTGGAAGATTTAAAGGGGTTCTGTCTTCTTCACTTAAACTGTAGAAGTCTTTGCAGTGTTTTATTACTTTTGTAACCTCTTCTGGAACTAAACAGGAATCTGAAACAGAAAAATAATTTGGATCTAGAGAACATTGTGGCAACTTAAAATTTCTATGTTCACATTTTGTGCCCGAGCACTTCTTCCAGGGTACCGGCATAAAAGGGTTTTGTGTTCACACCAGGGTAACCTATATCTAACTGTATTCGCTTCATTTTTGCCAGACGCCATTGTGAAACGTGAGCATAGCAAGAAGAAATGGGTATGCAAAGGAGTGGACTGCCTTGGAGCTAACAGCATACGCGTGGGACCCGGTGTCCGAGGTCAAGGTTTCGACCTTTGTAGGCAGGGACCAGTACCGTTCCCGAATTCTGGCGTTTGTACTTTCAAGAGGATGTCGTACTCAAGCAACGTACCCGGCGGTGCGTTCACACTTGGTTCCTGGGCACTAATGTGAACACACCTTTACCCGCGCTAGAATTCGAGTACAAGGCCGAGACCTTGTGCTCGGGCACTAAAGTGTGCACGTGTTTTCCGTTGGTTCCGAGGAGTTTTACCCACAGTCAACTTCTTCGCTCCCTTTGCAAAAATGGCGTCTGCTGACGGAGCAAAGTGGACGAAAGACAACTTGGGTACCCAGAGTGTGGACAAAGCACCATTTTGTACCGTGCTCGGGAACTAGTGCCCTGGCACTAAATGTGAACGCACCCTAATTTGAACACACCCTTTTGTCAAGTACCCACGTTAGAATTCCGGCCCGCTGCCGGTGGCCGAGTACAATGTCTCGACCTTCCACTCATGTTTGACACAAAAGTGGTCACCGGGTCCCTGAGTGCAGACCGTTTTGGTTAGTACTGGGGCACTCCATTACTTTGTACTTGCTGCTAAAGTCATGTTTCAAAATGGCGTATGACGGGGCGAAATGGAGTAACTATGTACACTGTTAAATATCTGCTACTCAAAGTGTGAACGCAACACAGCTACCCGGTACCCAGGCACTGGTTCCCAAGCACCAAGTGTGGAGAGCCCCATAGCCTCCTTCAGTTTTTATTCCATACACGAGGTGTACCATCCAGTACACCTCGTGTAGTCATGCAGCCGCAAAACATCGGAAAATTCACCAGAAAGGCGAAATATCTCAGGACTTTGAGGATGGCCCTTTATGAATTTCGAGTTTTTACGAACTCCAATAAAGTACGTTTCGAATATTTCGAAAAATATACAAATTTGGTAGCTTTCGAAATTTTGGGCAATCCTTTTGAACTGCATTGACAGTATAGATTTTGTGCATGGTACGTCTTGAACGTAATTGCCATCCGTTAAATACCAAGGGTTGATAACTTACATGATAGTGGACCAATTTAGACGCCTACAACGGGCTACGAAGCCATATTCATTACGTTTTTTCTATGTCGAGTTTACACCTTCTCCTATCCCAATACAATGTTCTTTGAAGTTGTTTGATCGTCTGGGTTAGTGAAGTCCTAAGCAGGACGCTTCTTAATTAACTATCTCATCGTTCCAAGTCTGTTTAGTGCGTGGTTTATTGATCTGAAGCGACCCAAGCCCACAAAAACGATTGGCCCCGTTTAGGGTGGCGGACGGGACACGCAACGCCTTCTGGGCTATCCGTCTGCCGTATTGTCTCTTTTCGGCGGAGGCGACGAAACGTAAAACTTAATTAAGCCGTGCCCGAGGCAGGCCAATGTTAACGTCATGCTGGTATTTAGCGAGCCATGTTGGCCACTGTCCGCTTTATGATGTAGGGAACTGTCTGTGTTTCTAACCCTCTTAAATTATAAGTGACGTCAAGTTAGAGCCTATATTTTTGCAAAGCTATCTCGCTTTTCCATGGATGCTTTAAAGCCTCAGCTCTAATGAGTAGTAATGAAATACCTTTCTGAATCCTTAACTGTCTTAGGCGAGGCATTCCAAGGAGAAGGGATATCTTGTCACCAATATACACGTTCTGTTTCACCTTTTCGCCGTTGTACCATTCACTGGCGTAAGTACAGCTTACAAACTGCCCTCCAAGCCATTTCCAGAAAAATCTTGGGTCTTTTGCCTAAAAAAAACGTACATTTGATTAATTCTGTCAGGCGTAGTCATACAGTCTTGAACATTGACGCTTGTTAACGAAATACATTATACCACAAAATTAGCTTGTATGAGAGTTCTATCCTCGACAGTGAGAACACGTAAAAGTGCGAGCCCCACATTTTTTTTGAGGGCTTTCTGCTGGCCGGAAAGTAGTATCTAGTTTGAATCTCTCTAAATCACGTGAATGAACATGTATTAAAATCACTTCCCTGTTTCTATTCGTCGTCGGACGATTAAGTGACATTTATTTCCATTAGCTGCACTAGTCCCGGCCGTCGTCGATGCTAAATCCCTCTTATCCCGAGAGGGAGGGAGAAGTCTCATTATGCCCACCAATGCCCAAGATTTTTTGTTATTTTTAAATCATACATAACGTGCGAAAACAGCGGCTTGCCATCGTTTCCCGTCGTTGCGACGTCGCGTAACTTCTCAGCGACGGGGAGCAATGACGGGAGGCTGTATTCGCAGGCTATGTATGGCAAAACGCGGGCGCCATAAAACAACCTAGTGCCTTTGGACTCTTTAAGTTGGTCATCACTTAATTCCTTTAAGATACTTACCAACGAAAAGTTACTGAAGGTGTCTTTGACGTTTTTAGTCATTAGATAGCCATTGTAACTTCTGTTGCCGTAACATACGATCATCAGTAAGGATAGGAACAACAAATACCCGACCAACTCTCTGCCAAAAGAAAACATTTTTGCTTCCTTCACTCGGTACTCCCGTGCACTTTTGAGATCATCGTCGTGTGGAATATCCATCTCAATACTTTGGAGGCCATCAACGTGGATATTTTCAGTGGATAACTGCTGATGTGATTTGATCGAACGACTGTCTTCTTTGGTATCAGTTTTATTACCAAAAAGACACGCTGTAACAATCATGAGAAGCACGATTTTTATAGGCTGCAAAACAAAAATGTCTTCTGTGAAAGAAACAAGCATTGAGGATAACCACTGGTTTGAGATGTCCTTTCCCCATTGCAAACTGTAGAAAAACGTAAACGTTGAAGACAGGGCTATTGTCACAAAACATAGGAACCAAGCGATGTATATACAATAGTGAGGTAACATGAAGTCCTTTTTAACCATACCACGCACGCGACTTTTTGTTCTCGTCCAAAAGGTGGTCTTTTGCTGTGAAGCATCATCAGCTTCGTTTATCTGGGGTAAACTGCTCACAATGGAATACGTCCGATGTCGCTTAGACACTCGTCGCCTTAGTGGTGTACAGGTAGTAACTTTATTTGAACTTTTCTCTGCGCTGTTTTTGAAAAATGCCATGATCAATAAGTTTACCGGAGTGACTATGAGAGCACTCTGAAGTCCTACTATGATCTGTCTCCAACTGAACTTTAACGGACCAATCTGAATGGTTTGATCGGCTACCTTGTCAGTCCTGTAAAACAGGGCATTAGCCAGCATGGCAGACAGCAAAAGACACAGACAACAAGTTGCTCTTTGGACGCGCGTGAACTTACTTTTAGGTGGCTTGGTAACTACTGACAACCATAAGTGGCCTTCGGAGAAGCTTTTCGAGCCGCGCGCGTTCAACGAGTATTTCAAAGTTTTCATTTCCTCTGCAGGGATAGGAGTAAGAAGTCTTTCGATTTTGCCGTCGCCTTTTTCTAGCGCAAACCAAGTGTTGCCATTAAACGTCCATTGTTTTCTTGTTTGATGATCCTTTACAGTCAAATGACGAAGAAACCATGACGGGTGGTTTCCTGAGTTATCATGCCATATTTGGATGTACTGAATCACGCCGAGAGAGTTGGGCAGATGAATTACGAACGAGTCTTCGTTTCCTCGTGCTAAAACCGTTCTTGACTTAACCATGTTTTTGTTCAGTATTATGGGTTGGCTTTGTGCCTCGCTACCGTAAATTACAATGGCAACGTTAGCATCTGTCCCGGAATCGTTCCATACTCCGGTGGCTACAGTCAGGTCGTATTGAAAGTCTCCTTCGACTAATGAGTTTAAATGCAAGGGAGGGCCAGTCTAAAAGGTAAAAGGGAAAAAAAGGTGCATTACACTGCACGTTTTCTTTTACGATTATTTAACAGTTTCGTCACTAATAAATGACTTTATAACGTCAGTTTTGTCTGAAAAGACAGTAGCAAAAACAACGCGACGTCAAATGAGAAGGCGAGGGCGTACGGAAAAGATTGAACTCGTCTTCTGATGCTCAATTTGCCATTCTACCATTGGTCAGTTAGGTTTTCAGATCTAAGGGAGCTGTGCGTAGTCACTCGTAAAAGTGCCATTGATGAATCTCTGAATCAGCGTAAATCAGTTATAGTAACTATAATTTACATACTCAAATGACTTTTCTTGGCCCTACCTTAGCCCTATCTCGTTTATCTGCTCTTCTTGCAACTATTATCACTAGGACATACAACAACAAAGCAGCAATTATGGTACTGAGTACGGCGATGTTTCCTGTTTCGTGGAGTCGCGTAAGTTCGTTGAAGACAACATCAAAATCCAGTGAGTTTGGTTTTACCAGTACTCCTCCGCCGAACGACGTCAGGTGGTTGCAGAGGCAATACAACGAGGTCTTGTTAGACTTTGGGCCAACCTTTAAAGGAAAGTAACAACAACGATGTAAAGAACAGCGTTGATTAGTCTACTTCATAGGTGGTGTATAAAATGGGAAACGTGGGGAGGGATTAAGCGTTAGTAGTTCTTCTGACCCTTAAAGCCCGCTTCAAAGGTCTTAACTGTTTCTCACACTCGAATTGCGGAGCCAAATTGAAGCGATGTGAAATGAACGTCTGAACCACCAATATCAACTTGTTTCATCACTCTCAAGAGGTAAAGAAGTCAATTTTAACACTGGTCGGAGGGGATTGGAATGAAGATTAGCTCATTCCTTACATTTGCAGCTGGTTAGACTACATATACTAGGGAAAAACAGCTAAAAAAGAGCTTAGAATATTGCGGAAAAGAGTGGTAAATGAAAATCAATATCATCATCATCATCATCATCATTATCATCATCGTCGTCCGAGCGTGCTGGTTGCACGGATTGCTTAGGTTCGTTCTAACCATCCGTCTCGATCATTTATTGCACCGGGTAGGAATTCAACAGGTTATTCGCCATCCTCATAATTGCACGTAATTTTTGTATTTCTTGCCTGCACAAGCATGTGCAGGGTTGGGAATCCACAGTATTACATCGCTAGATATTTCATATTTTCAATCATATACAGAGCCAAACCTACTTCGATGCAAATCAAAAACAAAATTACCTCAAACTGTCTAAGTAGTGTTCACTACACTTTTACCTAAACAGTGGCCCCACTGAAACATCCTCTTAATCGGTTACATGTACAGTGATCTGTTTGAGAGTTTCATAATTGGCCCCTGATTCCTTGTTGGCGACGCCAACAAACAAATATAAACTTTGCGAACTGCACTAACACTCGTGGATATGGTCGCATCTACAGTTAAAAGAGTATAATTTAGCCTGTAGCTGCTGAACTCTGCTGCAGAAAAGTTCTCGCATTTGAGTTATCAATGTTGTTCTCTTCATCTTCTCTTTCTACAAGTTTACCTTACATCCTCTTGACGACCAGCGCTCCTCTGCGGTGTCCCAAAACAGGCATTCCTCCTCAAGAACACTTATTGAGTAGTTAATATCTCTCTCCGGGTCATAAACTGGTTTCACTGTAATATTCTCGGGTCTCGGAGGATCCTTAATCTCGACGCATGAACGCTTTTCGCGCCCGCGTTTAAAACAAGAACGTTTCCGGCGTCTTTTGGGTTGTATGTCATCTGTTTCGCTAAGAATACCAATGTAGTAGGTTCCAGGGTCATTTAACACCTCATAATCTAAGAGAATTTCGTATGCTTCCTCGTTGCATTCACCTTCGGAATTCTGGGAATTCATAAAGCACGATTCATTCGGGATTTTCCTCTTGGCATCGAAGTCTGTTACAGTTGGGCGCTGCCCATATCGTACAAACACACTGAAAACAGCGGATCCTGCTGGCTTGATCTAAAATATAAACCAAATACAACTTTATGACATTCTCATCGGTCCTTTATTATAAACGAAGCTATAGGCATATAAATTGGGGTGGGGGCAGAAACTTGTAATAAGCCCTAGTCGGCATTATGCAAGGTAAGAATGAATTAATTCCTCTCAAGATTATGGGACTTAGCTTTTCTTTCTCATGTTCCCTTCTTGACTAAAGATGAGCCACATGAATTACAGGTAGCTAAAGAGTATTGAGGCTGCAATCTATGCAAGACGTATTTTCCTCCTAGACTATCTATCTATCTATCTATCATTACTCACTTTCAGTCTTAAAGCGCTACCATCTGCATAGGGCAGGACGATTGTATGGTACTGCATCTCTCCTCGACTGCTGGGTTTAACGAAGAATGAGTCAACCGACTCTGGGTTTGGCTGCCCGTCTCTTTTAATCTTGATTTCAATATCCTCTTTGCTGTCCTCGACCATCAAAGATTCTCCTTTATGATTCCTAAGCACCAAGCTGAGAACGTAAGAGCTCACAGAGGCTGAACTGTTGTCCCAAGTAAAAGGATTAAAGTCACTCGCAGTTAGCTGCAAAAAAAGAAAAAATGACAATTTCTTTACGGCAATAGTTCTGGCGGTGGAGTGATCAACTGTCAAAGTGGCGTGGGTCTTTTCACAACCACTGTATAATATTGTGGGCGTTTTGTTAACTTTCAGCCCCATCAGTCCCATAAGCTTGATTACCTTGTTTTTAATTTGAGTTCTATTTATTTTAGAACTATATTTTGAACTTTAAAGACACGACATGAAAGTAATAATACGGTTTATCCGTACGAAGAAGAAGAAGTTAAAGCTTCTTTTTCATCAACAAAGACGACTTACCACTGCGTCAATGAATTCAGCATCTGGGGTTTTTTCGTCAGTGATCGCTGACAAGGGAAGTTTAAACCCCATGTCATCGTCATCAATGTTCATGTCTTTTGTCAGAGAACTAGGGCTGAGTCTGTTTAACACCACGTCGAGGGATTTCGTTTTCAGTGTTTGGGGTTCCTGGTCTATTACCATTCTCGACAACAAAGCGTTAGCGACATCATTAACGAGTTTTTCCGTGTTTTTGGATATCTCCTCGCTCTGTAAAATGTAAAGTTTGTTACATGTCAGGTGTTGATATAATTTGCGGGGGTTGATGGAAAATAACTGTCGGGGTGTGCGGCACGTTTCCAAAACCCTTACCGGCCTATTTTAAACCACAATGGGTGATTCCTCCATGTTGATAGAGAGAACGCTCCCAATTCTACACCCTGACACCTGAGAGCTGAAAACCTTAACCTATTTCAGGCCCAAATGCATGGTTTATTACCTCTACCAAATATTCAGACCAAAGGGTATCAAAAACCTCATCTTTTGGCGCCGCCACATACCTATGTCCTTTACACAAGAGATTCAGTAGTATAGCAGGGACCGAATTGTTCGTTTTTTGAAGTGCAATCTCATTATTGTGAAGTGGAAAGTATTGACGCTGATGAATTCCAAGCCTATTTTTCTATATCTCATAAGTATAATGCAGAGGAATCTCGTTGAGATCAGATCGTGTGCTATTTTAGGTGGTTTCACCCTTTGGATAGGTTTTTTAGTTATTTCTAGGTCAATGAATGTCTTGCCTTTTGATTGGTTGACTAAACGTCAACAAAACTATTTATTGGTTGGTTCATGTTGTCTAAGGAATAAGCGCTAACGCGCCTGTGACTTAAAATCACTGAATCGTAATGTAATTATGCAAGTTCTATTTCCTGCCGCTTTCATTATCCAACAAATTGTTCCAGTTCCGGTTCACTGATATTATTCTTACCTCAGTTCGTTTTTCCGCCGACTCTTTTGGTCTTATCACGCTCGCTTTCTGTGCGGCTGATTTGAGAAGATTACCAAGACTCAATACCAGGTTCTCTCCTCCCTGCTCAACCAAGTTGTTCTCTGAACCATAGTCTTCTTTCGTTTTGTTTTGCAATAGTGACGTCATCGACTGAAGAGTTTCTAGAACAAGACTCTAAGGTACAATAGTTGTAGAAGAAAACAAAGAAAAGAAGATAAAAGTTAAAGACTGATTTATATTTGCTTTTATTGATTGAGCCTTCCCTCCGATATACATGTAAATAAATACGTAACCACTAGGTCGAAGGTTCGACTCATGTGGGAAGAGCACAGATTATTTCATCCGAGTCCCTCAGTGTAACTTGCTGAATAAACATCATTGTTAAATTCGTACCTGTGTATCAAATGTGACCTCACTGGGTTCTAATGTCGCTCGTGCGATCACTGAAGTGACTTGTGTTAAGGACTGTAGATTGCCTGCTTCTACTCCAGAAACTTCTTTAACAACAGAATTTATGATCTGAAAATTAAGGCACACGCATATACATTAAAAAACAAACTAGGTGACCGAATTATAAAACGATTATCTAGAACCATCGTATTATTAGGAACTATCCCATGCGATTTTTACTGGAAGAACTTTTAATGAGCAATTTACCTTTAAATGTTTTACTTAGTTTCTGCCTTTTTGTGCATTGCAGTTCAGAAATTTTTGAAGCGTAAACGGGTAGAAAAAATGAGACAGAAAACAAATGTAAAACAGTTCTGACCATACTACTAGCTAAATGTTTTTATTTACGCTAAGAGAACTACTTCACATACGGTGATTTTCTCCTCGGTTGTTGTGTTTCCTGACTGTTCAGCTTCTCGAAGCACAGCGTTTGCGAGCTGTGTAGCGCCCCTTATGTCTCCTGCTTGAATGAGCTGGGTAAACTGACTGCTGTTACCCACAGTGAGACCGCTGAGATCCTCGCTCGATGGCGCGGGTTTGACCTAAGGGCGTAATTCATATAATAAAACTTTCGACCTCCCAAATGTATATACCAACCTTAAAGACGTGTTTATTGCTGTAGCAAGTTCACATCAGTTTTCATGCTAACTATGATGATGTTGTGGAGATCTAGAAGCTGTAGAAAAGTCTTAGACTTTCAAAACAGTCCTTCGTCTGATTTATATGGCGCGGGGCTTCGTCTTGCTTGGCCCCTTCGCGGCCTAAAAAGCTTGCGCCGTTCGCTTAATGTGGCAAGTCCAGAAAGATCTAGCAACGGATAAGCTTCATGCTAAAAAGCTATTTGTCAACACTTTTGGGCTACTTCAGTGACACACTGTGTCTAACGACCTTTGTCTGCCACATCGAACTTTGGAGGAAACAAAAATGGTCAAAACCACAAGATTTTCTCATTGTCAACAACATTTGCAAAGCAAAAAATGGAGTCACTATACAGGGGAGAAATAGGAAAAGGTTTTTTTGGTGCTTGCCTGGACTTTGAGAATGAATTTCGCTGCTGCAGACAGAGTATCAGTCACTGTTATCTCAAACTCGATTTCGTAGTCATTGTCTTCTTTGCCCGAAGGAAGAACCGTGGTCGCATGACTTTCAGGTCCATGAGAAACCACGGTGTACAGACCCCTGTCGGTTTTATAGTGAAACTGGTATGTTAGTGGCGTGTTTTCGTCCTGTTGAGAGAATGAAGTTAATGAGTTTAACGTTTCCTCGCTTATCTCAGCTAAAGCAGAGTAAACGCATGGAGAATTTAGCCTGATCTCGGGAAATACTTTTTGAACTTTTGGGTGAGTGTGTGCAGCTGAGACCTTGAAACCCTCAATCTATACCAAACCTTGTTCAGGTACATTTTGCTACCCTTTTCTAGACTACATTCCTAGCCAGAGTTATTGAAACGCTTTCCGGTTTGTTCGCCCCTTCCCCTTCAACGTTGATATTTCAGACGGTTATGTCCAAGCAAAGCCGTGAAACAGACATTGGGGGAAGGAGAGGGAACCAATGCGTGTAGTCGTGGAAACACTTTAATAATCTTGTGTTTTCTGGAAGTGATTCAACAAATTATGATCGCAATTGTAGGTACCAGAAATGATAACCCTTTTCCACGGTCACTATTACCAGGAACTCTAATTCTTCCCACCACTAATCCATCTCCGATAAATGATACTCTATTTGGGACTCTCCTTACCGATTTCTTAGAGTAGGCAACTAAACTGCTTGCAGTCAGCCTTTTCTATTGAGATCCGTCGGGGTCTTATCCCAGCCAGCGCGTTTGCAAAACAACGACCGATGATATGATGAGACGTCCTTTTTTCCTGCGCCTCGCATGTATGTTTTAAGCGCACTACCCCAGTAAGTTTGAAAAGAAAACTAAAAAGCACTGCTCGCTGTGTATTAAGCTACTTGTGTGCCACGCCACTCGCAAGCGGAATAGCTTACACAGGGCTCACATTATGCTTGCCCGAGGCCACTTCATGCTCGTCTTAGTTGATGATTTTGTTAGAGGATGACTTGCATGGAGCCTTATTAGGCAAGATTAAAAGTTATTTGCCCAGAAAGGAAATTTACTTGTACTTGACTGCCGCACGGGACTTTTCGATGGTAGGATAAGCAGACAGTTGCCTCTAAAGAAACATTTTCTTACTTGCCAACCGGTGCATGTAACAGCAAACTTGGTAACCAATGCCTCTCCACTTTTCGGTGACACAGTGCAAGCTCCATTTTGCGGTGGAGCGTTCATTTCAAACTGATAAGCGGCATTTCCTGCAGGCCCGTCCTCCGGTGAAGCCGTAACTTTTAATTGATAAGTTAACCCTCCGTTGAGCTGATTTGCCCTGATGCTGAGTCCAGGACGATCGAGGTCACTTTGCGTCATATCACGTGTCAGACTTGTCACGTTCTCTTGACCACTTTGTGAATCTATAGCGACAAGTTGCCATTGATATATGACACTGTCACAGGCGTTCCCTTCACAGGTGGTTGCCAGGCTGATTGGCGTTGACAGACTTGCAGGCTTTTCACAGTTGATGAGACACCTTCGAGGAAAAACATTTTTACACCTGTGATACCTGCAGGCTATTTACTGTGAGATATGAGATTGGCTAGGAAGAATTTATTGTCGTGAGTGCTTCGTTTGTTACTCGAATACTGTATCTTAAATAGAGTATCTTTAAGGAGTTGAACCGTATTTAATGATACGTGATTGATAAAAGAATTTCAAATACGCTTAGTATTACGTTTTGTCCTTTAACTTGTATGACTGGTCTGGTCTTTATCCTAGGTCATACTTGAACATTACTGACAGAATTTGATACTTTTGTTGAAGAATATTTACATCCCGTTTCATTCAATAGACAATTCTCTGAATTCTGGTAGTTCTATATCGCCCAAGGTGCGATTACCAAATGATCATTACGTAATACAAAAGATGGAGGAGTCCCTAAATAATACCGATGCCACAACACAATAACTAGTCAACAATTGTTTCTTCAACAACTAAAACGCCCACCAACAATTTTCTCGTAAGCTCGAATTAACGTGCCCTAACAATGATGTTAGTATGACAGGGAGGTGTAACCCACGGCTGCACTTTACCCTACGGCTTATCTCTGGAGCTTCGGAAAAATACCCACTCCAGGGTGTGGACTCCCGGTCCCACCTGATTGGTACTCCAGCTAGGAGGGCCTCCTCTTGGTGCTCATTAGTTCCTTGCGACTAGGGGATATAGGCCTCACCACCTGGAGACTGATCAGGACTTCTGTACAGGTTGGCTACCCCCGCTACCTCTCGATCTCGTCTCCCCCCAGTAGGGCTTCTCTCCTGGTCCCCTCACCCCTACCCACCCCCCACCAAAATTATGCCCATTATTTCTTGTGTTTTCAGTTTGGTATACGATATAGAACGGCATTGCGAAATCATCCACCGATCAGAGGAGATTATTAATAGGTAGAAATACAAAAACGTCAAGATAACACGCGGTTACGTCAATCACACGACGTTTAACCAGGAGCCTAAGGATTGAGCCTAAGGACTGTTATATTTACCTGATAGTAATTTGGGGTGGATCACCGATTACAATCTCAATTTCCTGGACAAAGTAGTTTTCCCGGTCATCCTTCGTCAAAATAAGTTTTACGTCATAACTTTTGCCCACGGACATTACTGTTGTTTCTAAATTCACTTTAATGTCACTGGAGCTTAGTTTTCCAACACCCGTGCCAAAGCAGCCACCATTTCCTGGACCCGAGTATGGTGTAACGACCGGGATTGAAGCTATTGAACTGTTAGGAAAGGTTTCGTCACGCTTTTTGCACAACCAAGTGAAGTTCATCGAGGAATGGTCATCAGGTTCGACATCTGGATCTCTTGATGGAGATCCGTCAAGTGTTATAAGGCTTCCGTTACCACGTGTAACTTTGTTTCCTCCTGATATTTCGACTATGAGCGGGGATTTTGTGATGTTAAAAAATCCCAGAGCACTGCCAAACGCTCGTGGGTGACTGGCAAACGCGGCCTTAAAATCCAGAAAATATTGTCCGTATTCAAGCTGCCTCTTTCTTAAGTTCCATTCAGTGCTTTTTGAATCCAATAAGGTTATCGTTTTGATGTCTAACTTTCCTGAGGAAACCACTTCATATCTGTATAAATACCATACAAATATAAGTGTTCGCGATGAGTTACAGCTTGACTTACCGACACTTGCTTGAACGATAAAATCCTTTGAGCGACGAATTGGTAGTAGAGGTTGTTTGTCACTCATTCCCAACAAGCGGACATACGGTGGAAGGCAAGACACATCTGGAAAAGATAGTAACCGAAACGAAAGGGATTATCAACCAATCAATAGATAAGCCTACTACCAAGCAAATGAACAATCAGTCAGCTAGGAGTGGAAAATCAGAACGTTTCGCATGGTGGTGATTAATTGGATGGCAACCAAGTTGTAAGTTCTTAAACCTGGTTAAGAGTCTGTCCAGTGAAGAGTATTTAGACAAGTCCACCAAGGGCCTGTTTACATGGAGGTGGGGGACCCCAGTAGGTGAAGTGGCATGTGGCGGGTCACCTCACCTGTCATGTAAACGTGATCAAATTAAAATGAGAAGTTATATGGACAGGCGGGTTACCTCTCTTATGGGGCCCTCCACCTTCATGTAAACAGGCCCTTAATCCAACAAATAAATCTTAGATTTGTTCTTTATATCCACTGACCGTTATTTATGTAGAATCATTTCCAAAATTTAAAGTTGATAAACCGATTAACAGATTTGCAAAACTGGCATGAGTCTAAAAGATGCCGTCAGTATAAGCCTTTGCTGTCATATTCAAAAGACCTTACCGTAGTCAATATGAGAAGCAACCAAATATAAAAGCTCTAATTCAGTGTCGTCGTTGAATTTGATTGGTTAACCTATAGCCAGACCATCGTAAACTGCTTACGAACTGCTATTATCTGACTCCGCACATCACTGCTTCCTTAGTAGCTAAATGGTTAATGAAACAGGTTTGATCCGGATTCAAAATATTTAATTTGGTAGGTTTTCTTTTGTTGCCAAACCACTACACCAGGACCACTAGAGCTGCTGTCGAGGCAAAATTGCACCCAGTGACCGTCGGGCTAAAAAATGGTACTGTATATCATTAAAATTTAATGTATGGGTGGATTTGTGTGAGGATTGCGCCATGTACCAATTTCAAAGTAATTATTAATGATGTGGCCGTTGAGAAAAACTGGCTGTTGCTGTTATTTAGAATTGGCCATTATATGGAGGTTTCAACAACAGTAAATATGTTTCGACTTGTGGCTGGAACACACTTTCATGGCCCTCGTTCTCTAGAGGTGATTGTTGATGTATATCCGTTTTACCTTCTCGAACCTTCAGAAAATTGCGAAGTCTCATACGATCTGTATGATGTGGTAATAGCTACTTCGGAGGTTCATCGTAGCCCTATCAGGACAAAAACAATGTTTTCAGTTACTAAAGTATACTAAGATACCTAATTACCTTCAAAACCCCAGTAACTTGCAGTCCAAGGAACATTTCCCAACTTTCCCGACTGGTTGAACAAGGCAAGTTTTTGTTCTACTATAGTTACGTTTTTCTCTTCCGGTATTGTTAAGGCAGCAGTAACCTCCACACTTCCTGGCCTGTAAATAAATGAATAAAGTGAAACTACTCGTCAACAAATCCATGTGAAGTTTGGTGAGGTTTGTTGGTCTTCCGAGGCTATTCTGTTTATTCTTTGTAGTCTAATACATAGTTACGTTGATCGAGAAGGTAAGTGACAGGTCCCAGGGCCGGGTGATAAATATGCTTTAGGCGTCACTGATGCTAGCAGTGACACATCACTCTAAGGCCGGGCCGGTTATTTGAATGGAGTCTTACTTAGCCGCAATTTAAGGCAAGCGTTGGAACTCCATATGTGTTACAAATGAGTTATTTCGTGCAGAAAATGCTGTTCTATTGTGCTCTTTGTGCTTTCTTGAACCTATTTACTATAAGCAATGTTCATTTATTACGGTTGGCCAGGCTGATAATGGATTAGAACAAGAGTTTGTTTAAAACTATTTATCCACTAAGCCGCCAAGAGACTAAAGTCTAGGGCGCCCACCCGGTGTATGGGAGCTCATAGGATTGAATCCCTTGGAAGGAATCCTATTTTTTTCTTTGTCTCTCTTTCGTGATAGGACGATAATTACGTCTGTCTCTAGAGGACAGTAAGTTAACACTGGTACCTAGTCCACGCCTTGGCCAATCTAAGACACAGCCAACGCAGACAACATACCGTAAGAAAAGGATTTTGACTTCTGTCACATGTGGCGAAAGGTTTGACTTGAGCTGCAATCAAGAGATGAGCATTAATAGCATTATGATACAGTTTTCAGCATGTCTTGTTCCACATATAGCGGTCAGTAGTCCATGCGAGAATGGATGTAACGAAAAGAGTTGTGGCTGAACGATATCTAAACACATCAAGGATCGTTCAGCGATCAGAAATGGAACCCAAACAGCAGTTATAAACGTACTTACACATTTTATACAAACTTGACGTTTCCTATGCTAGTCGACATACATTTTCAGACAGTGAGATACTACCTATCTTAAAAGAATCTTAGTGGCCCGCACTTTCTATTCCCAAATTCTGATGAACATATACATACATATACATACACCTTATAAGGGCGTTACCTGATTACTGATGGATGTTTCAAACAAGCGATAAGTTGAGGAGGACGCATTTAAAAGTTGGAGGTTGAAACTTTCGTTTTTCCATCGACATACAAGCCGAAGTGGTGCTATAAGGAAATGAAAAAATAATCGATATTTTCTATATCAGTCATACGGTTCCTTTACATTCTTTTCCCCTTGGAAAATAGTGACGGAGGTAATAATGAAAGTCGTTTTTAGGAGTCCTCTCATACCCGCTTTGGTTACTTCTAGGGGTTCATTTTAGGAGTACCTTAGGTTATGAATTCTCAGCAACCTTTATACAAGAGCTCCTATGCCCCGGTTCTCGTATTTTAATGGAGTTTACCTACACCTTGTTCCTAACAAAGGATAAACTATACATTCTCTGCACACGTTGTTCGAACAGCCCAATTTGTGCAGTATCGTTCAGGTGTAAATACACAATAGGAAACTGTGATAAAGACTCTGTAGGTATACATACAGAAGGATTTGCGGATAAAAAAGAGCGGTTTAATTTGAAGAGCGATAGGAACTCAGTTGTGTGGGGCTAGGCCAGGCTTCAAAGCTACGGTGGATAGATTTGGAGCGAGGTTTACAGCAGGACTTATTTATGGCCTGGACTACAGACAAAGTATATAGTAACCAGATAGTTTATTGTTACCTAATTTCGCGTTTTTCGCGATTGTAAATGAAGTCGCGAAATTAATGACCGCCCGTAAATAAAAATTTTCGCGAAATTGAATACCCATATGAAAATTTAAATCCCAGAAAAAATGATTAGTATGTAATAACAACAACATATACAGGATATTTATCGACAAATACCCATATTTTAAATTGATTTTACTGGTAAACTCCATTTTGTATCTTCTGTTGTGAAATAACTTTGCAAAGATTTCACTTTCAATTCATTTTCATTTTGGTCTGTTTGGCTAGATTCTTTTTGCTCATTCCAGTTTATCTAGAAATTTTTAAATAATCAGACGTTTTGAAAAATATAATCAAGTTAAGATTGCTTGAATCGCGAAATTAATGCCCTTTTTCATATTTACCCCATTAAATCGCGAAAATAAAACCTGTGAAACACTGTATCGCCAAAAACTCGAAAATAAGTACCCGCGAAATTAAGAACCATTAACAAGGTTTGTATATCACAAAGAAAACAGTCATCATGGAAGAGAAGAGTAAATATATTTAATTTCATTGTGCGATGGCCAAATTCAGCAATTTGTACAAACTTAATAGTACCTGTATCTGAACGGCGAGGCAAAGTCGGTAGTGGTAGTGAGGGTGTCATTGGTGCTTGAGTTGAATTGTTCACGGGTGATGGTATCGGTGCCTGAGTTGAATTGGTTACTGGTGATAATGTCGTTGGAACCTGAGTTGAATTGGTCACTGGTGAGAGTGTCGTTGAAGCTTGAGTTGAATTGTTTACTGGAGATAGTGTCCTTGGAACCTGAGTAGAATTGGTTATTGGTGATAGTGTTGTTGGAACCTGAGTTGAATTGGTCACTGGTGATAGTGTCGTTGGAACCTGAGTTGAATTGGTCACTGGTGAGAGTGTCGTTGGAGCTTGAGTTGAATTGGTTACTGGTGGTAGTGTCGTTGGAACCCAAGTTGAATTAGTCACTGATGAAAGTGTTGTTGGAGCCTGAGTTGAATTGGTTACTGGCAAGGGTCCCGTTGGTGACTGAGTTGAATTGGTCATTGATGAGAGTGTCGTTGGTGTCTGAGTTGAACTGGTCATTGGTGAGAGTGTCGTTGGAGCCTGAGTTGAATTGGTCACTGGTGAGAGTGTCGTTGGAGCTTGAGTTGAATTGGTTACTGGTGGTAGTGTCGTTGGAACCCAAGTTGAATTAGTCACTGATGAAAGTGTTGTTGGTGTCTGAGTTGAACTGGTCATTGGTGAGAGTGTCGTTGGAGCCTGAGTTGAATTGGTTACTGGCGAGGGTCCCGTTGGTGACTGGGTTGAATTGGTCATTGGTGAGAGTGTCGTTGGAGCCTGAGTTGAATTGGTCACTGGTGATAGTGTCGTTGGAGCTTGAGTTGAATTTGTCACTGGTGATAGTGTCGTTGGAACCCAAGTTGAATAAGTCACTGATGAAAGTGTTGTTGGAGCCTGGGTTGAATTGGTTACTGGCGAGGGTCCCGTTGGTGCCTGAGTTGAATTGGTCATCGGTGAGAGAGTCGTTGGAACCTGAGTTGAATTGGTTACTGGCGAGGGTCCCGTTGGTGACTGAGTTGAATTGGTCATTGATGAGAGTGTCGTTGGTGCCTGAGTTGAATTGGTCACTGATGAGAGTGTCGTTGGAGCCTGAGTTGAATTGGTTACTGGCGAGGGTTCCGTTGGTGACTGAGTTGAATTGGTCATTGGTGAGAGTGTCGTTGGAGCCTGAGTTGAATTGGTTACTGGCGAGGGTCCCTTTGGTGACTGGGTTGAATTGGTCATTGGAGAGAGTGTCGTTGGAGCCTGAGTTGAATTGGTTACTGGTGATAGTGTCGTTGGAGCTTGAGTTGAATTTGTCACTGGTGATAGTGTCGTTGGAACCCAAGTTGAATTAGTCACTGATGAAAGTGTTGTCGGAGCCTGGGTTGAATTGGTTACTGGTGATAGTGTCGTTGGAGCCTGAGTTGAATTGGTTACTGGTGATAGTGTCGTTGGGGCCTGAGTTGAATTTGTTACTGGCGAGGGCCCCGTTGGTGACTGAGTTGAATTGGTCATTGGTGGGTAGAAGGGTAGGAGCCTGAGTTGAACTGGTTACCGGCGAGGGTTCCGTTGGTGCCTGAGTTGAATTGGTCACTGATGGAAGTGTCGTTGGGGCCTGAGTTGAATTGTTTACTGGCGAGGGTCCCGTTGGTGACGGAGTTGAATTGGTCATTGGTGAGAGTGTCGTTGGTGCCTGAGTATAGTTGGTTACTGGTGATAGTGTCGTTGGAGCCTGAGTTGAATTGGTTACTGGTGATAGTGTCGTTGGAGCCTGAGTTGAATTGGTTACTGGCGAGGGTCCCGTTGGTGACTGGGTTGAATTGGTCATTGGTGAGAGTGTCGTTGGAGCCTGAGTTGAATTGGTCACTGGTGATAGTGTCGTTGGAGCTTGAGTTGAATTTGTCACTGGTGATAGTGTCGTTGGAACCCAAGTTGAATAAGTCACTGATGAAAGTGTTGTTGGAGCCTGGGTTGAATTGGTTACTGGCGAGGGTCCCGTTGGTGCCTGAGTTGAATTGGTCATCGGTGAGAGAGTCGTTGGAACCTGAGTTGAATTGGTTACTGGCGAGGGTCCCGTTGGTGACTGAGTTGAATTGGCCATTGATGAGAGTGTCGTTGGTGCCTGAGTTGAATTGGTCACTGATGAGAGTGTCGTTGGAGCCTGAGTTGAATTGGTTACTGGCGAGGGTCCCGTTGGTAACTGAGTTGAATTGGTCATTGGTGAGAGTGTCGTTGGAGCCTGAGTTGAATTGGTTACTGGCGAGGGTCTCTTTGGTGACTGGGTTGAATTGGTCATTGAGAGAGTGTCGTTGGAACCTGAGTTGAATTGGTTACTGGTGATAGTGTCGTTGGAGCTTGAGTTGAATTTGTCACTGGTGATAGTGTCGTTGGAACCCAAGTTGAATTAGTCACTGATGAAAGTGTTGTCGGAGCCTGGGTTGAATTGGTTACTGGTGATAGTGTCGTTGGAGCCTGAGTTGAATTGGTTACTGGTGATAGTGTCGTTGGGGCCTGAGTTGAATTTGTTACTGGCGAGGGCCCCGTTGGTGACTGAGTTGAATTGGTCATTGGTGAGGGTAGAAGGGTAGGAGCCTGAGTTGAACTGGTTACCGGCGAGGGTTCCGTTGGTGACTGAGTTGAATTGGTCACTGATGGAAGTGTCGTTGGGGCCTGAGTTGAATTGTTTACTGGCGAGGGTCCCGTTGGTGACGGAGTTGAATTGGTCATTGGTGAGAGTGTCGTTGGTGCCTGAGTATAGTTGGTTACTGGTGATAGTGTCGTTGGAGCCTGAGTTGAATTGGTTACTGGTGATAGTGTCGTTGGAGCCTGAGTTGAATTGGTTACTGGCGAGGGTCCCGTTGGTGACTGGGTTGAATTGGTCATTGGTGAGAGTGTCGTTGGAGCCTGAGTTGAATTGGTCACTGGTGATAGTGTCGTTGGAGCTTGAGTTGAATTTGTCACTGGTGATAGTGTCGTTGGAACCCAAGTTGAATAAGTCACTGATGAAAGTGTTGTTGGAGCCTGGGTTGAATTGGTTACTGGCGAGGGTCCCGTTGGTGCCTGAGTTGAATTGGCCATCGGTGAGAGAGTCGTTGGAACCTGAGTTGAATTGGTTACTGGCGAGGGTCCCGTTGGTGACTGAGTTGAATTGGCCATTGATGAGAGTGTCGTTGGTGCCTGAGTTGAATTGGTCACTGATGAGAGTGTCGTTGGAGCCTGAGTTGAATTGGTTACTGGCGAGGGTTCCGTTGGTGACTGAGTTGAATTGGTCATTGGTGAGAGTGTCGTTGGAGCCTGAGTTGAATTGGTTACTGGCGAGGGTCTCTTTGGTGACTGGGTTGAATTGGTCATTGGAGAGAGTGTCGTTGGAACCTGAGTTGAATTGGTTACTGGTGATAGTGTCGTTGGAGCTTGAGTTGAATTTGTCACTGGTGATAGTGTCGTTGGAACCCAAGTTGAATTAGTCACTGATGAAAGTGTTGTCGGAGCCTGGGTTGAATTGGTTACTGGTGATAGTGTCGTTGGAGCCTGAGTTGAATTGGTTACTGGTGATAGTGTCGTTGGGGCCTGAGTTGAATTTGTTACTGGCGAGGGCCCCGTTGGTGACTGAGTTGAATTGGTCATTGGTGAGGGTAGAAGGGTAGGAGCCTGAGTTGAACTGGTTACCGGCGAGGGTTCCGTTGGTGACTGAGTTGAATTGGTCACTGATGGAAGTGTCGTTGGGGCCTGAGTTGAATTGTTTACTGGCGAGGGTCCCGTTGGTGACGGAGTTGAATTGGTCATTGGTGAGAGTGTCGTTGGTGCCTGAGTATAGTTGGTTACTGGTGATAGTGTCGTTGGAGCCTGAGTTGAATTGGTTACTGGTGATAGTGTCGTTGGAGCCTGAGTTGAATTGGTTACTGGCGAGGGTCCCGTTGGTGACTGAGTTGAATTGGTCATTGGTGAGAGTGTCGTTGGAGCCTGAGTTGAATTGGTCACTGGTGATAGTGTCGTTGGAGCTTGAGTTGAATTTGTCACTGGTGATAGTGTCGTTGGAACCCAAGTTGAATAAGTCACTGATGAAAGTGTTGTTGGAGCCTGGGTTGAATTGGTTACTGGCGAGGGTCCCGTTGGTGCCTGAGTTGAATTGGTCATCGGTGAGAGTGTCGTTGGAGCCTGAGTTGAATTGGTTACTGGCGAGGGTCCCGTTGGTGACTGAGTTGAATTGGCCATTGATGAGAGTGTCGTTGGTGCCTGAGTTGAATTGGTCACTGATGAGAGTGTCGTTGGAGCCTGAGTTGAATTGGTTACTGGCGAGGGTTCCGTTGGTGACTGAGTTGAATTGGTCATTGGTGAGAGTGTCGTTGGAGCCTGAGTTGAATTGGTTACTGGCGAGGGTCTCTTTGGTGACTGGGTTGAATTGGTCATTGGAGAGAGTGTCGTTGGAACCTGAGTTGAATTGGTTACTGGTGATAGTGTCGTTGGAGCTTGAGTTGAATTTGTCACTGGTGATAGTGTCGTTGGAACCCAAGTTGAATTAGTCACTGATGAAAGTGTTGTCGGAGCCTGGGTTGAATTGGTTACTGGTGATAGTGTCGTTGGAGCCTGAGTTGAATTGGTTACTGGTGATAGTGTCGTTGGGGCCTGAGTTGAATTTGTTACTGGCGAGGGCCCCGTTGGTGACTGAGTTGAATTGGTCATTGGTGAGGGTAGAAGGGTAGGAGCCTGAGTTGAACTGGTTACCGGCGAGGGTTCCGTTGGTGACTGAGTTGAATTGGTCACTGATGGAAGTGTCGTTGGGGCCTGAGTTGAATTGTTTACTGGCGAGGGTCCCGTTGGTGACGGAGTTGAATTGGTCATTGGTGAGAGTGTCGTTGGTGCCTGAGTATAGTTGGTTACTGGTGATAGTGTCGTTGGAGCCTGAGTTGAATTGGTTACTGGCGAGGGCCCCGTTGGTGACTGAGTTGAATTGGTCATTGGTGAGGGTGTCGTTGGAGCCTGAGTTGAATTGGTTACTGGCGAGGGTCCCGTTGGTGACTGAGTTGAATTGGTCATTGATGAGAGTGTCGGTGCCTGAGTATAGTTGGTTACTGGTGATAGTGTCGTTGGAGCCTGAGTTGAATTGGTTACTGGCGAGGGTCCCGTTGGTGACTGCGTTGAATTGGTCATTGGAGAGAGTGTCGTTGGAGCCTGAGTTGAATTGGTTACTGGTGATAGTGTCGTTGGTGCCTCAGTTGAGTTGGTTACTGGTGATAGTGTTGTTGGAGGCTGATTTGAATTGGTTACTGGTGATAGTGTCGTTGGAGTCTGAGTCAATTTAGTCACTGGTGAGGGCGTCGTTGGAGCCTGAGTTGAATTAGTTACTGGTGAGGGTGCCGTTGGAGGCTGAGTTGAATTGGTCACTGATGAGTGTGTCGTTGGAGCCTGAGATGAATAGGTCACTGGTAGGATTACCGTTGGAATCTTAATTGAATTAGTCATTGGCGAGGGCGTCGTAGGAGCCTGAGTTGAAGTGGTCGTTTTTGGAAATGTCACTAGAGACCGGGTTGAGTTAGTAAAGGGAGCGTTGGACGTTGATGCCTGATTTGGATTGGTGAAAGTCGAGAAAGTTAAAAAAAGCGTAAGAGTTGCATATTTGATACAATGAAGGTTATAGTGGACCAACCCTCCACTTAGATGAAGCATTGTTTGCTTGAAACTAAGTAACAGGGGTCACCAAAGAAGCCTGTGGGAAAAAAAAGGAATGTGTGTTAAACTAAACGCATAATCAAATCTCTTGTCCCAAACCCCTTTTAGTTTCAGTTATTCAGATTCTCCAATCCATTGTTCTGAGAATTGAATGGAAACGAAATTTACTTTGTTAAAAAAGATTGAAGTTAGCAAAGTAGATCATAAGTAAGCGTTATGGGGCCTTGCACTGATGTATGTGGTTTAGATTGAGGAATTGCTTTAACTGATTTAATCTTTAAGGTAACTCGGAGTTCACCATTGGCACTGATTACAGAGTTTAGTAAGCAATCCAGTGAGTGCCTCTGTCCTTAAAGTAAAAGATAAGTTTAACTTCTTGAAATTAGGCGAAAGACAATACTCAAATGAAGATGCATTTAATGCACCTTTAATTTTGGTGAATGTCAGTCAAATTTAACGGACGTCGATTTTGCTGGTTCATGACTGTAGATACCTGTTTATTTTATGTTTTGCACACCAGTTAAGAGTGTGATCGACCTAGCGATTTTCGTGATGGTTGACATAGTGTTATAAAGTAGTATTTATGCGCCAAGTGTTAGACTGAGTTGCAAAACCTGTAATTTTCAGGAATTTGCTGGGAGTATCTTAAATTAAAACAAAATTTCTCCGGCAAACCTCTGATAGGTCAAGATTTAGCCAATAGAATATTTGTTATTCAAGTCTTTAAAGGAAAATTCTTGCATTTAAAAAACAGTTTCAACTTACTGAATCATCGCTCGCTGTTTTTGAATACCCTTTCTCATTTGAACTTGCTTCAGATAGCTTTGAGTAATTAAGGACGCGCTCTTGTCTGAAGCACCAGATACCTTCAACAAAAGAACAAAATAGCGAAAATTGCGTCAGAGCCAGCCAATCTATAATTCTGGGTTAATCAGGTCTTGAGACCCAAGATATCTTTGCCTATTAATCAAACCTGGAAGACAATAAGTCCTTTCGACTCTACTATTTTCACGTCCAAACATTTTTGCTATTACTATTTGTTTCTGAGGTGATGTTGCCAATGTCGAGTTTTTTTAAACAAAAAAATAAATTATAAGCGAGCCTCATTCAATTTTTCAATAGCGATAAATTATTAATTAAAAAATTGTGCGAATTTTTGCCTAAAACAAGACACAAAAATAAACTCACCAAATTAACCGTTATAATTTCACCAATCTTTGTAAATCAGTTCAGGACAAACACATCAACCTTGGCCAAAATGATGTTTGCCTTTTCCTTCAGTTTTGATAATAATCAGAGAAATAATGTCTATTTGCTCCACTGTCTGTTGAGGTCTGTTAATAACTAGGTTTGCTCAGTTTGAAACTGCAGGGTGCGAAATCACTTCCTAGACAATCGCTTCATGTTAAAATAACATTTAAACTACCACTTGACTCCGACTACAAGATAGAGATTAAATCTTTTCTATGAATTTAAATCAAGGAAAGGTACCACTCAGCGGATGCAATAGAAGCATAATTCAAAATAGATTATCGATAATTAGTGGGCCCATAAGGTTTATTTGTCCACAATGTTCAATGTTAGTTAAATGCTATTATAATTTTCTGTTTTATCTTTGTTGAAATTTTTCACAGCAGCTAAATAAATAAATAAGGCGTTATTTTGTTGTAAAATGGGCTTAATGAATGTTTATTTTGAGGCGTGCAATCAGTTGCGTGCGGGCGTGATTAAAAGTTTACTTTAATTATCAAGGAAGTTATTTAATGAGAGATTGAAGTCGCGTAGAAATTGAACAAAATAAATTACGCAAGTGAAAATAGCAATTCTCAAGGCTTAAAAACTGGGAGTGAATAAACGGTTTCGGGTATTTTGACTGAGAATTGACCGCTCAAAAATAGCAGGACAAGCAAATAAGGCTAATCGAAAGCATCTAAATGTCTCTCAGACATATTGAGTCGTTTTTCTCCTAGATGGACTGTGTACTTGTTGCTCTTGAAAAACGTGTTCATTTTACGGTGTTTTGAGTACGGTTCTCTTAACTTAAATGATGTGCTTGTCACAAATGAAGCTATCTCTAAAACACGTCCATCACTAACAATCACTCAAGAACTCAAATCAACTTACTAATACCGCTTTCAAACAATACTTCAATATTTGAAGGCTGAACTACACTCTATCCTCAGACTGCTTAAAGTAGGCAGCTCCACAGCATTAAATGATAGATTTTAAGAGAATTCCGGTGGTTTTCATTACTGTAATTTTTCCAAGCTCTCGATGGCTTCAGCTGGAAAACGTTAGGCTAATTTTGTTTCAAGTTTCACAGAAGTCAAAGCAATACATAACCATACTCGATTTTCGCTACAAATAGAACATTGGGTTTCTCCCTTTTCTTTCTCTTTTATCCTCCTTCCTTTGGCAACTTTCCCGGGTTCTTTGATGTAAACTTGGAAGTAGTTTACAAAGGGGTAGCACTTAAAGTCTTCAAAAGAAACTGGAGTGCTTTGTCGTTAAGGAAGTGAGGCTACTTGCAAAAATATGGTTGTATCGGGTACGAAGGTCAAATGAATGAGGGTCAGGTTTTCTTCATCGCCACACATGCGACAATGAAAATGTGCAAAATAAAAGAGAGCACTAAAATCAGTATGTGGAAATTGAGAGCCGATGCGCAAGCGCAGTAGCTAGTACACATCCGCTGTTTGACCAACGCACATTCTCGTCCCCAGAGCCTGTCGTTTTGTTTTGGTCACTTAGGCTTGAAACGAGGGTCCGTAACAAATCAAGGTGAGTGGCTCTGGAGACGAGAATAACTAACGCGCTGTCAAATTTATTGAACGGATGCATTTAAATTTTATTGATCTTCTTTTAGCTTCTTTTTCCACTCGCGCACACTTTGATCTCTTTCCGGTAAAACCACTTCTTTTTCGAGAAAATTACGAAAGTCAGAATTGATAATTTTTATCTTTTACACGATGAACTGCATAGGAAAAACGAGTCTGATTTTAAATAAAATAAAATAAATAAATCTATGTTTGAGGTCAAGATGGCTGGATATTGTCCAAGTCTTTTTCTGCTTCTTTTTATGGACTTAAAAAACGCAAAAAAGAACGAAAAAAGGCCAAAAAAAGAACTTTTTCTTGCGGCACCAACGCAGTAAATCAGGATTCGTGTCATCTTGCCCGCTCTTGGATTCAGCCATATAATAATGGTTCTTAGAAAAATTTGGTGTAAAATTGTTCATTTCTGAGTTTATTTATCTATCCTCTACAAATGTCACTTGTTTGCTTGAGAACAGATAAAAGTTCGGTAGTCTTTTAAGACAGATTACGTGTATTTGAATAATAAGTCAAAATAATCCCGACGTTTACATTTATATATTCTTCAGATAGATAATTTTCTTCTCTATCTTTTGTTCTCTCAAATTATGGCGCAAATTATGCAGTTGCGACTAACTGGTAAGCGATGATTAGAGCGCTGTACCGAGATCACAGACGTCAGGGTTCGAATCCCGGAATGTTTGAAATTTTTCAGGCTTTCTTTTCGCAACTACGTCAGTAAGTTGCGTCCCTGAACTGCGATGATCTTCTTTCTCCGAGGTTCCAATATGTGATATTCATACTGATATTTATCATCATTTCATCTTTATCTTTCAATTCCCTGATAACGGTATTTTACGAACCAATTTCATGACAAACTCCCGGCTTACTAGCTCAGTTGGTTATACCGTAGCTAGTAGTGGAGGTCAGAGTTCGAATCTCGGCAAGCCTGAATTTTTTCCTGCTTTCTTTTCGCAACTGCATATGACGATGATCTCATGTTCTTTGCATTTATGTCTTTATTCCGTGGTTCAGGCATATGAAGTTCATATATTCATCAGAAAGGCAACAGTTTGTCAAATCAAAGATCTATCTATAGATGATTTAA